AGGTCGCTTCGTTGACGTTTTGCAATCGGTACTCTACAAGTACTGCCCTTGATGTCTGAATATCATACTTTTAAAAAGGTTTTTTATAGTCACATTGTATATGTACCCGTACCTACCTTGTATAACCGCCTAACCATTCCTGATACGTGCTCATGTTGAGTTTAATTGGCCGTATTTGTTTACGTTTATTTGGTGCTTTGAACGATTTAAGACTTGAAACAAACAGTGATGTAAATATAACAATTAATATCGCAAGCTTACATTGACTTATCAGTATACCTTATTTTTTATGTTTTATAATTCTAAACTAATGTTTCAAATTCTTACACAAACAAATTGTGTCATTCTTTTTTCTCTTTACATCAATAGATATCTGCATTGCACAATGTTATAATTTTAATTGATATCATTGTATATCTTTGCACGTGGACTAGTATTAGATTACACATGCACGACTTTTTAGCAGTCATGATATACGAATATAATACGTTTTATGTAAAATCAAATAACATAAAAAAATGCATTCAGAGATATCTACATGGAATGATTGTGGAGTTAAATTTGCATTTATGTCATGATAAAAATGTTTTTATTTATAAACATTTTAAAATCACATTTGCAATATCATTATATCTCATAAATAAACTTAATACTACAGTTGTGCTGTTGAAATCAGGATATATAGTTACAGCAGGATAGCGCATAGGTTATAAGAGAAATAACTTGTCAACATAATATAAGTTGCCAAAACAAGAAAATACAGCTATCGTGTACATTTATTTATGTATCATACACATCTTGTGGGGTAGTGAGTATGATTTGTTGTTTGTTGGGACAAATATCTGTATTTTACCTCTATTTTATCAGTATTTATAATTATGTAAGAAATGGTGGATCAATGAATTAACACCTGTGATGTCTAAAACACTAAATATGAATGATGTCAAGGGGCAGAATAATATGGGTAAATCTCCTATTTCAAACTATTTCAAACTATGTTGACAGGTGGGTAATGCAACTGAGTACTGGTTGGTTGTTGGATGCATGGTACATTTTCATTTGGTATATTTCTAAAACATAGAATAAAAACAAACCATGAAATCAGATTAAGAGGAAATGTTGACATAACAGTAATATTTAAATCATTTGTTTTATTCCAATCTCATTAAAATCCAATCTTAGTTCTCGCTACCGCTAAACAAAGATCTGAGGACGTCCCATGAGGGGTCACGTCAGAACGACCTTTCATCCGACCAATCAGAGCATCGCTTACCAGATTATGAAAGTGACAGTCGGAATGTGATGCAACCTCGAAAACTTTAACTCCGAACGATAGTTACGGGTTTAACGACTGAATCCATACAATCTAGACCATCTATTAGCCATTCCAGAAGGTGCTTTTTTCAGGTTTCAAATTTGTAATCGAGAATTTGTTTCGAAGCGTAGTCGTTTGAAATTAGTGCCGTAAAGCACGAGAAATCTGCCTTCTGATTGGTCATTCCATTGGTCGGTCAAAGTTCGCGTAATGTCGGTCTGACGTGACCCGTAATGGAGAGAACTGAGGTCTGATTTTAATGAGATTGGTTTCTATTCTGAACGTTATTTATTCTTCAATTGATAAATTATAATAAAGGCACGGGTGTATACTAATTAGAGATCCGTCGGGAAAGGCCTGTCAGAGATGTCTCTGTGCTGAAAATGTAGGAGTTCTCCAGTTTTATTACATTGAAGTCCACGCTAGTTTGAAAAGTATTTGTGATATTTGAAAGCTGCAGGTGTTAAGGACTTGTCGTCGGAAATAACACAAAGGCCGTTTTTCATGTCGTTTTCCCCGCTATCTTCCATCGTGTCAATTCGTGTTTTAGTTTAAGCAGAGACCATTGGTATATGGTCTCTGGTTTGAAAACAGAACAAATGTTGATATTCTAAACTAATAATCACCACAAAATAAGTGTTGGTTTGAAATATTCAGTCGTAAACGACCGTTTTTGAATAAAGATGCAACAAGGCCACGTTTCAGTTTGGCTCCGTCTCTACCAATCTGCCAACAGAGAGCGCTGGCAATATAAGTCTTTTTCCGGGCTTGGCGGAAATAGCCGAACGTAAGATTGTGTCTCTCCATGACACTGGGATAAGGATATGGATAAGTTTTATTCCATACTGAAAGGCCTCAGGCCCATAGTACAATTCTGTTTTCGGGCGTGGTTTCAGATCCGTTTAACAGGTCATATTCTAATTAACATAGCATGATAAATGAACGTTGATAGATTTTTTAGAGTATCTTTATCAGTTGTTGACATGATCGTTGTACATTTTTGTAGAGTGGGATGTACATAAAAAGGCAGATCAATATATTGTCTTCATAGGTGGTCGTATTCTGGACAAACTAACAGAAAATGAAAGTCATCTTCAATCACATTTAAACCACATTAGTCACATATTTTCAATTCTCTGGCTCTGACTCTATGTCTGCCTACTTCGATCTGAAGTCTATGAGAGCTGCATCTAAATTGTGCTAAACATATTCTAAACCTTTTAAAATTGATATCAAACAAATAGTATTCTGGGGAAATAGTTGTCTTAAAAAGCTTGTAATAATTGCATTTTTCTGAACTTAAAACATGAGATGGCCATTTTTGTAAGTAAATATCCTTAAGTCTTTGGCTTATAGATACTAAAAACGAATCTGGATTGTTAGGTACACATTAATTATGGCAAACATACCCATAGCCGTATTCATTTAATAACGACTTTACATCATATACCCAATTGCGGATTCCATGTTTTTCAGACAATAACATCATATTATAACATTTTCTAGGTAATCTATCAATAGGCATTTTAGGAATCTTGAACCAATACTTGATAATTCTAATATGTTGAAATATGTAAAGTGCTACACGTCCACATTCACCATATACCATAACACTCGATGTACAGTTTTTTTTATGCCAAGGAATCGTTTACAAGCATATAGATGGACCAGTTCAATAGTTCTGTATTGAGTACGACCCCAGACCTCTGCTTTAGTAATTTAGTAATTTTTGTATCAAATATTTTAAAAAAGGTTTTATATGAAAGATCAGTGAAAGTTTTTAAACTATGGAAGATTCCCTTTGGTATCTTTTTTGCCTGCATTGCTGCATTACTGGTGTGGTAATTCCACGATAATCTGCCTGTGAAGGTTACCCCCAGATATTTATAAGAAGTGACAATTTGTACCGTGAGTTGAAGAACCATTTTTCCTTATTTGATAGTTTATTTCCCTTTTTAAAAACTAACTCTTTCTTTTTCTCAATGTTAACTTGGAGTTTACAGTTAGAACAGTACAGCTCCAGTTGATCTATCAAATTCTGTAAATCTTTATCGTACAAGAGAACATGACTATATCAACAGCAAAAAGCAACAAAAATGCCACTAAAGTACTCACGGAAATGAAAAAAAACTGTTTTTTCGATCTCAGATTTTAAATAAATGCAGTTAATATACCAAATATAAAAATATTCAACAACTCAATTAGTACTAATTGGGCCTTGGCACAAAGACAGGTTTTTATGTCTTTTTACACGTAAAAGTGTGTAAAAATATGAACAAAACAGACTATTGTGAAACTGAGCATAACCAGGTGTTAGTAGATCAAGGTGAATGTCCATGACCTATGACACCTTGACAACAGGTGAAAACAGGTGCTTCAAACCCATGTGCATGTGATTTGTCAGTGGTTAGTGATTTGTGAGTGGCATTGTGGGATAGTGAATTATCGTCAAAATGTCAGAACGTAAAAGTAACATATTCCCTTCTCAAACAACAACTTACATGTCATTATTATCATGTACATAAACATAGCTGTTATTTTTATTGTTGTTTTGATAACTTTTTTTCAGGCTAATTTGCATAATGCCTATAGCCTGTTCCTGCCATGTCAATTTGGACTTAGTTTTATTTTTGAATGTTGAAAGTGCCTACAAATTACCTCCTGTAAAGTACATTTTTTATTGTGCACTGAGATAAAACTAGCAAATCCAGACTAGTACTTTTCCAGTTGTTTTGTTATTACGTATTTACATCTACGTGTTAATGCTTTGTGTCTATTATTAAATCCAGCAAAACAGGTTTTTTTCATTGCCATGAGTACTTTAGTTGTCGCAGCGCACATTGATACGGGAACCATACCAGCAGCCTGATTCCCTGGCTCAAGCTCCTTCCCTGCGCGTGAAACCTTCGTTACATCGCTGGCACCAGTATGGGCGCGTCCATTACAAGAATCTTGAAATTTGCCCTCTAACCCCATATGTAGTAACGTTTATACATTTGTGTATGTCTTCGGGAATGCCATCATATTTCATTTGGAAAACCAACTTCTCCCTTACATTCTTACTATATCAATTAAAGATGATACTTTTAATGAAATAGAAATTCAATTTGACAAACAAAGAAAGCAATTTATCAGCGGTAACTGTATTCGGCGTCACGACAGTCGTCACTTGTTTGTAAACATTCGGTTGCGAGTTCAACTCCAAGCATGGTTGGGGCCACCTATCACAGTGGGGAGTTTTGACTGGTGGCAGCGATAGTATAGAGAGCTCCGCGAACGTGCTATCGCTGTGAGGAGCTTGTCCCTGGCTGTGTAAGCTGGTAAGCTGGTTCCCGGCTGTTTTCATAAAATAAATATATTCCATAGTAATGGTGCAGGACTAACGCTCGGTATGTGTTCTCTGATAAAATGAAGATTTTGAATCGAAAGAAAATAAGATATTATCTTAAGACTTGACAAGGCCTAACCACATGAATGATTGTATTATCAAATCTGTAAGTGTATTGTACATAATCAGCCGATAATGACCTCGATTGTAGTTGTACAAGTTTGTGTATATAGATATATAGGTATTCGTTATATATAGATCTATATATTTGACATCAGTAGACAGGAGCCCAGTTGGAAAAACCGGCTAAATATAGCATAATGTTTACAAGCTTAATTACAACTTACACAAACAAGACAGGTTCAGGAATATTTATTCAAATTTGACATTACTTGTGAAAAAGACGTAAAGTATTGAAAATACGATCATTTTCCGTCGGATCCAAATTATAGGGGATACTGCATAATTAGGGAGATCCCCTTCTCTTTGCTGCTATCATGCAGCGGCCGGCAGACTGTCCAGAACGCCCGATCTGGTTTAATAGAACGTGATGGATACGTACGTGTCGATGACAAACATAAAACGCTGCAGTCTTGTGTGACGACAGGTAGGATTCTACTAAATTATTACTTTAGCTCTAATTGTGTACTGTTTCGTTAAAGAAAGATGAAACCTAATTGCTGATGAAATGCCATTTGGCCCTTACTCACTTTCTAAATTTAGCTAGAACTCAAGCCTAAACGTGATACGTGCTCATGTTGAGTGTAATTGGCTGTATTTGTTTATTTTGTTTTGGTGATTTGAACGATTTAAGACTTGAAACAAACAGTGATGTAAATAAAACAATGTGGCAAGTTTACATTGTCTTATCGTGTATATAAGTACAGTGATGTAGACAAGAACAGTTGTATGTACCGATAAACAACGTGTGAACTGGTTTCAAGCAGTTCTAGTGTTTCGAGAAAGTTCTGTCAGTGCGGTTAACCTCAGTAGTGCTACGACAACAAGGCTGAGAAAGCTATTGTGCCGCCCACATTTTTGTTGGTTTAATATCTGGGTATAGAGCTGCAAGTGATTTGATCGACCATCAATTTATGACGTCATATTTATTTTACTCAGATTAATTGTGCTGCAATGTGAATATTGTATATATTTTGTGCTGTGTGTATTGTATTATTTGGTATAGGTGGGTAATATACATGATGCGTTGTGACAGTAAACATGGTTACAGGGTTACTCTTAGGCTAACATTTAGTCTGTGAAATCTTATATTTAGGAGATAAACATACTGTGTTTTCAATGTAGAGCTAGGTTACCTGTAGATTTAACCCCGCTACAGGTAACCTAGCTCTACATTGTAAAACACAGTGTGTTTATCTCCATTCTACCATGACAGAATAAAATGCGAACTATTTGGTGTTAGCAAATATACTGAGTGAAGCGGCATTGGTTGAGTCGAGTGTTTTGATCTGATCGATCTGAATTACGGAATCACCGAACACAATATGGCGCTGTATATACTCAAGCAGTTTGTTTACACCATAATACTTCACTCGAACATATGACAGGCATTGAAAGCATATAAGCACGGCAACTTGATAAGCTAACATGAGTTGGGAATCCCTAAAGAAAACAAAGCAAGCTTTGCAAGGCTTTCGCTCCACATCGCACGTCACCATTATGACGTCATATTGTTTATTGTGACGCAAAATATATGACGTCATAGTCGTATATAGAAAAGCGCCAAAATTCCAAGCTCTCTGTTGTCTCCAAAACATAAATACAGTGCCTTTGTAGATTTCTATCGTGTTTTATGCACGAAATGTATTGCCACACATCCTTTGAATATTGTAGTAACCGCATCTGTGCATTTTGTAACCTGTAATTGTAGATATAATTATTTAAATATGCCTACCGACAATGACTGAAAAAAGTACTATTCTATGAATATTAGCTTCCGCAGTGATGCGGCCGTCAAACCAGCTGTTTCAATCAGAGGGGGTTTATTGTGATTTAATAGCCTCTGATTGACCAATCAGAATTGAGTAAATTCCAAATTCATGGTAGAATACACAATATCCTTCTTGGCTCTAAAAATATATAAAAAATTCCCTATGCTGATTTCAGAATAGAGCTAGCTTCAGCTGGCTAGACTTGCTTTAGTATGCATTTCTAGATTATTATTTTATTTATGAAATAAATATATTCCACGGTCATGGTGCAGGACTAGGTTAGGCTTTCTTTTGTTACTATCAAGGTATAAGTATATATATTTCGATTTACTGATATCATAAATATTAGGACCATGTGGGATTAACCACCAAACAATTGAGGTACTTTGCCCTACTGTCTTATGCTATTATTGCCTGTTTAGGCCCCAACTGAGTCATTATAGCACCATGCTTGAAACAGTAACTGTCTAGGTGTAAATATAGTCAGAGACCATACAGTAGATCTATTATACATGTTATATGGTCTCTGCTATAGTGTAATCATTATGACTGCCAGATGGCTCAGTACCATTACTATAATCATCATAGTGGTTTTCAGAATTGATATTGGCATTCTACTTACACTAATGTTTCCATAAATAAAAATAGCTCAGAATGTAACTGGGAATATAGCAATATAGCTTGAAGCTATAGTTATGAAACTGATCTAAGTTTCAAGTTTCATTTAGCCATCATCATTTTCATTTAAAGTAAAGCAAGTACAGCTTCCTTGATTCCCCATATAAAAAAGCAGAGGAGGAAAGGCTCTACTGAAAAGAAAAATTACATTTATTTAAAGAAATGGTTTCATCATGTTCATAGAATTGGTGTTCGTCTGATAGCTTAATAATGCCTTGACAACTAAAATGTGAAGTACCAATCAGTTTTAGCTCATAATGCTCATTAGGAATGAACTGTGATGCTATTTTGTGGATAACACTCCTGATTTATGTATTTGCTGAAAACACATTCCAGCAGTTTTGCTAGACATAATGACTGAGTGGCAGAAGAATCTGCATCTCAGTTGATTTTGCCCCCCCTCCCCACACACACACACACACACACAAACACACACACACATGCACACACAGCATATCACTAAGACTAATTGGTACTCTTTCTTGAAACTGCGGTGACTTTTGCTACTTGGGATTTTAATAATTTATATTTTGTTTCAAGGTTGCAAGTTTGATTTTGACTCTGTTCACAGTGGTGTGTTTGTGTGGACCACATCTCTAAAAGTAATAGGTATTCTTACTTAATACTGTGCACACACAAAAAACAGGTTGTCATCTGGTGCCTTATGCTATATAGGGATTTTTTAAATTTATGTTTCTTCCATTTCCATGGCAACAAGTGTGACTTTGACTCTGAGTGTATATTGGTGTCTACAAATATAAAGTTCTGAATCCCTATTTCCATGGTAATATTTTGATAGCTCAAAAACTACTCTTGGATACAGACAGATAGATTGGATAGAAATTTTCTCATCAAGTTGGACTTAAACGTAACAGTCAGCATGGTCGGATGATTTGTTCCTTCGATTTAGTGCTGACCGGGGGAGATTTGTCATCTTCTGATGACTCTTGTTTAGTAGAGAATTATTAATTGGTTCTGTACAATTACTCTGGTATTTTCTGTTTCAGAAGAGCATACTGATAGACCCTGATATATGCAGTATGGCACAAGAGCCCATGCTTTTACAACAAAAAAATATTCAAGAATACAGTCTGTCTGCAGGAAAGTTCTCGTCAGTGGCGGGTTATGAGGAGAGAATGGACAGTCAAGAGACTAGTGCCAGCAGCAGTCTTGAAGGCGCTGTAATGTCTGCCAGCTTAGCTCTGTTTGATGGTATGTGCATGACATCAGTAATGCAAGTGAACCTTAATTGGCTGTGATCCCTATGACAGGATTTATTGATTTATCATTATCATGATTACCATGTTATGAATATTAAATAGTAACCTACTGGCTAAATTTCAATAAACTACTTATGTAAGTATTGTCAGTAATTAACCGTATTTACCATAATAAACACCCCAGGTGCTTAGAAGAGTGACAAAGGGAAGGGAGGTTTGTGTGTGTGCTAATTAAAACCATATACAGTCAAGTCTCGTTTATCCGACACTCGTTAATCCAACAATCGGCTTTATCATGTTTATCCGACACAAATGATGGGAACCGATTAAATCAGTACTGTTTAGACCCGTTAATCATGTTAATCCGACAGTCTCGCACTCCGACTCCGACGCACCTAATTTGCAACGATTTGCTGAAATCACTCATTAATCAGTCTCGTTAATCCGACACGGTGTTCAGCGTACTCCATGGTCATCTGCCCACAAGTACATAGCCCCGTGTTTTGATGCAAGACAAGTCGGCGAGTAGCTGCATTTTTAAACGGCTGCAGAGATAAACTTGCATGATTAGAAAACATATTGTAACATAATGTAACACAACAATATGAATATTTCCTTTTTCCTTTTTTTATTACAATATGTTTGAATCGTTATCTATCGTGTAGTTGTCCAATTTTCGATCGTGAACATTGATAATACCTAATTTCATTTATCCGACATACTCGTTAATCCAACATAATCATATGCAACCAACAATGTCGGAAACGGGACTTGACGGTACAAGTTAATTTGGTTGTCTGAGTTTGAATGGTAGAGAATCATGAGAACAGACATAGTACAAATATCCATGAAACTAAAACCGTTTGATAATAATTACCTGATTACTGGGCAGTTCTGAAATATGCACTAGAAAATACAGATTATTTTGTAAAGTTTCAGGCTCAGTACCAGGCACATGAAGTTTACTTACATCTTGGTCTGGAAGTTGGATGGGGTGGTTAAGATGGCAAATACAGTATTTGATTTATATAAGCACAATGATAGGTTGAGCCGTCTCGTCTTAAGGGAAGATTTTACTGTCTGGGACATTTCAGACTTAGGATGGCCATTGTTATTGCACCACTGAGACATGGCTCATTGTAGGCATGATACTCAATCTTGCTAGGACTGCCAATTAGCTGGATCACAGCCCCCCTTTAATAGCTATACATTTTCATCCTGGTTTGAAGCCATGTATTATGTATCAATGTAAGGAAGAGGTCTTATTATTCTTATTTTCAGAAAAAGATATAGCAGCCGGCATGTTTGAAAGCAGTCTTGGCTTCAAAGATTTGGAAACTGATGGCACAAGCACCAACATTGATAGTGGTGTTGACAGCAATGTTCCTGCCGTCAGTCAGCAGCAGCCACCCCTACTACAGCCACTGAGTGCAGCTCAAGACACGGCAGTTGTAGGCGTTAGTGATGTCCCCAGATGGTTTCCCGAACCTCCTGGAGGGCCTGATTTGATCTGGGATGCTAGGCGGCAGGGGTATCAGAGCCACATTGTATCTGCTGGAAGATGCTGCAGTTTTCAGCAGCAGGTGGCAAATCTCTACAAGCTTGGTGAAATTCCAAGGTTTAAAGAGATCAAGTATGGCACCAAGAAAGATGTTTATGATTTTCTTGGCAAAATCGAAACAGCAGAGAATGATTCTGGGGTCTTTCTGTCAGAGGTAAATTTTATTTACATTCCGATATTTGATACATACCACAGTTGATTCTTCTAAAGTTTGAAACTTGGAATGTGTTCATTATGATAAATTTTCATGGAAGTATGAAAATAACATCATCATTAACATGATAAAGAAGCAGTGTGTGAAATAAGAATGGAATTGTAGATGACTTGTGAACTCATGGTGCAACCAGATATTAATGAACAGGATGAAGGCAAGTCTTGCCTCCATCTTCTCCGTCATTAGGACTGCAGATACCGGTAATTGATTTTGTGTTGATGTGGCTGGATACATATGTACTGAATTATACTAAACTACCTCTCATCTTTGATATAAAGCAGACAATAACCAAGAAGATCAAACTAATGAGACACTAATTGTTTAAAATATGACAACTGTTACTGGTCAGTTTGGCTGGTCTGGGTGAGTCGTGCTCAAAGTAGCAATGCTCATGGCAGAGGAGGTAACTCTTCCTGCACTTATTCTCAAAGCTGGTTTACCACACCTCGGAGGGTCGGTTCAAAATCCCATCTCCAAACTCCTTGATTAACGCAGAAAGCGGGAAAATCAGTGTACATCACAAACTAGGGTAAAGGTTGCGTGCGTATTTCATAAGCTGCTATTTTTAGAATTTACTTGGAAGTTGAGTTACAATGATGAAGTCAACAGGTATTCTTAAAACTATCAATACAGCTGAATACGCGGTTGTAAATAGGTTTATTCTCTTCTGCAATCATTTGTTATAATTTCCAGTGTGTTTACGATTTAATTTTTAAGGGACAATATATGAAAAAATAATTAAATCGGACCCCACCCTATTTCTATTAGCGGTATGCAGTTTTTACATAACTACGCAGTTACTTCCCTTCGGACATGCTTCGCAAACACGATCGAATTTACTACAGTATTTTTTTTAACAATCCTGCAACTATCCTCGCAATTTGAAGCAGTATATGTAAGTATGATGTATAGGAGAATATATTTATGACATTGGGGTATTTTGTGCACTGTAAATTTCGCGATGACAAACTATGATATGCGTTTTAACTTTAACAAAAAACTTTGTCAGGCTGAACTGTCAAAGCTCACTAATCACGACAATGTTTTTTGCAAATTGTCTGCAAAGAAATAATAGTCAGTTTAAGAATTCCATTTATTTGCAAATTATTTTTAATATCCCCACCATTTATCTTCCATCATTCTTTTTCAGACTGAAGGTATGTTTGGAAGCTCCAGTTTCAAGCGTGGTGATGACTACATTTGTTTACGAAGGTTCCAAGATGATAAACTTGTGGACCTGTGCATGGATAACATTACTCAGACCAAATTCATCACCAAGCAAGTGAGAAATCATTGTGTGAATTAATTGGATTAGGTGTGGACCTGTTGGATTGTACTAATGTACGGCAGGGGCAGTCGGGTAGCCTAGCGGTTAAAGCGTTCGCTCGTCACGCCGAAGACCTGGTTTCGATTCCCAACATGGGTACAATGTGTGAAGACGATTTCTGATGTCCCCTGCCGTGATATTGCTTGAATATTGCTAAAAGCGGCATAAAACCATACTCACTCACTAATGAATTGCAACCTTGGATTCGACTTCATGCAATGTTGAGCCATTGCCATTATCAAAATTATCTCTATGAAAGTTCATACTGCAATGGGTACTGTATATCTGTAAATGAATATGATATTTCTCTGGTAATCTTGTGTCTCATTTGACTTTTACTGCATTTGAAATAACTCTGTTACTTCAACTTGAAAATAAACATTCAAAAACAGCCAGAAATATGTCTTGACATTTGTCATGTTTGTTGACAAATAAATTCTGTAACTTTTTAAAGTCTAACCGTAACTTTTACATCATTTATATACCAACAAAAGAAATGTGGATACCATACATGATTGTCAATAGATGTAAAATTACTCATATTCAAGAAATATTAGATTGGTTCAATACACAAACGAACATACTGGTATGTTGTGTGAACCGTTCCTCATGAATGCTGGGGCACGGGTGGCCAAGTCGTCTAAGGCACCTTGATTCGCTGTGCAGAGTTGCGTCCCTTGGGCACGCCAGAAACCTATGATTGTGGGTTCGAATCCCGGTTCGCCCCAATTATGTTTCTAGGTTTGTCAGCACATTACCCGTGCTCGTGGGTTTCACCGAAGTGGTAAACATCTGAGACCTGCATCACTTCGGGCTTTCCTCCCACATTAAGCTGACACGCCGCGATATAACTGGAATACTGTTAAAAGCGGCGTTAAACCCAACTCACTCACTCCTCATGAATGCATGACATGTGACGTCATAGATCTACGACTCGAGATGCATCATATATCTTTTGGCAGTGAGTATATATCAAAGTTATACAATTTAACCAAATATACCTGATGTATATCCTGTCTTACCTTATGTTGGTGTATCCCAGGTTCCCCTGGTGGCTACAGAACTACCATTTGGGAAGAAGGTGTTGAAGCTGACTCGAGAGCAGCAAGTGTCCCTTGTTGTTGATCACCAGGACCACTGCCCTGGACTTGGCAAGATCTTTGGTATTGTCAAGCGCAAGATGGGTACCAAATACTTTGGAGAAATCTTCATGGAATTTTATCCCGGTATGTATATCATTCAGTCATCATCATCTCAAGCTTTTGCAGTTCATCCACTAATTTCACGTTTAATTGACTTTTGAAGTGTTAGTTTGAAACAAGATCTTGGGTAGGTCTTTGAAAGGTATTTAGAAGTGATTAACAAAAGGAAGAGAATATATGGATGTCAACTTCTTTATTATGTGGAACACAACGTTTCGGAGTATATGCTTACTCCTTCATCAGGTGAAGGAGTAAGCATATACTCGGAAACGTTGTGTTCCACATAATGAAGAAGTTGACATCCATATATTCTCTTCCTTAAGCATGTTAAGATCTTGAGTAGATTATTACTTGTGTATTTATTGAACTTTAATTTAATGCAGTGCCCTTTGACATTAACATTCCTGGTACTCCCCTGGATCTGATGAGTCAGCAATTTCAACATTTCAAAATCAACAAAATCTAAAAGTGTATGTGTGTGATCCCAGTAACAGTGTGTCTAGAAACCTGCTCACAATAGTTTAATCTGATTTTACATATGAAATGTATTTTACATGTTTATTCAATTGTCTTTGTTTTATTTGATACACAGTAATGTCTGCTGTATGAAATAAGACTATATTTGTTTTACATATTTTGATATGATGATCTTTTTGATTTTAGTTTTAAATTTTCTGCATCAATCTTAAACTAAATTAAACTTAAGTCTTTGATTTAAACATGTTAAAAGTTGGAAGTTCACAGAGATAACATTTTCGGGCTTGTACTTCTGGATTCTTTCTACGCAATGTTTCATCAGATGAAGAGGCAAGATGCAGCCTAAAAATGTTCAATCTCATTCAAATCTGATCTGTGCCTATTATCTATACTCAAAGATCTGAGGGCAATCCATTACAGATCACATCAGATCGACATTTTGTGAATTTGGACCAACCAATGAAATGACTGACAAGAAGTTGACATTAGCCAGTCAGTCACTACTTTCAAACTAGTGACTTCCATTCTAACTTCACTTTGAAAATATGTTTTGACAAATTACTCGATTCAAATTTTGAAAACTGAACAGAAGAACATTCTGGAATGCATAATAGATTGCCCAAATTGTATGGCAGTACTTTACATGGGCTATGGCAGTCTCTTTTGTTTCAAATGTTTATACCATTGAGGCGAGAGACTGACAAAGTTTTGACAGAATCAGTCGTATAGCTGTAACTGTCTTTCATAATACCCCATGTTAAGCTTTTTGAGGTTGTATGATTAGAAAACACATTCCTATTGTCGCTATCCCAATATGGATAGTGACGCTCTGATTGGTCGGATGAAAGGTCAGTCTGACATGACCCATAATGGAGGTCCTCAGATCTTTGTTCAGTGGAAGCGAGAACTGAGATCTGACTTTACTGAGATTGTAAAACATTGCATATAAAATCCACATACATCTATCAGTTCTAACATCATGTATTTCTAATGTAAGAGTCTTACAAACACTTGTAGTACCAAGATCATGTTTATGTGTTTCAGGGGGTACCCTTGATCCATCATCTCTGTTCCGTTCTTTGGATATTAGAGCGAAATGGAGACTTGCTGAAAACATTTTGATTAATGTTGGATATCTTCACTCGAAAGACATTGTCCATGGGGATATTAAATGTAAGTTGAGTTTATCTTGTGTTTCAATTAATCATGTTAATAGGGACTTAATATGAGCATGCATTGCATCAAAAAAAAATTCGGAATTCGGACATGAATTGCATTTACACCCACTGAACAAGTAAGGCAGTGATGCTGTCCTACTAGAGGCTTATTTGCCATGGTTCTGTTGTGGTACTGACTTAGGACCGACTGTTTGATATTTTGAGGAGGCTTGGATTTTTGTTAGAGGCAGAATATTTTTTCACTGCTTCAAAACATACATTATTTTCTCAGGAAAAAGCTGAACGTCTGATAAATATTGATGGAATTTTATATACGCAAAATAAATCCTAAAGAAATCAACATATTTCACTCCACAGGTGAGTGGTGGCACATTTATTCAGGGATTACTTAGTGGACATTTTTGATATAACAAAAACAGTTACTTTCCATCTTAAGCAATTGAGATTATTGACAATAACCATGATAACAAGTCTGTTTTGGTAAATCTAAACTTTATTTCATCATGTTCATCACAGTGCTTTCTGTAAGGTATTATTGATGACACAACTGTCATATCGATAATCTTTAATTTTTCTTCCCTCTGATGATAATTACAATTATTGATCTTATATATTTCCAGCCCTAATTAACACAGGGTTATTAAATAATTTACAGAGTTGCCACCTGCCCAATGGCAAAAGTGATAAACCACAAGAAAATGTCAGAGTACTTTCTGAATCTTACCATGCTTAGTACTGCCATGATTAGGACCGCCTCCATGGTCTAGTGGTAGAGCATCCGCCTGGAGAGTGGGAAAGTCCGGGGTTCGATCTCCAGCTGCGTCATACCAAAAGACGTTAAAAGATGGTACTTGTTATTACCCTGTCTGGCACTCGGCATTAAGGGACTAAAACAAGGACTGGCTTGGAGTCAGTATACTGTGTCCAAGTGGGGTATTCATGTTAAACTGTGGCATGGTATCTCAGTGTGCTAGCGCTATAAAATCAGCATCTGTCCGGACTAGTACAAGCAGCCACACACACAGACGCACAAATACATGCACGTCACTATATAAGTGCAACAATCTTGGATGCGACTTTAAACCCAATTTCACCTCACCTCACTACCATCCTTTATCATACCCTGAATCTGGCTTCAGGACAACAACTAAAAAATCTGTTGATTAAAACTGCAGATGAGTTTTATCTTCTTTAGCTTCCAAAATCAATCAAACTTGATGAGGTCAAAGGCCACATCATCCTCATACTGGACTTGGCAAATGGTACTGTGACTAGGTTTGTGGAAATTTATCATTGTTTAAACTAGGGCTTGGACGGGTAACTTGGGTACACGATCAGGTGGGTACTTTGTATGACCCGGGTATCCACCGGACTACCCGGACCTGTGGTTACTCACAGGATATATTGTGTAATGACAAAAACTCACTATAGCTCAGTGGTTACACTACAAGTCTCTAATGTGCGCATTCCTTTTGACTTGTAGTCAACTTCAGTGTACGTATGATCTGATCGTTTGATACATGTATCTAAATAGTTTTTGCCAGGGCTGCAGTAAAATAATTCCCAATCAGACATTTTGTTCCCAACTCTTGAGACCTACAGCAGGTACCCGGGTAGTACATTTAGACAGGTCTTAGCCCTAGTGGTTAGTCACGTGTTTAATGACAAAAAAATATCTTGAACTCCATGGTTACACTGTAAGTCACTTATGTTCACATTTTTCTCTCACTATGTACGCATTCCTTCTAACTTTATAAGTTTGAATGAAGATAAAACTTCAGTAAAATTCAGTGAAGGCATGAGCAGATTGTTTTATAACTGTACTTAAATACTATTCCCAATCAGATATTTTGTACATTTATGTGTTGAAATCTACAGCAGGTACCCAGGTAGGATTAGGTAATAGTGAGTGAGTGAGTGAGTATGGTTTTACGCCGCTTTTAGCAATATTCCAGCAATATCACGGCGGGGGACACCAGAAATGGGCTTCACATATTGTACCCATGTCGGGAATCGAACCCGGGTCTTCGGCGTGATGAGCGAACGCTTTAACCACTAGGCTACCCGACCGCCCGATTAGGTAATAGAGGGGTGGGTACCCGGGTAGTAAATTTGGACTCGTCTCAGCCCAAGTTTAAACAAACAATACGGGCTTGCCCTATTTTATCCAAAGAATACAGGCTTGACCATGTTGACAGCATTTGGTTTTGTAGGTAGGACAAGATCAGTTGTCCATCAGTTGTCAATCTTAATTATATGTCAGCATCCGCCCGGAGAGCGGAAGGTCCAGGGTTCGATCCCGGGCCGCGTCATACAAAAAGACGTTAAAAGATTGTACTTGTTGTTACCCTGTCTGGCGCTCGGCATTAAGGGGCTAAGACAAGGACTGGTCGGCTCGGAGTCAGTATACTGTGTCTGAGTGGGGTATTCATGTTAAACAGCAGCATGGTATCTCAGTGTGCTATCACTATAAATCGGCATCAGTCCGGACTAGTACAAGCAGCCACACACACACATACACGTGCATGCACGTCGCTATATAAGTGCAATAATCTTGGACGCGACGTTAAACCCAATTTCACCTCACCTTAATTATATGCCAGGTTTCTGGCTAATAGCTTTGACAAATGTTAATGTCAGAAATTGTAGAAATGCTATTTAGACACAAGTGATGCTAACACAACAACCAATTCAGTTAATCATGACTTCAGCTGGCTTAAACATGTTAAAGCTTTGTTTCAGACAGTACCGATACACAAGTGAATTTGTGGACTGGAAGCTACAGGCTCTCATTCCAAATCTATTGACCAATAAAAGTTGCTGATAAATGTTCCTCTTGCTTTCAGATGAAAATATCGTTCAAAACGGATATGGTTATCCTATCTTAATTGACATGGAGTCGGCCTATCACCCTACCTACAACATGTACAAGACAGGGATGCGTGGTAAGACTGATGTCATGTATATATTTGTACACCTTCCCGAGAGTCAGTTAACTCCCTTGCCTTGGGAAGATGATGTTTGCACCAACAAGACCATGTACCCTGACAGTTCTGTAAACTACTGATGTGCCTTGATGTAAAACTGTCACTCACTCACTCACTCCTTTGTGTTTCTGTTTTGGACACCTCCATGTGGTAATACCAACCTCATTAAAATCATATCTTAGTTCTCGCTGTCGCTAAACAAAGTTCTGAGGACATCCCATTTCAGGGCACGTCAGCACGACCTTTCATTATTCAAAATTATCATCTATCTCTCGCTTCCGTAGGATAAACATTTGAGCCCGAGAAGCTGCACAGTATGTGGGAAGCACTGCCATACAATTTCAACCATATATTAGACATCCTGGAATGTGCGCTTGTTCAGTTTTCTAAATTTAATCGAGAACTGTGTCAACATATTTTTCAATTGTAGTCTGAAATGGAAGTCGCCAGGTTGAAACGATTGCCATAAAGCTTGAGAAAGCTGCTTTCTAATTGGCTGATGTCGACTTTTTGGTAGTCATGTCAGTGGTCGGTCAAAGTTTGGGAAAGGTCATTCTGACGTGACTCCTAATGTGATGTCATCAGATCTTTGTTTAGCGGCAGCGAGAACTTAGATCTGATATAATGAGATTGTGGAAATACCTTATGGCTTTACGTTGTGTGACATGGCATTGTGTGATGATTGCTCCACTGAGTACCAGTTGTTGGCTTCAGACCTGGTTATGTATTGCAAGTCCAAGATTTCTACAGCTGTCCCAATGGAAGTTAGTCATGAAAGTACTAAAGACCTGTTTACACCTTAGGTTTATCCACAGTTCCTACTGATTTAGAATAAAAGTCATGGATTAATAAATCCAGATGAACAAAATCTGAGGACACCCCATTACTGGTCACGTCAGACCAACCTTGCGCTGACTTTGACCGACCAATGGAATGACTGACAAGAAGCTAACATTAGCCAATCAGAAGGCAGCTTTCTCATGCTTTATAGCACTAATTTTAAATAGGCGACTACGCTTCGAAATGTATTTGGACAAATTCTCCATTAAAAAATTGAAACTTGAACAAATGAACATTCTTGAATGGCTAATAGATGTTCTAGATTGTATGGATTCAGTTGTTAAGCACGTAACTATTGTTCGGAATACCCCCTGTTAACGTTTTCGAGGTCGCATGATTAGGAATCACATTCCGACTGTCACTTTCATGATCTGGTAAGCATCCCTCTGATTGGTCGGATAAAAGGTAGTTCAGACGTGACCCGTAATTGGATGTCCTCAGATATTTGTTTAGCGGATGCGAGAACAAAGATCTGATTTTAATGAGATTGACATGTATATCAAGTTCTTAACTGATGAATTAATATTGCTTCTAATTTGAAACAAAATATAGTAGATAGTATGTGTTCAGAAATGCAAAGAAGCTTTTTCTAAATAAATCTTCAAATTGATATTGGCAATTTTACTGTTTTACCAAGGGTGCCGCCATGCATCACGGAAATAAACCTGTCGCTTTAGGGGTAATAAATATCGAGCAGACTCACGGAATGGCCAAAAATGAAATGCTGACGACTTTGGTAAGTCAGTGTCAACTAAGACTAAGCTGTAAACCTGCTCACACTCTGTTGAAATTGATAATCACATCTCCATTAATCCATGTATTTGTTAAACTGATCAGTTTCATTGAAACAATAACATCCAAATTAGCAGGGTTAAATAATCATTGATCTATTGATGTAGCGAGATAATTCTAAAGAGCCTTCTTAGAAGAAACACTTTCTGTTACAGCGACATACACATTCCTGCCTCCATGGTTCAGAAAGTGCCACAAAAGCCAAGACTTTGATTTGCTGAAATCTCTCGACCTGTGGGCAGTGGGGGTCGTGCTGCTGCACATCGTATTTGGACGTGTCTTGCTGGGGAATGAGCGAGCGAATCTTCGGCGCTGTGATACATGTAATATGCAAGGGGGACCTTGCCTGCATGTAATGTCCAAATATCTGAAATTGGTAAGTTTGACAAGAAGTCAATTAGCAATTCTAGCTACTCCACATAATGAGACAAAAAAACAACTACAAGTAAGAGTCTTTCTTCGTGCTAGATAGATCCATCAGATAGATTTTAATCCCTCACTTGGTTCCTTATAAATAGAAATCTTGACGACAGTACTTGTCACTTTCACTGACAGACAATTTGATCAATTAATTGGATGTAAAGCGCCCAACTCTTACAAATTGAAGTGTATTTGAATAATGCTATGATTAGTATCATAGGGTCGAGTATATGTTGCCAATACTTTTGCGATTCATGTATAATGAATGCTCCCTTACATGTTAGCATGCCTGCACATTGCGTGAGTTAATCGGCCTTCTGCCACGGTGAATGATGTGCGAGTCATGTATAATGAATGCTCCCTTACATGTTAGCATGCCTGCACATTGCGTGAGTTAATCGGCCTTCTGCCACGGTGAATGATGTGCGAGTCATGTATAATGAATGCTCCCTTACATGTTAGCATGCCTGCACATTGCGTGAGTTAATCGGCCTTCTGCCACGGGGAATGATGTGCAAGTCATGTATAATGAATGCTCCCTTACATGTTAGCATGCCTGCACATTGCGTGAGTTAATCGGCCTTCTGCCACGGGGAATGATGTGCGAGTCATGTCATTTGTGCAGGGCACAATTCAAAGCCAAGATACAACACAAATGTTAAAGGATGATTATATGATGACTGAATGAGGTTTGAAAGTTCAGGCTCGGTGTCCGGGCTGATGGTAGGTCATCATGGCCATCGTGATTTGGCTGGAATATTGCTGACTGCAGTGATAAACAACACTCGCTCACTCATAAGATGTTGCTGTCCTGCTAAAACATCCCGGGAAGGACTTATTTTAACCCTAACAGTGCAAAATCTGTGAGGAACTCTATTCTGTATGTAAGTAGCACTGCCTCAGAAGTAACAAAAATTAAATTTGCAGTTATTATGTACATAGGACACATTTGCTTGATCATGTAGATTTTCGTCAATTACCGTATTTTCTTGAGTATAGTGCGCACCCATGTATAATGCGCACCCCCCTCTAGCGGGTTCAATATTTTGGAAAAAAAGAAATTTGAATATTATGCGCAGAAACTTTTTACACCGTACCCTTTGAGCGAAGTCCGGCAAACGAACGGATGCTGAGAAACTTCGTCAGTACAAATTCGAAATTTGAGATAAAAAATCACCAGACATGTTTATTTACCGTTTAAATAGTATTTATTGTTCTGCTAGGCATTGTTTTATATTTAGGGATTAAGATTACCTTGCGTATTTTCTCGTAAACTAAGCTGGAAACAGCAATCAGCTGTACACACGTTTTCTTGGAATCGACCGGTGATTCGGTTAAGACACACCCAATGATATAACTTTATAAGATTTTTAATGCAAGGATCGGCGACAATTGTATCTGAAACTATTTTATTTATCAGGAATAATATATTCCATTATTTTCTTAATTATATGCAACCTTTACTAAACATATTTAAAATAATAATAACCCTAAGCGAAGCTGCTGATCGCTATTCCCGGGTATTATTTTTTACATGGAACATGTCTGACCAGTCACCGTCAAGGCTCACGCGCACGTGATCACGTGATCGCGTGAATTTCATGTTGACATAGAATCGTCAAACAAAAACAAATATGACTTTTAACAAGTCAAAGTATGTCATTTATGATATATGTATCGATTCTCTGTCAACTAAAGTTTGTTTCAAGGCGTCAATAGCGGTATTCTGACCGTGGTTGCTGTTAATAACGGTGAGTTGTGCGATCTTCCGATCGCTTCACACACGATTTCGCCGAAATTAATAAAAACAATATTATAAGGAATTTTGAATAAAATCAATGAAATAAGTTACAAACATAAGTCCAGATATACAAAGAACACTTTTTATAGCCAGACAGTGTAATTACATGATTATTTTGCGTACTTCAGTATGGATTTGTTGACATGGTATTCCCGGTGTTTCATGCTCACGGTAATGTCTTTCCATGGGGGAAAAAAACATCCAAACTCATAATTCGTGTATAATGCGCACCCCCTTCCACACAGCTGTGTTTTTTGGAAAAAAAGTGCGCACTATACTCAAGAAAATACGGTAATACATTTTATTGATTAGGAACAATCACTTCCTTTTGTAGACATGGTAGTGTCACTATGAATATCCCTATATGAGCCAAAACTACAACCTGTTACCTCTACAAAGACATAACGTAACATAACGTTAGTTTAACTACATTAACATGAATTGGGTATTTTTACTGACATTTGCTGCAGACTTGGAGTCAGATATCACGCTATGAGCACATCTTGATAAATTACTGGTAGGCCCTGTGAGAATTGTAATTGTCTTTTTAATTAACCATTACCTTGTATATACTCAGCAACTAAAGTTCCTGCGATACAATATGAAAGAAGAACCTGATCAAAGTAGATGCACACATCAGAAAGAATTCATATTTTCAAACAGACAATGGACCAGTAAAACAAGTTACACATTTAATGACACATGTCTAGCACAGAAATGACGTTATGACAAAAGAAAGTTGCAAGAACAGAATTGTCAATTCACATGTCATTAGATTGTTGGTCAGAATTGGGCGTCTGGCTAGTCTCCTTGCAACAATCCCATAACGTCTAAGACAGCGACGGACAGTCTGTGCCTCTATTCAATAAAAGCCAGGGATGGTTCTTGCAGGGATTGTTGCAGGCTGGAACCAATTTGGCAGATGGGTGGTTCGAATCCAACGATCTTCACGGACGCTTGTATAATGGAGAGGGGGTGGGGGGGCTGCCACCGTTTGGTCGGCCTCTGACAATGTATATTTGCTGCCATAACGTCCAAATGGTGTTTCTGTGCAAGTCACATCACCTAGCAACTTCACACTGCGACATTCCTGACTGGAGCATACCAGTGGCTCTCAAGCAGTCATTTTCAGATAATTATGATATCTCCAAACTTCAAATAATAATTGAAATTTGATGTTTTTCCGTGTTGCAGTTGTCAAGACAAGCAGAAACAATGCATGCCGAATCCCTTCAACATGCAGGCTTTTATACCCTAGTTTACATCATCAATTGCATGATAGCTGCATGAAAGACACTTTTTGCCATCAGAACATGCTTACAGCTGAGGTTGCGTTTGTGCTACATGTTTTCATATTTTCGTATCTGAAAGGTTTTTCTTGTATGCAACCGATTGGAAAAGGGTGTTACAGGAACTTTTGTTGCTAAGTATATGTAACTCTGTTATCATACTATAAAATGTATTTTCGATGCAGTTTTGAAAATCTGCCTTCTATCCTTGCAACCTTTATGTCCTTTCTTACAAAACCAGGGCCCAGTTCCACAAAGTGATCGTGGAACTAAGGTTCTCATATCTCCCATACTTTAACATAGACAGTCATAGCGCTTCAATTGCTATGTGGTTAATGGCCCTGTAACCTGACAGCTAGTACCTGGTGTGGTTCAGATTCCTCATTTCCCAGCTTGCCCTAAATAACAGGACCCGTGAAGATCCGGGGTACAATAGGTCTTCAGCAACCCATTCTTGCCGTATCAGGCGAATATGCTTGTCGTAAGAGGCGACTAACGGGATAGGGTGGTCCGGCTTGCTGACTTGGTTGAAGCATGTCATCAATCCCAATTGCGTGGATCGATGCTCATGATGTCAATCACTGGATTGTCTGGTCCAGACTCGATTATTTACAGACCACCGTCATATAACTGGAATATTGCTGAGTGCGGCGTAAAACAACCAACCAACCAACCAACCTAAATAACAGAGCCCTCATTAATATTTACCAAACACTGAAACTTTACTATAGTTCTACATATGGTCCCTGATTTACTCAATTAATTGTTCATCCTGTTTTAAAGTGGACATTGTTGTACTTCAGCTGCAGCAGAGACCCAACATTGTGAGGAATTACCTGCCCAGCATCTCCCGGAGTGATGACCCCGACCTGAGGCGTCTGGCCTGCCTGATTCATGGGCTGCTTGCTCCCGCGGGCCACAATGCCCAGCTGACTGCAGAACAGGCTGTAGATGCCCTTCGTGGTAAGATCCATGGAAGTGTTGAAGAGACAAGTAACCTCTACAGAAATATGTGTCAGGGTGTTGACTTCTTTGACAGGCATTTAGAAGTCTGGACTAATGGACGTGACGTTAAACCCAATTTCCAGGGTATGAAACTCCCAAAACATTCAGCCAGACCACAGGACTGGCTAGCTGAAATACTTGCCAGCCCTGACCAAAACCTGCCTGCCCACTATAATCATATGTTTCTCAGGATAAGCTAACGAGGTTTCTTTTTGGTTACATTTTATCATTCATCTTTACATGTGAATTAGTGCTTATCATCAGGAAATATTTAGAATATTTTCACATATAAAATATAACCTGACCGTCGGGCAGGGGGATTTGAAAATCTGGCAGCCAGAGTTGAAATCAACCCGTCTCGGACGGTTGGGCAGGCAGGTATTTCGAACACTGCCATTTCACCTCACCTCATGATTAATGTCCCACTATCCATGTGTCTTCTTGTTTCAGATGACTATGTGATTGCAGTCATCAAGAAATCCGGGGATCAGAGAGTACCCCCAGCTGTAGTTCCCCGGGGCACATGCATGAAGGACTTCATGAATACTCCAACGGTGGAACAGCTGGTGGGTTGTTGTACTAAGCAATAATTTGAGCATGTATTTTGTAAAATAAAGAAAACTTTATTCAGTGAGTGAGTGACTATTGCTTTATTCCGTATTGATAGAATCACAGAAATTTCATGACAGGAGGCACCAGAAATATGCTTCACACATTACGCACATGTGGGGAATCAAACCCAGACCTTTGGCATGACAAGCGGACGCTTTAACCTCCAAGTTACCCAACTGCCCCTGAAAATTTATTCTGTAAAAAATTGTAATCCTTTTAGCATGTTTAGTTTATCTTGTTCAAAGGGGGCTCAAGTTTGTTCAAAACATCGCACTTTATAGATACATGTTTGTCTTAGAAGTACTTTTCTTTTTTATCCAATTCTTTAGATGTTTAGTGATATTCGTCCAAGAAACCACAGTTTCAAGGTTTTTTCAAAGCATCATGATAAAAAATTCCTGGAATTATGATTAATTTGTGTGTTTTCATGAAATAAAATATACTTGAAAAAAGGTTTACTTGGTAAATGTCTCTTTCTCTAAAACCAAAGAAGTAATAAAGCTGACAGTTTGCATGGATGCTCCTGCAAATAAGTTCAGATTGTCTGCGTCAAAAATTTTTTTGCCATAGCCATCATGGTGAAGATGCTAATTTGAACCATCAGTCTTCTGTCTATGTAGAGTGAGTGAGTATGGTTTTATGCCGCTTTTAGCAATATTCCAGCAATATCATGGCGGGGGACACCAGAAATGGGCTTCACACATTGTACCTATGTCGGGAATCGAGCCTGGGTTTTTGGCATGACTAGCGAACGCTTTCACAACTAGGCTACCCGACCGCCCCTGTCTATGTGGAATAATTGATGTGCAGATGAAGGGTGCAGTGAGACCAGATATATGTTCTGTTTTGCCTAGACATTTTACATAAATTCCTTGTTTTCCACACCTGCAAAAGTGTTAAATGTGTTAATTTAAACAATAATAATCATATTTTGATAATTCATTTTTGAAGCTGTGAGTTTTAACTCCAAATTCCCGCTGTCTGTTGGCTAGAGCCATTCTAAAATGGGGATTGGATGTTTAAATTTGTCATGTGTGCTAAGCTATGAATCACGGGTGTGTCTGGTCCAGATGTGATCTGCAGACTGCTGTAAAGTTCTTGTTACCTTTCAGAAAAGTCAGCACCCAGACCTACGGGAAGGAATGTATTTTACCTGGGACCAACCCTATGATGGAAGGGAGATGGACAAGATCATGAATAAACATGACAGACTAACGGAGTGTTGTGAACTCCGTATCCATGCTCCCATCGACTCCCATGTTCGACCCCCCATCTACAAGCCACCGGATACCACTGAGCTGTAATCATCGTCTGAGGAGTGACATGCAGAACCAGGGACTAAACTTAATGACCAATGCGACATTTAATCACAATAGTTACGTGATGTTTCCCCAGACCCGTGAAGATTCGGGGTAGAATAGGTCTTCAGCAACCCATACTTTGCTTGTCGTAAGAGGCGACTAAATGAATCGGGTGGTCAGGCTCGCTGACTTGGTTGATGCATGTCATCGTTTCCCAACTGCGTGGATTGATGATCATGATATCAATCACTGGATTGCCTGGTTCAGACTCGATTTTTTACAGACCGCCATCATATAGCTTGAATATTGCTGAGTGCGGCATAAACAACAAACAAACAGAACAAAAATGTGATGTTCCCTGGTCAAATATACTGATGGGAGTAGATAAGGAAACACATTGAAATATTGCAGAATTTGTTTACATTTTGCTTGTCCTGTGCGGAATCCAGGTTAGAATAGGTCCCCGGTAACCTATGCTGGTCGTAAGAGGCGACCAAATGGATTGGGTGGTCAAGTTCAGTAACTTGGTTGATTCTGCGTCATGATACCCGGTTGACATGGATCGATGCTCGTAATATCAATCACTGGAATGTCAGTCTTGACTCCATTATTTATAGGCCACCATCACACAAGTGGAACATAGCTGATTTCAGTGGTAAATGACAAGAAAACCTTTTTTTTAATACAAGTTGGTCATCAAGTGAAATGTTAGCATGAAGTGTATTCACTATATTGCCAAGCAATCTGTTCTGTTCAGGGTACATGTGACTTTCATTTCCTTTAATAATTATAAGTGTGTTTATAGTGTGCCATTTTTCAGTCACCGAGTGAATTCACAAGGTGCTACATATTATCACCCCGGTCATTGGATCAGTGTGCATTCAATGTTCATTCTCAGCTCCCTGGGGTAACAACCCTTACTGCCTATGAGGTGGTAGAAGGTTAACAGTCACATTACCACCTCATCCTACCGGGTACCCACTCACTGCTTGGTGATGAGAGGCATATTTCGATTTCGAACAAAGTCACTTGCCTAAGGAGACACCATATGTGGTACATGTGCTTCAGTGTTGGGCAGGACAGAAGCCCTAAAAACTTTCAGGAGTCCAGCTGCTTAACGTGGTGACCAATCCAACTACTCTCCATAACTAACTTTGCTCAACTTCACCTGACTTGTGACCTGTGTACTGTGCGCCTTTATAGGTGTTGCCTTATTTATCTCCCATCAGTATATGTATTTTACTTTCATTAGACTAGTGAGTTCAGCATTCTCTTGTATCAAGGGCAGAAGAACAATTAGGGAAGACATGAAGACGTCTCATTGGTCAGCTTTTATTCCCTGTTGTAGATAAAACAACATAGTAATATCTGATAATACACATATTTACCGGTTGAAATAAAAGTTAACTGCATCTGTGGTTCTGCGTGCATGCTCGCCTGTTGGTAGTTGGCCTTGTGTTGAACAACAGGGCTTTTAGATCTAGCAGTCTTTCAGAGTTTTATTTTGTCGGCTCTGCTTCCTAGTGCTGGCTTTATTGGTACTGGTGGTCAGTGTTGACTGTTGACAATGTAAGTACCGTATTCGACGTAATAAGCGCCCAGGGCGCTCTCAAAATTAGAAATAGGGGTCTCTTATTAGAATATTATTTTGGTGAAAAAAACAGATTTGAAAGATAAATTTTGTGGTTTATGCTGACAGCCTGAAATGTTTAAATACGAGATACGTTTTGCAGATTTTAATTGCTCATAACTAAGGGTGCATATAACACACGAGTGCGTATTATACGCGAATAAATAAGTGTTGTGTACATTGATCAATCGGAAGAGGTGCTAATTGGGATTGTTCACTAGCCAATATATTAGCAAATATCGCCGTGGGCGCTTATTAGAGCAGGGCGCTTATTACGTCGAATACGGTAAATTGACTGCTGCTTTAAGTAGTGTTCATGTCAGTGATGTCTCAATACTTACAGTTTGCCAAACTTGATTGTAAATATGATTAACAGGCTTATAATATTGGTGCATAATTAAAACCATTACCAGTAAAAACCACTACAGCTGACATGAGTATACAGCTCCATGTTGTCATCACAAGAACAGGTATACCTGAGATTGGGTTCGAATCCCGGATGGTGCTAGAATTTGTACTTAATTAAGAAAATGTAATCCCAGATATAACATATGTTACATTTGACCACTTTCTAAAAAGCTTTATATATTCATAGCTTTGGCCATGGATGATGTGCCAATTTGCACTTATCAGCGGGGTACACAAAGTATGTGATCTAGACTACAAGTTGTCAGACTTCCATTTTTGTGGAAGCCGCTGTGGCTGAGTGGGTTAGATCGCTGACTTTGTGTGCTGGCAAGGATGTGCCTCACTCTGAGAGTGTGTGTTTGCATCCCGGATGGGACTCAACCCACAATTATTAGAATTTGTACTTTACTAAGAAAGTGTCATCTCAAATATGACATATGTTACAGGAAGATCTCCATTTGAAATTTCTGAAATAGCTGAAATTATTAACTGCAAGTATTTCAGGAACACATTTTCGAACGTTTCTGGAAAAGAGAGAAACCACTCCCATGAATATTTGTATCCATTGCAGACAGTGGTTATGCTGTATTATATGTTGGTCCAAAACCACTAGACTTCACTTTATGTACTTAGTTGCTGTTTCATGTACTTAGTTGCTGTTTCATGTACTAAGTTGCTGTTTCATGTACTTAGTTGCCGTTTCATGTACTTAGTTGCTGTTTCATGTACTTAGTTGCCGTTTCATGTACTTAGTTGCTGTTTCATGTACTAAGTTGCCGTTTCATGTACTTAGTTGCTGTTTCATGTACTAAGTTGCTGTTTCATGTACTTAGTTGCTGTTTCATGTACTTAGTTGCCGTTTCATGTACTTAGTTGCCGTTTCATGTACTTAGTTGCTGTTTCATGTACTAAGTTGCCGTTTCATGTACTTAGTTGCCGTTTCATGTACTTAGTTGCTGTTTCATGTACTAAGTTGCTGTTTCATGTACTTAGTTGCCGTTTCATGTACCTAGTTGCTGTTTCATATACTAAGTTGCTGTTTCATGTACTTAGTTGCTGTTTCATGTACTTAGTGGCCGTTTCATGTACTAAGTTGCTGTTTCATGTACTTAGTTGCTGTTTCATGTCAAGTTGCTCTATGTCTTCTTTCTCTGTGCTCACTGACAATTTACAGCAAATACAAATCTATGTGTGGGTACAAGTATGTGTTCAAGCATATCTATGCAATCAGGTGGGAAGTGGTATCTTTGTGTGTCAATCCATGTACACAAGTGCAGGTCTTTCGAGGATGCAGAAGGTGAAAATATTTGCAAGTCACGCTGAAGATAGGGGTTCGATTCCCCAAATGGGAACAGTTTGTGAAACCCATTTGTGGTGTCTCAGTTGTGATCTTGCTGCCGAAGGCTGAAAGTGGCATCCATGGTTCACTTGTTCGCTCATGATCGTATCCATGCATTCCTGTGTGTTCGTGTATAATTGTAGAACTATTGCATTCATGTGTTCAGCAGCATCCATGTATACAAGTGTGTGTGGCATCCTTGCATTCGTGCCTGTAGCTGCATCCATGTATATAAGTGGGTGTGGCATCCATTCATTCATGCCTGTAGCTGCATCCTGGCATTCGTGCCTGCGTGTAGCTGCATCCATGTATATATGTAAGTGTGTGTGGCATCCTTGCATCCGTGCCTGTAGCTGCATCCTGGCATTCATGCCTGTAGCTGCATCCTGGCATTCGTGCCTGCGTGTAGCTGCATCCATGTATATAAGTGGGTGTGGCATCCATTCATTCATGCCTGTAGCTGCATCCTGGCATTCGTGCCTGCGTGTAGCTGCATCCATGTATATATGTAAGTGTGTGTGGCATCCTTGCATCCGTGCCTGTAGCTGCATCCTGGCATTCATGCCTGTAGCTGCATCCTGGCATTCGTGCCTGCGTGTAGCTGCATCCATGTATATAAGTGGGTGTGGCATCCATTCATTCATGCCTGTAGCTGCATCCAGGCACTGGTGTATTGGTATTCATGCATCAAATGATGTGATAGCCTTATGGTTCAAGTGTGTACATATCACCCAGGAGATCAGGTTTTTCTCCTCAAATTTGTACATTTGGGAAGCTCATTGATGGTGTAGATATTCCTGTAGTTCAGCTGAAAGTGAAAAAAAAAATCATATTCTCTCACATAATGATCATGATGATGTCTTTTCGTCATACAGTAGATGCCCAGAACAAGTGAGACAAAAGATCACTGTATCCATAAGTATATCGCATGTCAAACCTTGGTTGTCTCCAACAAGAAAACACATTGTCCACAAGGCTATCACATTAGGGCTATTACTCGGGTCGGGTCGGGTTGGTCCTAAGTAAGACCTGGGTACCCACGGGACTTTCCGGATCTGCGGTTAGTCATGGGATATGTTGTTTAATGACAATAACAACCATACTCCATGGTTCCACTACAAGCAGCTAACGTTTACATACGTATTCCTTCTGACTTTTAGATGTTTGAGTAAACGTAGAGCTTCAGTCAACATCACTGTATGCATGATCAGATCGTTGTACACATGTATCTCAATAGTTTTTGCCAGGACTCGTGTAAAACAATACCTGATCAAATTTTGTATCCAACCTACAGTAGGTACCAGGGTCAGGTATCTGGGTAGTAAGTTTGGGACTCAATCCAGCCCTATATCACATACCGGTACTCCTGTTTGGGACAAATGCTTCACGGTCTGAAAATCTCACATTGCTCACTATCCCTAACAACTGTGATACAATGGCTCCTCTAGGATTCAGTATTCCTAATGTTGATGTCAAACTACATCAGTATCTGTTCCTGTTAAGGCAACCTGTTTACCATATATCTTTTCAAAACCTAACCTGCATCTTGGCATCTTCATTTTTTCAGGTTTCTCTGGAATTGTTTATGAAATTATTTAAAAAATCAATTTGTAAGCTGTAAAGGTTCTTCAACTTGTTCAAGGAAAATGTTCAAGTACCGGTATGAGTGTTTGTGCATCATCTAGGGTTCAGTTCTAGAGGAGCTATGTGAGAACAACAAAAAGTACCTGATTGGTATTTTATTGAGAAATATTTTGTGCCTGTTAAAACTTTGCATGACATACAGCTATACCATGTTATTCAAAAGTGTTTGTTTTTGGTTATCTCATCTGGTATTTTGAAGGTCAGAAATGGGCAGGAACTTGTCTTTATTCAAATGTATGTAATTGTATATTGCCGTTTTAGATTTCTCTGTAAATTGGGGGAAGCAATAGAAACACAAAACCAAGCACTTGGTTTTAAACTTGGTGTGGCTGTCAAATCCATCATGTCCATGTAACATTATACTCATGTTCATTGGAAGTTTTGTCTCGTGAACAATATTTTTCTATTTCTATATTTTCTTTTAATAAACGCTTTGTAGATGCAATATTGTTTTATTGATTAAATTTCATGGGATATACTGAAGGTCACTGTTAAAGCAAAAACTGCTACAACCTTACATCTATTTGTGCTATGTGATTTGAAAATCTCAAATCTGTTCGAACAACTTGCTCCTCGGGCACCATCGAGTGATTGTTGGGATTACATCATTTGTTGTACATTACAACAGTGTCGGCCTGGGAGTGCCACATTTGATATTTGGGAGGAAAACTCATGGTGGTGCTCTCTTGACCAGTAAGGGCTCGGACAATGGTTCAAAGGCTTTCCAGCTTGAAGGCAAATATAATGAGGACAAAGGAGTACCGGTCATCAATTTCATTACCATAGTTAATATTTAGAAATTTGCATGCATGTTATGGCAAAATATACATACAGTGTATGGAAATGGTCCATGAGTATTACAGTATTACAGTTATATCGCGGTGTGCCGGGTTAATGTGGTAGGAAAGCCCGCAGTGATGCAGGTCATAGTGGTAGTGGTTGTTGTCTAGGTGCCCCGGAGCACCCAGCCTAACCCTAGCTAGGCTAAGGGTAAGACCTTTTTTTTCTCCTTCCTCTCAATCATTCTGGACCAAGGCTTATATAGCCAAGGTCACCTGACATTTAGTAAGTAATAAATATAAATATAAACAGTAATTCATCAATGACATACTTGCACATCTCGTTCAGGATGGCAGACGGTCGATGTACACAAAAATGGGGATTAACAATTAGGATTAGCATCTTATAAATAACAGCAATTAAATGTTTCAAGGCATATAGATGTCATGGCTCCAGGGTAATAGCCTTTGCAATTAAATGTTCTTCAGACAATGGGTGTCGTAAATCAGTCGCCATGACAGCACTCACAAACTACATCAACCCCTAACCACAATTGCGGAATAAATAGAGGATATTATATGAGTGTTCATGTCATACTATGTTTAAGACACGAGTGTTTTAATTCCGGTTTTTAGAATTTATGCATGAGTGTCGTAAACATAGTGTGACATAAACACAAATATAATGTTCTATTTATTACCGAAGAGTGAGTGAGTGAGTGAGTGAGTTGGGTTTAACGCCGCTTTTAACAGTATTCCAGTTATATCACGGCCTGTCAGCTTAATGTGGGAGGAAAGCCCGAAGTGATGCAGGTCTGAGATGTTTACCACTTCGGTGAAACCTACGAGCACGGGTTTTGGTGCTGACAAACCTAGAAACATAATCGGGGCAAACCGGGATTCGAAACCACAATTATAGGTTTCTGGCGTGCCCAAGGGACGCAACTCTGCACAGCGAATCCCCGCGCCTTAGATGACTTGGCCACCCGTGCCGCCCTTAATACCAAAGAAGAAATCCACACACAGAGAGGAATTTTAGTGTTTACCTATAAGAACAGCAGCGGAACCATAATTTGTCGAATGACGTGAAAAATCTTCAGCTATGATGTCGCTTCTCGCTCATTTCAACCTCGCGTCACAATAACATTCGGATGACGGAAACAATACACTGTTGTCTCGTGATGTGATATGACCCTGGGGCATGTCTGATTTTTATGAACCCTGATATGTTTGCCCTTGTAGGTAATAATATACAATAACTAACATGTCATAACTTTATTGTATTCATGCCACATAAATACAAGTACAATGACATTAATATTTGGACAAAAATACGAAGATAAAGGTGCATAAAAACAGCACCTACACCTCAGAATCTCCTCAAGTCTTTCAAATAAGTTCATGTACATATTATAACATAAATCTGTGAGTACCATAGGAGCAAGTTACTTTGGCCCTTAAAAATGAAAGTCAATTGCAAGAATTCCAGTCAATATCGATAAATATATATCCGGAAATGTCAACAAACTAGTGAATGGTTTTAATAAGCGCCTCTGTCAAATTCTATGTGCCCAGGACACTTATCATGGCAAATACGGTTATGAAAATGTACACAAACATGCAAGATATGTTTTATGATGACTTTCAACTCCTCATTTCATTATGTCTTACGACCTGTGAAGATGCGGGGTAGAATAGGTCTTCAGCAACCCATGCTTGCCGTTAAAGGCGACTAACAGGATCGGGTGGTCTGGCTCACTGACGTGGTGGATGCATGTCATCGATCCCAATTGTGTGGATCGATGCTCATGATGTCAATCACTGGATTGTCTGGTCCAGACTCAATTATTTACAGTCTGCCGTCATATAGCTGGAATATTGCTGAGTGCAGCGTCAAACAACAAACAAACAAACAAACATTATGTCTTACATGAAACTCCAAAACAAATTATGGATATTCTTTAAGATATTTCAACAATTAAAATTAAACAGCTATTGCTTATTGCTTGATGAAAACAATGTCCAATACACTTCTTTCCAATCATAAACTGAACAGTAAAGCCATACAGATGCAGGAAAGGCCCCTTGAGGATATCTTACACAATAAACAAGGAATGGTCTGATTATATTTGAGCCACCATAATAGTGCAGACACTCTTACTTCAATGCAACGTACTTGCCTGATAAAGGTGCAGGCATCTGTATCGAAACGTACATGCTTGATAAAGGTACTAGCATCTGTATCGAAACGTACATGCTTGATAAAGGTGCAGGCATCTGTATCGAAACGTACATGCTTGATAAAGGTGCAGGCATCTGTATCGAAACGTACATGCTTGATAAAGGTGCAGGCATCTGTATCGAAACGTACATGCCTGATAAAGGTGCAGGCATCTGTATCGAAACGTACATGCTTGATAAAGGTGCAGGCATCTGTATCGAAACTTACATGCTTGATAAAGGTGCAGGCATCTGTATCGAAACGTACATGCTTGATAAAGGTGCAGGCATATGTATCGAAACATATTTGCTTGATAAAGGTGCAGGCATCTGTATCAAAATACTTGCTTGATAAAGGTACTAGCATCTGTATCAAAACATCACATTGAAAGAATATTGGAGTTGTAATCAACTGTATCTTCATCAATACTGCAGCATCTAAAATGTCACTTACAGAACACATAAAAACAAGCTACAGCCCTGAAGTTATGGCACTTTCACATTCTACAGTCTGCTAAGGCTGCAGTGGCTATGCACAAGTTAATAGGCAGTCGTAGAAAGTTTGATTCAAGTCCCCACAACACCACTCTGTCTGCTTTGTCAAGATCTAGGTTCCATACCAATGTGGCAGCTAATATTTACTCTAATTACACAAAAACAAATTCTGCTTCTCACAGCACACTCATTACGACAAGGGGCGGTCGGATAGCCTAGTGGTTAAAGCATTCGCTCGTCACGCCGAAGACCTGGGTTCGATGACCGACATGGGTATAATGTGTGAAGCCCATTTCTGGTGTCCCCTGCCGTAATATTGCTGGAATATTGCTAAAAGCGGCGTAAAACCATACTCACTCACTCAATACGACTTGAGATATGCTGGAATTCCGAAGTACCACAACTGTAATTATTAATTATTTTAACAATGTGACAATGTAGATATGCCAGCGATTTCATGTGAACGTTAATTTTCTGCTGGTTGTAACCGACATTAACTGAGGTTCTCTATCAGTTGTGACAATGGGAATTGACATGTACGTATGAGGGTTAACTGACACATTCTGAGCCCCACAGGAAATGCATAATGGTGATCTTGTGTCATGGACATTACATCATGTCACATAGGTGTATCCACAAACACGTTCGTCAATTGATCAAATTGATTCGTTGTGACAAGTCAGTAAAGGGTCCCAGACCTTTGGAAAACAGACCAACGTGAAGAATGTGCAGGAGAGCTATAGCTGTTAATTCTTGATACAAAATTGTTACCCGTATAAAGTTTATATGATAACATATAGTAAAGTGAGTGAGTGAGTATGGTTTTATGCCGCTTTTAGCAATATTCCAGCAATATCACGGCGGGGGACACCAGAAATGGGCTTCACACATTGAAATGATTTGTTGTAAATCTTAGTATTAATATATGGATTTTCTTTATCAGAGACTGAGAAATATTAAATGCAGAACATACTTACAAGTCAAACCAACATTGTCAACACTGCTTAAGTGTCAGTGACAGAACTTATATAACACAATCCAGAATTGAATTATTGATAATAATGATGATGATGATTTACAAAACGCCAGCCTTCATACACGTTGTGCATACTCAAAGCAGTCAATCAGCACATTGATCAGTGCAGTGACCTTTGGAGCTTGTACTCCAGTCTAGTAGGTTCACCAAATAAGGGGGAGCTAGGTGATATCTCAATCTCATTAAAATCAGATCTTAGTTCTCGCTACGGCTAAACAAAGATCTGAGGACATCCCATTAGGGGTCACATCAGAACGACCTTTCATCTGACCAATCAAGGCGTCGCTTACAAGATCATGACAGTGACAGTCTGAATGTGATTTCTAATAATGCAACCTCGAAAAACTTTAACATAGGGTATTCCGAATGATAGTTACGGGTTTAACAACTGAATCCATACAACCTAGACCATATATTTGCCATTCCAGAATGTTCTTTTGTTCAGGTTTCAAATTAATAATCGAGAATTTGTCAAAATATGTTTCGAAGCGTAGTCGCCAATTTGAATTTAGTGCACGAGAAAGCCACCTTCTGATAGGCTAATGTCGACTTCTTGTCAGTCCTTCCATTGGTCGGTCAAAATTCGCAAGGTCGGTCTCACGCAACCCTTAATGGGATGTCCTCAGATCTTTGTTAAGCGACAGCAAATACTAAGATCTGATTTTAATGAGATTTGGTGATATCTCTTAAATATTGGCAGTTGGAGTTATCTTTTACTTGCCCTGAATGATATGAATAGTAGTTGTCAGTAAAATGCAGACCAGCTTTCTTCAACCTGTCAAGAACATTCATCAACGGACATGCATGATTATGTGATGGGTCCTATGAAGATCCAGGTAAGAATTGGTTTTCGGCATCCCATGCTTGTAAGAGGCAACTAACAGGATCGGGTGACCAGGCTCGCTGACTTGGTTTGATGCATGTTGTATCCCTATTGCGTAGATCGATGCTCATGATGCACTGGATTGTCTGGTCCAGAATTAATTATTTACAGACTGCCATCATATAGCTTTAATATTCCTGAGTGTGGCGTTAAACAACAACAAACAAAAATTATGTGATGGAACAGCTCTTTGTGTCACCATGACAAATATGTATTCTATCCCAGGAAGTGCAGTTTGTCCATCAGCTTCTTGAATGTAGAATCCCCCTTCTGTACTGTGATGATGCATTTGCTGTTGATGGAGTGGTCGGATGGAGGCCGAGCCAAGGTCCATTCCTTCAGTTTGGGATGATCTTTCAACTGTGAAGAATAACATAATCAGCATGGACATTCAGAGGTGGACTTATCTAACCACAAAGCACAACTAATTTGACAGATACATACAAGCTGCAGATAACTTTACATATTATAACAGTGTGGTGTAAGTTTGAGGTATAGTCGTTCTTTATTACTAATGATGGCAAAGCTTGATCGCCTTACACACTATTTGTCACCACAATAGTTCACATGCATATCACTGGGGAAACTGATGTTGGAAGACATCATATAGATAAATTATGAAGGAAGGGACATTGTGGTATGTACCTGAGCGTGTTTCTGTATCGTAAATCGGATCGTATTATGACTTAAACTTGCATTTTAAAAACTTGTGATTTTAAAAAGAAAAGGTCAAGAATGAAAGGTAACAGAAAGAGATAAATAAAAAGCGTAGTATCTTTCATCCTAGGCTATAGCTATGCACGATTGCACTACTTTTGCATTGATTATTTAGTTCAACTGAATGAATGAGTAGGTTTTTATGCGCTTTTAGCAATATTCCAGCAATATCATGGCAGGGACTCCAGAAATGACTTCACACATTGTATCCATGTCGGGAATTGAACCCGGGTCTTCATCGATTCAGATAGGTAGTTTAGTTGTTTAGAAAGATGTGATTACTTTAAAACATTTTAAAATTTTTTAATTTATTTATTTTTTACTTTTACAAACTTAACCCCTGTTGTGGTCAGCTTGGCACAACACAAGTTTTAGCTTGATCTGTCAAGCAGCTCTGGAGAAAACATAAATATTAAAAAAATGTGTACAACACTAGACAATAGGTGGCTCCAAACACTTTGTGACTTAGTGACAAACAGCAATATTTCAGATTAATGTCAGCTGATCTGATGCGTTCAGAAAACAATATCTGGTGTGCTCAACACATTGCTGAATAATGTCTGGTGATCTTACTTTCCATCAGAATATATATAAGGAAAACAAATTCGAGTGAGTGAGTGAGTATGGTTTTACGCCGCTTTTAGCAATATTCCAGCAATATCACGGCGGGGGACACCAGAGATGGGCTTCACACATTGTACCCATGTCGGGAATCGAACCCGGGTCTTCGGCGTGACGAACGAACGCTTTAACCAGTAGGCTACCCGACCGCCCCTTGGAAAGGTCAGACTGCGTTACCTTTTGTTGTACATCCTGCATCTGGAGCACCTGTCCTACAGATGTACCTCGCTCCACCTGTCTCCTGTACACCGGCCTGCCTTTGTACTGAATCTCAACCTCCACTTTCTCCACCACCTCATCCTCCCCTGCACAGACAGAGTACATATAAAGGTGCTCATTCCATTTTGATACTAACACAAGACTCATTCACCATCATAGCTTCATTTTGAGTCTCATTCAAATGACCTGACCTGACCATACAAACAGCCGTCCAATCAAATTACACTGTTCTCTCATGAATGCAACAACAGAGCTACAGATAAGCAGCGTATTTGTGCAAAACCCAATTACTATCAACTAACTTGCGTACAGAAACGCATGCATTAAATGAAAAACTCAAATGTATAAAAACAGCATGCATAAATATCCAATGAAGCTTTTTCAGCATGCGTACAATAGAGCTAATTTCCGAAACACAATTTCAAACTAATTTACTTTCCGAGTCAAGCCTATAGTTAGAACCCTTATATACATGTACATCTAAAACATGATTACAGTTTTTTTTTAAATTTCAAAATGTGAGGAAAGATGAGTGAAAAAATATTGGTTACCCAATGAAAAATGTAATAACCCAATTAAATTAGAAACCTTCGAGTAAAAACTCAATTGCTCCCAAAGTTATCTGGAGCTCTGCAACAAGCAGGGTTATCACCTGTGTATGACGAAACATGATCGATTCTTGCTGTCACAAATAGAAATTTGATTGTATCGTAGATGAGGACTTCCCTCCCCGTCTTTCATTGACAACAGTGTTCTGATTTGTATAAATATATCCAGGGCTAGGAAGGCTGCAATTCTAAATGTAGCACAATGACAAACTCGTATTCAGAAGAGCCATTTTGATTGGTTTCTTAATTTCAAATTCATGAGTGAGCGAATTCTTTGCTAAGCTTGTGATTAGAGATATGGAGGTGGTGTCTTTTAAAAAATGAGGCTATTAGTGCTAGGACGAGTCCAAATTTACTACCCGGGTACCCGACCCCCTATTACCCGATCCTACCTGGGCACCCACTGTAGGTCGCAGGAGTTGGGTACAAAATGTCCAATTGGGAATTATTTTACTGCAGCCCTGGCAGAGACGTATTTAACAATCAGATCATGCATACACTGAACTTGACTGAAGCTTCATCTTTACTCAAACACATACAAGTCAAAAGGAATGTGTGCATCATCAGAAAGAAATGCAATCATCAGCTACTTGAAGTGCAACCACTGAGCTATAGTGAGTTTTTGTCATTAAACAATATATCACATGACTAACCACAGGTCTGGGTAGTACTGTCGATACCCGGGTCCTACTGAGGACCCACCCGACTCGAGTACCCGAGTTACACATCCCAGCCCTAGAGGCTCTGGTGGTGAACTGGTCTAGGGTATTTTGGAGATAAGGATAATGAAAGATGACAGGTTCTATGTCGGACCAGGCAAACCAAGCAAGCATAAATCCAATGTACCAGTTAAAACCAATGTACCAGTTATTCAGTGAGTGAGAGAATATTGCTCTATGAGGCAGTCAGCTGGTACATAATCGACTCTGGGCCAGGTTAACCAATGGGTGAAGTAATGATCCACAGCATCAGGGCACAAGTCACACAATCAGCCAAATGACACAGTGCAAAGCATCCTCAATAGTCACCTCATTGTTTTAAGTCCTGTTAAGATCCAATCTCATTGAAATCAGACCTAAATTCTCGCTGTCGCTAAACAAAGATCTGAGGACATCCCATTACGGGTCACGTCAGAACGACCTTCCGCGAACTTTGACCGACCACTGAAACGACTAACAAGAAGTCAACATCAGCCAATTAGAAAGCATCTTCTCGAGCTTTACGGCACTCGTTTCAGCCTGGCGACTTCCATTGAAAGATATGTTGACAAAGTTCTCGATTAAAATTTTGAAAACTGAACCAACGAACATTCCGGAATGTCTAATATATGGTTGAGATTGATTTTAGCGGTTGCATTATTAGAAAAGTCATTCCCCCTGTCACTTCCATGATCTGGTAAGCGACGCTTTGATTGGTCTAATGAAAGGTTGTTCTGACGTGACCCGTAATGGGATGTCTTCAGATCTTTGTTTTTGAGATAGCGAGAACTTAGATCTGATTTTAAAGAGAATGGTTAAGATCCAGGTTAGAATTGGTCTTCAATGACACGTGCTTGTCGTAAAGAGGCGACTAACAGGATAGGGTGGTCAGACTCGCTTTATGCATGTCATCATATCCCAAATTGCATAGATCGATGTTCATGATGCCAATCACTGGATTGTCTGGTCCAGACTCAATTATTTAAAGGCTGCTGTCATATACCTGGAATACTGCTAAATGCGGCATTAAAGAACAAACAAACACTGTTTAGGACAAGCATTGGGTACTTGAGTTCTATTTAATTACAGAACAACAACACTGACTAACCAATGAATAATAGGTGAGCTAAAATTGGGTTTCACGATGCATCCAAAATTATTGCACTTATATAGCGATGTGCATGCACATACATGTGTGTGTGGCTACTTGTACTTGTCCGGACTAAAGCTGATTCTATAGTGCTAGCCCACTGAGATACCATGCCGCAGTTTAACATGAATACCCCACGCAGACACAGTATACTGACTCTGAGCCTCCAAGTCCTTGTTTTAGCCCTTTAATGTCGAGCACCAGACAGGCAAATAACAAGTACCATATTTTAATGTTTCTTGATATGACCCCTCTGGGGATCAAATCCTGGAGTTTCCGCTCTCCGGGCAGACACTCTACCATTAGACCACGGAGGCGGCCCCGAATCAATAATAACAAATAATAGCAAATAATAGCAAATAATAGCAAATAATAGTTCCACTGATGATTGAAATACCACACATCTCATCATCTAATTATTCATGATATGGGAAAAAAAAAAATACCATTGAGTATCTTTAAGGCCTGCTCAGCTTTGCAGATGTCTCTGTCACCTTGGTGCTGCTGGGTCAGGAAGGTCAAGGTCATTAAGAGTAACGTCCCCTCTACTGTTTCAGTGAGTTTGTTGGTGTCTAGCAGGTTTAAAATAGTATGGCCATTAGAACGGATCTGAAACAAAATACAATACATCTGATATCCTATTTCAAGGTCACAGAGACAGAAATGGCAGATCAAAGTTATCTACTGTCCAATAAGAGCTATAGTGAGTGAGTGAGTATGGTTTTACACCTCTTTTAGCAATATTCCAGCAATACCACGGCTGGGGACACCAGAAATGGGCTTCACACATTGTACCCATGTCGGGAATCAAACCCAGGTCTGCAGCGTGATGAGCGAACACTTTTACCACTGGGCTACCCGATCACCCCCAATAAGAGCTATACCATAGTAATATATTTGATGAAATTAATAATGACAAATTTAGCTGACTATCGAACTAGTTTATATCACCTATCTTCAGATTGAATTTGGTCCGAATAAATCAATATTTGTTCAAGTTATCATTCTTAAACCATTTTATAGTTGTGTTAATGCAGGCAATGTTTGATCTTTGGCCACATCGATCAGTTCTAATTTGGTCCTATTTCTTTCAAAAGAATTGTGTTCACACATAAACTAACTTCTATTTGCATTAGATATAAGTCCATCAATTTTGCAGACAGGGTTGATTTATGGCATTCAACTTCTTTATTCCCTCAATGCAACAGTCTGGTACAGGTAAGGGTACCTAAGGCTAAAACAAATAATAGTCTTGGTTCTCAGGCACCGCCCGCATCATCATAAAGTTTGCCACACATTTTGTTTTTATTTCCATTTCAAAAAATAAATAAATAAATAAATAAATCCTTAAATATTCCAAATCCAACAGTAGTCAAATACTGTATTCCAGTATTTTACTCATCAAGGAATACATTTATGTTGGCAGGCCCTTTCCCAGGTTGATGGTACACAACTGGTTGTTTGGTTACACAACTGTTTAATTGGGTACATACTAGTTTGAACAATACAAAAGAAAAAAGAAGACCCTGCCCGCCCTCACTATATTTTCAAAAAACATTGCCTGAGAACCATTTCTTTTATTTTCTTTAGCCCAATTGATAAAGATACAGCACCTGTATCAAAATGTCACATTAAACTATACAGAACTTGAAATCAGTATGTCAAACCTGTCTTCACTGATACTGTAGCTTCTAAATGCCACACTCATTCGCTAGTTTAGGGGATCACACCTAAAACGTAAACAATATCTCTCAAACTATCAAAGTGTGAGTGGAGACAGAAGTACAATCCTTCCAAGGGTTATTGTTTAAGATGAGGTGCTGACAGTGGTTTTAGGAACTAATATATACATACATGATTCATGATTTGCCTCAATACACTGCTGCAAGAACATCTCCTGTTGGGTGGACATTTTTGACACTGTTTCTTATAATCTTTAACTTGACTTGACCAGGGCCTCTTGCCAGTCAGCAGACAAATGGCCACACATGCCGTCGCCCATAGGTCCATAGTTACCAAGAAGGGAGAGAACTTCTCCTCTTTTTTTATTGCTTCCCACCAAGGAGGCAAAAACTGAGATGTGTAACCTGGAAAAGATAAATTTCTTAAAATCACCCAAAATAGAAATATAATTGAGATCAGATGTTTTTATATTTGTATTTGTGCAATAATCAGTGTGGGTAAATCCCAGTTAGTTAATCTTTGGTAACAGAGGACAACTACTCTGAGCATCTTCCTGAGGCAAAGGCGTTATAGACTATAAAAATCCAGTTTCCACCCTTGCCCAACTAGGTTGGAATTTCCAGGCTCACTTGTAGCACCACCAGTGGCTATTACTAGTTATGTCCCTTCTATGTCCCTCCTGTTGACCAATCGGATTCCATCTCTCATATCACATGCATTTTCTTCAAACAAATGGTGCTGACCAGTCAAGACGATCTGATCAATAATCAAGATCTGGAGTGTAAAAAAACTAGCCTAGTTCGGCAAAGCTGGAAGCTGGACTTTTATAGTCAGTTAATGCCTTTGCCTCGGGAAGATGACTTTAAGGGAATTTGTAATATTTGAGATCCTGTTTGAAATAAAGATAGTTTTAAAGTATTCTGTTTGGAAGGTGGGATACTATTACCTGCAAAAATGATTGTGGATAGTTCACAATGAGGACATCTGTTGAAAATTTGAAGATGTTATAGAGTTATGTTAGCCAAAATACTGGATCTATGGCAGTGATGTAATCGAGGCATGGTATTCGTAGGAATTGATGACTTTTTGTGTTGCCACTGGTGTATAAGAAGTGAGAAATGCCAAATACATATGTAACATACCAACAGTTTTGTTCATCTTCTACGCAAATATCTCTGTAAACGGTTGAATCATGGTCTTGGGGTTCATATCAAGAATGTTTCCGCTTACCTTTAAACTGGGGTGGAGATTCCCGAGTTCGGACAAACTCAAAGTCAATCAGGCAAAGAGATGTCAGATCTTTTGGTATTCGGAGGCAGATATTTTCAGCTGGTAAAAGATAAGAAGGAGATAAGTTCTAAATGAAGTTATTTTGAAGATGTTGTGACAATACCATGTATTACATCAACTAGGTGTAGCAGGGCGTGGAGTCATCCCACAGATGACATCCTTACCTTGTCAGCTTGCTGACGGGGTTAACCTCTTTGGTCATGTGGACAAGGCGTCCGACCTCGGATCAGAAGGTCCGTGGTTCGAATCCCATCACGGGACTCGGAAATTTTATGGCCGCTACATAGGGAATAACTTTTAAACTTGGAACATACCTATGTCGCATTAAGTTTCTGATGCTTAGTTTGTAAGCCCACAGCTGTTGAGAAGTGACCATGACAAGTAAAGCCTCAGACTTAAGGAATGTTATATTTGGGACAACACTTACTCAGTAAAGACTTTGAAAGTACAGATTCTCGTACTTTTGGGGACTGAGTCCAGTCCAGGATTCGAACAAACACTGCCATCATGAGGCATCTAATCACCAGCACACAAAGTCAGCAATCTAACCCACTCAGTTCGAAACCTATGATTGTAGGTTCGAATCTCGGGTCTCTCTGATAATGTTTCTAGGTTTGTCAGCAACATACCCGTGCTTGTGGGTTTCACCGAAGAAGAAAACGTCCAAGACCTGCCTCAGTTTTGGCTTTCCTCCCACATTAAGCTGACACGCCGTGATATAATTGGAATAATGTTAAAAGCGGCGTTAAACCCAACTCACTTACTCACTCCTGGAGCATCATCAAAATCTTCAGTACTCACGCTTGATGTCGCCATGAACGAGCCCCCTGCTATGAATGTAAGACAGACTCTGTAGCAGTTGACGAAGAGCATGTGCAGCTTCACTGACAGAATAATGTGCGTTGTGTTCCAAATGCCCACCTACAACGGGAAACCTACCATCTACATCAGAACATACATACACACACATATATCAAAGGAATGGTTGCACTTATCAAATAAAAACTTGTTATCAATGGAACTTTTATCCACAATCAAAAATGATAATATAAAATCATGCAATCAATGAATGGAACATCACTGGCTCTTTTCTATAGCTATTTGGTTAACCATCTGGTTGCCATGACTATACTTGTCTGTGTGTCTGCAGGGAGGCTGCAAATTCATACCTATGTACTGTTCATTTTAACTATCTGACATCCACTGGCCACAAAAGCATAGCCCCGATTCATGTCTTCATAACTTTGTACTAATGTCTGATGCTGCTTGTTACCAGCCTATCGATAATATCATGGACACTTTTAACTCTTTAATCACCAATTATGTTGATATTGGACATATTTTGTCAAACATAATGAACCTGCAAACACGAAGGGGCCGAGTTCACTGCCTCAGCTGCTGTGTCGAAAGCTATTAAGTGTGGACCAGGCAGTAAACACTGGCCCTCATGATAGCTTTGACTGTTTTCAAAGGTAAATGATTTGGGAACAAGGGGACATTTGCAGTCTGATAGAGCTTGTAAATGCCAGCGCAAAATCAGCATCAGACCAGCAGAATGTTAAGGTGTGAATCATCGCTATATATCAGCAACAGTGGATGGGGGACAGTAAAACTGGAGCAATACACAGCTAAGAATTTGCAGCTGCCTTCAGGGGTGAACATTTAGTAGCCATATAAACAAGTATTACAAGTACGTATTAGTTTCCCAAGTTAGTCCCCATGTTCATGTCACTTCTTTGTGTGAAGGACCAGAGTCAGAATGTCTTGCAATCTTCCTGGACAATGATAACAAATAAATAACACATAGCTATGATATTACAGAGACATTGACAGCTTATACTGGAAAAACTCTCTTTTTGAGGAAACAAGAGTTGAAAGATTTGAAATTTTTGTGGTTTATGCTGACAGCCAGAAAAGTTTATCTAAGACTGATGTATTTTTTCCAGAATTTAAATGCCAATCATTAAGGGTGCATATAAAACACATGTGCGTAGTATACGGGAATAAATAAGTCTTTTGTACATTGGTGAATCGGAAGGGGTGCTTATTGGGATTGTTCACTAGCCAATATATTAGCAAATATTGCCGTGGGCGTTTATTAGAGCAGGGCGCTTATTACGTCAAATATGGTATGTATTCATTTATATTGGGTATTGACAGTTTTCTTTGTGCATGGGTATTTTTTAGGTTTTTCCTCCCTTGGGACAAGTCTATTGGGTATTTTAGACCAATGAATGGACCTTTAAAAACATAATTCTGCCCAAAATGTTGTTTCCTGTGACTCCAAATTTGTGTCTAAGTTACTAATAAGGGTGACTTAGAGCTATTCACTGCAGGAGATTGTATGTTTACTCTATGCTTGCTTTTATTCAGCAAAACAATCTGTAAAGAACTACAGGAACACAACTTGTGTGAGTGAGTTGGATTTAACTCTGCTTTTAACTGTATTCCAGTTATATCGCGGCGTGTCAGCTTAATGTGGGAGGAAAGCCTGAAGTGATGCAGGTTTCAGACGTTTACAACTTTGGTGAAACCCACGAGCACGGGTATGGTGCTCTTAAACCAAGAAACATAATCCGGGCAAACCGGGGTTCGAAACCACAATCATAGGTTTTCTGGCGTGCCCAAGGGATGCAACTCTGCACAGCGAATCGCGGCGCCTTAGACGACTGGGCCAGCCCATTCCCCTGTACGCAACTTGATAGGGCTATATTACATGATTTTTGGATGCAAGCAACTCAAAATTATTTGGGTAAATGGCGATTTATTTCACATTATGCAAATATGCAGCTTTTCTGGAGCCTTGTCTATTAATATTACTGTATTCGACGTAATAAGCGCCCAGGGATCTCTCAAAATTAGAAATAGGGGGCTCTAATTAGAATATTACCTAGTGGAAAAAACAGAGTTGAAAGATAAATTTTGTGGTTTATGCTGACAGTCTGAAATGTTTATATACGACAGATACATTTTTCCAGAATTTAATTGCCCATAATTAAGGGTGCATATAACACACAAGTGCGTATTATAAACGAATAAATAAGTCCTGTGTACATTGATCAATCGGAAGGGGTGCTAATTGGGTTTGTTCACTTGCCAATATATAAGCAAATATCACCGTGGGCGCTTATTAGAGCGGGGCGCTTATTACGTTGAATACGGTAATTGAAATACCCAGACTATTCACCAACCTTCACAATATTCCATGAATACATGGATTTCCTCCTGGAGGACAATGAGTCCATAGATGTCCATTATGTGAGGACTGTCATGGTGCAATAAAGGAACTAATACAGATTTCTTCTGACCCTCAAACTTGACACGTTTCTGCTGAAATCCAAGAGATATACTGTTATCATGGCTGTCATTCTGTAGGATGTCAAAACACCTGATGATAATAGTTAGGGGACAATGACACAGAAGGCTGTGATATATATATATATATATATTGTTCACCTGGGACATATGGTACAAGTCAAAAAAGGGAATTGCATCAGATATCACTTTAATGTCACTGATGCATCAAATTTGGAAATGTCATTGTATCTGACTTGGCATCCTATTTTAGCCACAAATGCTTTGTTAACCATTTCTTTTTTAATTTTCTTTCTACAAGCACCGATTTTGATCTAAATTCAACTGTTGCAGGCATGGACGGTTTCCCTGTGTCCTCCTTTGAGTTCATTGCCTTGGAATCACATCCACTATAACTATTATTAGTTTCAAAGTTACCACGGTTACAGTCATTATTGTTTTCACGCACAACTCATCAGCCTTATGTCGTCAAGTAAAGCAGAATGGTTTTTGCATGTCAGAAGTTCGTAAACTTGATGTATTGCACAAAGTATGAGAATGAAGCCTACTGAATCCTCGCACTTCTGCAAAATTAAAATAAGGCCGCCAATGTTACAATTCAGTTGCAGATGTCACCATTCAGTCACTAATAAGAGGACTGTATACTGGTAAAATATTGTAATACACATCGTTTGTGAAGCATACTGCAGATAAGCTGCGTATTTGCGTAAAATACCCCAAAAATATTCAAAACCCAATTACTTTCAATTAACCTGCGTACACAAACGCAGGCATTAAATAAAAAACTCAAAGGTAAAAAAACAGCACTCATAAATACCCAATGAAGCTTTTTCAGCATGCGTACAAAGGAGCTAATTTCCGAAACACAATTACGAGCTATTAATTTACTTTCCGAGCCAAGCCTATATATTTAGAAAAGTGATCATGGTTATGTACATCCAAAACATTATCTCATTTTTTTTAAATCTTAAAATGTCCACTCTTTTGGTAAAATACCCAATAGAGGGATGAATAAATGAGTGAAAAAATATGGTTACCCGATGAAAAGTGTAATAACCCAATTAATACAATGATTAAAATAGAAACCCTAGAATAAAAACTCAATTGATCAAAAAGCTATTTGGAGCTCTGATATCGGAATACCAGTAATACCGCCCAGTCCAAGTATTTTCCTCATATTGGAACTGGTCTGTATGTATCAAAGGCAACATACTTCATGCTTTGCCTTGACTATTCACTTGACACTTCAAAATATTACTGACACATGACTGACATATTTGAACAGTTAGAAAATACCAGATACATACCAGTTTCCGTACAAACTTCTGGTGAGACTGACGGTCTTCACATAAACAAACACTAGCATGCTGTATTCCTTCAAGTATCCTGTATTCTTCTTTTTCTCTGTAATACCATTCACCCCTGATATTTACTGGAGTGAGTTTCTGAAAGAGAAAACATTCTTCTTCAACAAGTATCTTGCCATTTTGGCAAGAAAAAACAGTGACTGTCTTCTAGTTTGCATTCCTGCTAACCAAGTAGAGTGTTGCTTTGACTTTCCTGTGAGGACAAGATCAATGATTAAATCAATCTCATTAAAATCAGATCTTTGTTCTCGCTACCGCTAAACAAAAATCTGAGGACCTCCCATTACGGGTCATGTCAGACTGACCTTGCGCGAACTTTGACCGACCAATGGAATGACCAATCAGAAGGCAGCTTTCTCGTCCTTTACGGCACTAATTTCAAATTGGTGACTACGCTTCAAAACATATTTTGACAAATTCTCGATTACAAATTTGAAACCTGAACAAAAGAACATTCTGGAATGGCTAATAGATGGTCTAGATTGTATGGATTCAGTTGTTAGACTCGTAACTATCATTCGGAATACCATGTGTTAAAGTTCTCAACGTTGGATGATTAGAAATCACATTCCGACTGTCACTTTCATAATCTGGTAAGTGACACTCTGATTGGTCGGATGAAAGGTCGATCTGACATGACCCCTAATGGGATAATGGTATGTCCTCAGATCTTTGTTTAGCGGTAGCAAAACTAAAATCTGATTTTAATGAGAATGTGATTAAATAAACATAATTGTTATATTTCTGGTTATTTCATGAACCTGCAACCCTGTGTTTGGTTAAACCCTCATCCTTCATTTTTCAGTTAAATACACTTGATTCACTAGCAGCCCTGTGTTAGGTGTAGCTCTGTACACTTACCTCACTAACTAGCAGCCCTGTGTTAGGTGTGGCTATGTACACTTACTTCACTAACTAGCAGCCCTGTGTTAGGTGTGGCTATGTACACTTACTTCACTAACTAGCAGCCCTGTGTTAGGTGTGGCTCTGTACACTTACCTCACTAACTAGCAGCCCTGTGTTAGGTGTGGCTCTGTACACTTACCTCACTAACTAGCAGCCCTGTGTTAGGTGTGGCTCTGTACACTTACCTCACTAACTAGCAGCCCTGTGTTAGGTGTAGCTCTGTACACTTACCTCACTAACTAGCAGCCCTGTGTTAGGTGTAGCTCTGTACACTTACCTCACTAACTAGCAGCCCTGTGTTAGGTGTAGCTCTGTACACTTACCTCACTAACTAGCAGCCCTGTGTTAGGTGTAGCTCGGTACACTTTCTTGGTAACAAACTCTTCTAACTCCTTCATGGTTCCCGGCTTGACATCATGGAAGACCTTTTGAGGTGGCTGATATAGTGGGACACTATCCTCTTGTAAGTCTGTGCTGAAATGCTCCCTTGGGGCAGTAGAACCTATGGTGAAGTCATCTCCAGGTAGTGTAATCCTCGACAACTCTCGATTCAAGCTGAATCTAGAGACACCGTTGACAAAACTGGGGACAGAGGTGGCAGGTCTGAGGTCTCTGTTAACTCCACGTGCTATCAGTTGTTCACCATCGCCAGAAACGATTTGATTATTGTTCTCTCCATCATCACTTTCAATTTCAAAACTTTCCCTTTCTTCCTCTCCATCTGACTCTTCCTCTTCATCTGAGTCTCCCAAGAGGTCAAAATTAGGAACACAAGACAACAAACTTGATGAATTCTGCATAATCACAGAATCATCTTGCCCTTTTGATATGATGGGATCACTGCCACCAGAAAAGATTGGTTTATTATGTTCTGATAATTCAGAGGTCTGACTAATGACCACATTTTGTGATCGTTGAAAGTTTACATTCCTGTTGTAAGTATTCGATACACATTTCTGGTTATCACAATTCCCAGGTTGTAGTGTACTACTGTCCATTTCTGATACTGAATGCTTGTCTACATTTGGTTTTACATCCATCTGTTCCATTCATCATCAATCCAACAGAACCAGATTTGTGTTCAGTCTGACTTCTTCCAAGACAAGGGAACATATTTTAATCTGGCATAGTTCTCATGGAAACCCATGGAAGAGCCTTGACACTCTTCATCCTTCAAGTCGGGAAAGTGCAGATCTGCACCATCTTGATATTCTTGTGAACGCACAGTTGGAGAAATGTCCATTTCTGGAGTATCAGTGATCCATCATTTTACAGAATATCTGAAAAGAAAAACAGACATCATGTAAATAGTGACAGACATCGATCTATACTCTGTGACCAGTCTGTATAAATACTAGGGCTGTGCATTGGCAACAGATTTGTACTGCAATATATTGAATGGACTGTGTAAGATGAGACGATGTGACAGAGGTACAAGGCTGGCCACAATGAACTCTGGGTATGGGAGGGACTGGCTTTATACACACTGGCTTCTAATCTAATCAAGCTGGCAAATACTAATTAGTATCTTGTAATTCAGCTGCAAGAAAAACTTTCACTCTCCCCCTTAATTTGCCTCTATGAAAAAACATAGCGCTTGGGCTTATGGCTTCACTGTGCGTAGCTCTATTGTTTTGGTTTGAGAAATGAATAGGGCATGTGACGTCACACTCATAATCTTTCATACAGGGAAGATAACAATGTGAGAGAAAAATCACTTAAATGTTTTTGAAACTTGATATTTCTTTTTACCCAATATACCTGAAAACACAATAAATATTGCAATATGCTTCATTTGAAGTCCTAATCAATACTGATGACACTAAACAACTGATGGGTCTAGCAGGCTTGTGGTATGTTCAGGATGTGGGTCCTATTGAACTAAAATATATCCACATCTATCATGATAAGGTCTGTTTAATTATAGAGAGTGAGCATTAAGCATTCTTTTGCAATATCAATACAGTGAACTGTAAAATTTACTTCACACATTGTACTCATATGAAGAATTAACCGTGGTCTTCAGCATGACAAGTAAACTTTTTAACCACTAAGTTAACTCCACTAAGAATGATCTAATCACGAGGACGATCATGGTTACCCTGAATAAAAATAATTATTGAATTCATTCTCTATAACCTACTGGTGAGAAATTTGACAAGCAATGTTTTATGTACGTGTTTAATAATCTCAAACTAATGTAAAATAGCACCAGACAACAGTAAACCAAGTCCTGGTTCTGCATTTTCCTTATCAATCTTATAAGAATTAAGACAATTATCGAATTTCAAATCATGATTAAAAACAAACTTTGAATGCACAACATAAAACAAGGTATTACTAACAATTAGTACTCACATGAGTCCAGCATGACGCCTTTGATAGGCATTTAAAAGTTGGAACAACAAGTTTCATGTCTGGAGTGGAGCTTGATAACTACCCAAAAAGTAAATTATTACTCACATTCTTGGAGAGTTATTTCCCTTTTTCAGTTTAATTATCTCCCCTTCTTAGTAGCTAAGGTGGACAACTTCCGCTCAACTGTGTGACAATCTTCCAAACTGTCAGAAGAAGAAACAAAATCAAAATGCAAAACTTGCTACATTCAGCTCCCTTTTAAGGGTGGCACTACCTCCAGAATGAGGAACAACCTGAATCTAGAACATTTTAAACTACTACACACAGATATAAATGCACGCTCCTCATTTTGTGTTATGACACACAGGTACAATGTGTGAAGTCCATTCTTCCCTCAATGTGATAATTGGATTATTGCTAAAAAATGTAATGCTCATTCACTAACGCACTCACTCACTCACACACATGTAAATAAGATTTCACAGAAAAATGAGGAAACATAACATGTTCAAATTATTCAATCAAAGAAATGTGTTCTCCACAAAACTACTTCAAATATACACAGTTACACAATAATACACAGGTGTTCTAGGCAAAGTCAAACTATATGTTGAAATTGCTTTTTGATTTATATTCACAATTGTACAATGTTTATCTCCAACAGCCACTCTAACATTTCAAATTTTGAAGTCATTGCACACTCATGTTTATTCCATTCAAATAAAAATTGCCTTTATTTCTGAAATTGTATTTACATTAATAGCACACTACTAATAACATAGACCGTCAGTGTCAAATGAGTGTCAGTCACCATGGCTACATTATCACACCATAGGAGAAAGTTGGCTCAATTTGTTAATAATGTTCAAAAAGGTTATTTTGCCTCAAAACATATGGATGGAACTAAACATAGTAGTTAATGATTACTCTAATTACAAAATGTATACATAAAACATGTCTCACATGACACTATAATTATGGACCTGAAGTGTAAACATATGACATAAGCACTTCCTCCCTTTAAATTCCAACAAAATGTCACTCCCAGAAATATTTCTTTAAATGAACGCTCAGATCCCTACATTGTTCGACTCCTAAATCAAATTTTATGGTGGAGGTCAACCCAGCTGTAATGAAAAACACTAATTGCAAAGAAACAAAACATTCTTGACCAGCTGTTGCCTGGAACTATTTGTCGTGCTTATGGAACTGACCCGTGAAGATCCGGGGTAGAATAGGTCTTCAGCAACCCATGCTTGCCGTGAAAGGCGACTTGGCTTGTCGTAAGAGGCGACTAACGGGATCGGGTGGTCAGGCTCGCTGACTTGGTTGATGCACGTCATCGATCCCAATTACGTGGATCAATTTTCATGATGTCAATCACTGGATTACTGGTTCAGACTCGATTATTTACAGACGGCCGTCATACAGCTGGAATATTGCTGAGTGCGGCCAAACAATCAATCAAACAACCAAACAAACTGATGGAACTTTGTCCCACTTTAAAGTCCGGAAGTTGGAGTAATGTCAAATAGTTGACACATTCATACATGTCAACATGGCAGAGAATCGTTCAGGTCTAGCGACATGAGTGTTACAAATCATGATAGGACACAACAATTATGAACTTATTCGATGTGATACATGTATATTGGGAACTTACAATAACCTCCGCATAGATTGAGAGCACACTGGTCACAGGGCACTTGATTACAAGCTCCACGCATCGATAGCGTAATGTGCCCCTTTCAAGCGGGATGTAGCATGTGTTGGGGGTGAGCTCAAGTGAGCGTATTAGGAAGCGACCATTTGACCTGGGAGCTGGTCTCTTTAATTAAAGCTATAAGCTAATAATAAAAATTCTAAAAATAATAATGATTTTCGTTCAAGGATTTTCCATTTGATATGAATTTGACAATGATAATATTTCAACACAAATAAAAAAATATAACCTGAATACATGCAAGGAAGACAATTTTTTTCCCACGTGCGTTTGTTGATATTCGTAGACGTGACACACCTCTCATTTAATCTTCCCCGTAATGCATATGTAAATATGACACCTCTAGAAAACCATGACATTGTTCAAGTGTCTGAAATATGAAATGTCACTATGAGGTGTTTTTTTTTAAAATGATATATCATATATCTTTAGTACTCACAAAGTACTTTGGCAAAAAAAGGTCATGGACGCAGGTGATGTATTTATCACATGGCTTCTCGTACGCACTTTGGAAAGAGTTGTAGCGAAGAATGGTTGGCATGTCCAGTCAATAATGATACGTGAAGTAAAATCTAATGAAAATCAGATCTGTCACTCCTATTCTATACTTTTCTCCGTTAATCAGATTGGGGAGCAAGTTTGCCAAGTCGTCTATATATGCCGCAAATAGCTGTGCTCATTTAGGAGTGCCGGAAACCGTGATTTTGGGTTCGAATACCATATTATCCCTGATTATGTATTTTCTAGGTCTGATAACAGCTGATTATGTTATAATCAGTAGTTATACCTAGTTTTCGATACATTTTAATAAATATTTGTTTTGTTTCCTACCGTAGTCATCCCAAGTCGCAGAAGTTTACAGTTCAAAATATTTCAATAATGCAAATTGGACAAATAGCGTAAACTTTGTGTTTCACTCAAATGTTCCACTTGCAATCGTTAAATAAACGTATGTTTGTCTTGCATGAACAGAAACGCATGTGTGCTTATAGGCAAACACACATGCATGTGAATACACACACACACGCACTAATTTCACTCAATTTCATGCTTCTTCAGTTTTCCGTTCATGGTGTTACCATAACTGTTCATTGTTTGCCAATGTCTCAAGTTGTTAATCAGTTTGAACCATTAAGGGAAATAATGATTGAATCAGAACAAGTTTACTGCACTTCCTGTTACTCGTCCGCCCTTCGTGCCACCACCATTTCCATCCTGTTTTATTTGTATTCAATTTAAAATCAATTATCCAGTTTTGTTAGTGTAATCATACTGCTAATGATATTGACATTAGTATGATATCAGTATGGTTTCCTTTACTTTTATACATTGCTAATGATAAAATAATTTACGTCAGATCAACTTCTTCGCATGTTACAATTGAAAGTAATAGAAAGACAAATATATTTGTATTTTCCCAAATTTTATAGAATATGTTGGCAAATCCTTGACTCATGTAGACATATTGTTTTTCAGTGGTAACAGGAGGGACAATCAGGTTAGATCAGCTTAGTTTCAGTATTTAGATTTTCACAATTATTTTCTGTTAAGGTCTGCATGTCTTATTTTAACATTCAACATTGTTTCTGTTTTGATGACAAAGGAATAAAACTAAGCTCCTTTGAACCAAGTCAATTTTTGTCAATTTGTATCTGAAAACAATCTGACTATTTCTGGTCGGTATTAGCCTGGACTAGTACAAGCAGCCACACACACACACACGTTCGTGCACGTCGCTATATAAGTGCAATAATCTTAAACGACAGTTCATCTCACCTCACCTTATAGTGCTAGCCCTCAGAGAAACCATGCCGCAGTTTAACATGAATACCTAACTCAGACAAAGTATAATTACTCCGAGCCGACCTGTCCTTGTCAAGCTCCTTAATACCGAGCGACAGACAGGGTAACAACCATATTTTAACGTCTTTTGGTATGACGCAGGCGGGGACGCTCTGCCACTTGACCACAGAGGCGGCCCTAGCTAGCACTAAAAACCGACATCAGTCGTGACTTGTACGTGTGGGCAGCCACACGTGCATGCACGTCGCTATACATGCACATTCTTGAACGCGACATCAAGCCCGATGTCATCTCAGCAAACCATGAACATTAATCGGACCTCCTGTTACAAGGGTTTTCAGGCCAATGTTTGACACGGAGCTCTACAAGGAACTGATAAGATCGGTCACGATGTATAAATCATCACGAGGGAATACCCCGCGCAGGAAACAGTTAGGTCACCACCATACGCTGGAAACATTGTCAATATGTATTGTCGAGGGTATGGACGAATTAAATTGCTATGGATCGTCAGCTCTCAACCGAATAAACATTTACTTGAACAAGACTTTTCTACAAGTTGCCACATCAGTTATCCAGTTTGTTTAACAAGATTTATCAAATTAATGTTGGAAAATGGCAAGGTTATAATATCATATATTCAGTCTATTATGATAAACATAGAACGGAGATATAATACACTGGATAATCCAGGATAACCCTAATGAAACATTTCCCCTTCAACCGCAAAATATTAAGAGGCTAGTTTGCGCGGTTTAGTCAATTTGACAATCTCTATCAACCGTCAATGCTTATCTGCCATTTGAACATCCACATAGAGTGCGGGCCTCAGTGAGAGTCTGAATGTTGTTTTACACCACAGTTACAGCACAGTTACCACAGTTACCACAGTTACAGCTTCATGTCACGACGACCGGTCATTAATCGACTGCATGGTTGTAAACAGGAGCAACGTCAAGCAAGGAGTACTGAGGATCTGTATCAGGACAGTCAACGAGAAATCGCTGGATCAAGAACGTACTTCTCTCTCTCTCTCTCTCTCTCTCTCTCTCTCTCTCTCTCTCTCTCTCTCTCTCCTGTGTTCCTGTGACACCAATATTTCAGTGTATTTTTGAAACAAGTAAAGTTTGTTTTCAATATTGTAGTACTTGTATGGAATCAAGTCACAAAAACGCAACTGCTACAGAAAAGTATGCATTCCATGCAAAAGTTGACGTGATGTTGCAAGACAATTTAACGTCCACAGAAATTCCATTTGGTGTTTATGGCAGCGTTGGCAACAGACGAATGCAGTCGGGGACCATCCTCGGAGTGGCAGGCCACGCGTAACCAACTGGATTCGAACTGGATTCGAACAACACGCCTACGAAATCGATTCCAGCCAGCAACAGTGACTGCAAGAAGAATCCCTGGCCTTCGATGAATATCTTCACAAACCGTACGTCGCCGCCTCAGACGGTGCAGGGATAGTCGCTAGAAGACCCGCCAGACGTCCCATTTTGACAGGAAACTACCGTCAAGCACGTCTACAATGGTGCAGACATCGTCTACGCTGGACGGCCATGCAGAGGGGACAAGTTCTATGCACTGACGAGTCTCGTTTTCACCTCAGCCACAGCGATGGACGGATTCGAGTGTACCGATGTCGAGGTGAACGTGACGTGAATCATTATGTCATGGAAAAAGATCGGTCGGGGACGGCCCCGTTATGATATGGGGTGGGATTACAGCAAGACAGAGGACCCGTTTGATAGTGGTTGAGGGAAATCTCAATGGACAGCGCTACCGCGACGAGATCATCAGCCCTGTTGTTCTACCGTTTTTGCGTCGTCATGGCCCAGGCATTACCTTTCAACATGACAAGGCCCGCACTCATATTGCTCGACTTGTTCAGGATGCTCTTCAACAAAACAACGTGAATGTCATCCCCTGGCCGGCTCGCTCCCCTGATCTCTCACCAATCGATCACATGTGGGATGAGATGAATCGGCGCTTTCGACGTCAACCACGTGTTCCACAAACACTCCAGGAACTTCGAAATATGCTCCAGCAGATATGGACAGATATCCCACAGGACTTTGTGCGACGCCTGGTCCATTCCATGAGACGAAGATGTGTTGCTTGCATCGCAACCAGAGGTGGACACACACGCTATTGATTTGTAAATTGACATTTTGGCATGTTCATGGTTTATTTTTATGAAATCACGCATTTTCTTAAGTCAGTATGGCAAATTAAACCATTTGAACACTTACAGGAGTCTTTTATCTGTTGCAAACCGGAATTGTTTCAGATTTGGTAAAAAACCTAACTTTGCATTAAATCTTATTCAATGTCACAGGAACTTTTGATGTTCAGTATATATCTGATGTTAACATCAAATATTTCTCAGTCCAATTTCCGGGTGTGCCCCGCCGTGATATGGCTGGAATGTTCCTAAAAGCGACGTAAAACCATACTCACTCTCAATCCAAGCTGTAGAACTCACTGATTCTTATTGTGGTGCAACTTATCAGCTGGATCCCGTAGCGGTAAAGCAGAAAGGGACCAACTTACTGACGCTGTCCGGTGTTTTTGTTTATTAATAGCCATACAGTCAATAAATTAAAACGACGAAATGGAAATATATTAATAGCCTTACATCGACATTTGGGAAATACCGCTTTATATATTTATAAGGAAGTGCATTACTGAACTATAATTTTCGCAAACGTATTTGTTAATGCATTTTGTGAAAATATTGATCAGCATAAAATCACCCTGTATGAATGTGTTCTATTCTGTAAAATAGCTTTCTCCCATGTTTTCAAAATCGTACAATGATTTTTAGCAGAGATTTGTTACGATTATGGAAAGGGTTTTATGTGTCATTTATGGCATATGCATGGATAGAAGAGGATCCGGGTTCAATACTACACTGTGTGAAGTCCATTTGTGGTAGAGAAACTATATATGCAGGTCAGTTTGTGTTGAAGGCGGAGGCCTGCACGCTGGTATTAATTTGCTCCGACAGTGAACGTAATTTAGTCACACATTCACATTCACACACCTGTTACCGTGACACTTTTCTGATTAAATCACCGCATGTGTCAGAACGAAGAACCTTACGGTGAAATGTCGTGGTTTACTTACCTACTTGGTTTTGATCTGTGAGGATATCCTTTGGGCAATATTTCTCAATGGTTTTGACCAGAGCTATGCTGAGAAGGAGCTTTCGTTGGTCATTGCTTGTGTGGCTAAGTGTCAAAGTGGCTTATGATTTCTATGCTTGGAATAGAGTTTCCAACAAGGAACTGATGCTACAAATGGAACACCACGTTTATAGTCATACACTCAAACATGTGGATTTCCCCGTACAGGAAAAGGTTAGATCACCATCAGTTAGAAGCACTGACATTGTGAGTACAGGATGTGAGGATATTTGTCGAGATAAACGGCAAATAGATCTGTTGTACATTGTTCACTCTGCACCTCAGAATTTTAATTTTCGGACAAACATACGAAAAACCTTTGCAAATCAAACATTCTTTCCGCACAATGAAATACGAATAGTTTTCCTTCTTGGGAAACCGGAGAATGAACAGACGCAGTCCGATATATTGCTGGAGCAGACGACACACTGTGATATCGTTCAAGGATCGTTTCACGACTCGTATCGTAATCTTACCCTCAAGGCTGTGTCGGGCCTGAAGTGGGTCAGTGAAAACTGCCCAAATGTTTCATTTGTAGTAAAGATAGACGATGATGCCTTTGTACAAACGTTCAGTATATTAGAACAATATTTACCTCGCTATGAGAAGGGTAAGAGGTTGATATTTTGCAACGTGTGGAAAGAGGGTTTCATGACCATTCGCAGACGAGGAAAATGGAAGGTAGCAGACGATCAAATGAAAGGATACTACACGTTTCCGTGGAAATACTGCAGCGGTTTTGTCGTGATGATGACTGGAGACCTATTGCCATTGTTGTACAAAGCTTCACTTGCAGTGCCCATACTGTGGGTGGACGATGTATACTTGACAGGGATATTAGTGTCCAGGATTAAAGATGTGAAGTTCGTCAACGTGGATCTGAATGTGCACAGCTCGTTAAAGGCGCCGGTGATCCAAAAGTGTTTCAGTCGTCCCAATTGTCGGCTTCTCTTTGGTGGATCGAAATCTCTTAATTTGGATGAACTCTGGCAAATGGTTTTGCAGAATCGCAATGAACACTACAGGAGAAAAACACAGTACAACCGTTTGTCCTTCAAAAGGGTCTAATTACAAATGTACAACTAAGATGTGGGTGCAGTGCATACGCATCAAAATCTGACATATTTTACATATAGTACAATATATTAAATAGGCAGTGATTCTGGAGTATCATTTTTGTTTTGAAATTCAGCTTTGTTAATCCCAGAATATTTCGGTGAAAAGCAATGTACCGGTATATTGTCATCCTATCATTATTAAGATTAAGCATAAAATATAACATTTGATTCAAAACACAAAAACTTGGTACATCACCAACCTCGTTACTAAATTTCGTAAAAATCGTCATTAGAGAAGCTTAATTAGATCGTGAAAATGTTCCAGATCTCATTATCAAGGGGAATATCCCCTAAATACCCTACTCAGCAATATTACAGCTATATCCGTGGCCTGTAAATTATAGTCTGGGCGAGAGCAAACAGTGATTGGTATTGTGAGTAAGTATACAATTTGTTTGAAACAGGTAATGCACCAAGTCACAGAGTCTTATTCGGTAAGAGTGAGTGAGTGAGTTGGGTTTAACGCTGCTCTTAACAGTATTCCAGTTATATCGCGGCATGTCAACTTAATGTGGGAGGAAAGCCCGAAGTGATGCAGGTCTCAGATGTTTACCACTTCGGTGAAACCCACGGGTATGGTGCTGACAAGCTAGAAACAAAATCGGGGCGAACCGGGATTCGAACCCACAATCATAGGTTTCTTGCGTGCCCAAGGGACGCAACTCTGCAAAGCGAATTGCGGAGCCTTACCACAAACAGTTTGCTGACATATTGGATGGCATTGAACTGAAACAAGGGTCAGATGCACACCTGTAGCAAACAGTATCATTATGAAAACAATGACATCTGGATTGTACATAACTATGTACATACTGAATCAAGGTAACTCAATGTTATATTTGAAAGAGGCACAATACTGCTGCACATAACCCAAACTTTATCATGTATCAATTACCAAGTTTTGTGTTTGTTGGCTTGTTGTTTAAATCCACATCCCACAATATTCCAGACATCGTTCCAAGACTTAAAATATCAGTTTAAGCTGGTCTTTTAGTCAGGTAACTCCCTTTCCTCGGAAGATGTATTTCAGCTATATGACAGCGACCTGTAAATAACTGAGTTCAGACCAGACAAGCCAGTGATTGATATGAGCAAAGATCCAAGATAATGACATAGAGATCACGGAACCTGACCACCATATTCATTTTGTAACCATACTAAATGCATAGGTTGCTGGGGACCTCAAAACACAGAGTCCCCCACCAAGGTAGACTGACATATAGTCTCTGAAATGAATATATTTTACAGAAAAAACAGTTGATAAATTATAGTTATAAAATATAATAAAAAGGAGCCCAGAGACTTTCTTCATTTTCAGATGCTGCAGTAATCTAGAACATTATAGACTTGCAAGGGCTGTATTGGATATATTTGTTTCAGGGCCTGTATGACAGACCACCACCATGGATCCATGTATAAGAACAGTTCACTAAACTTGACATGAGAGTGGTCTGTGGCACAGTCAAAAAATTGTTTTCTAAAAACAATCCACACATAGCAGCCACCCTGGCTCACCAATCACCAGTTTGGCCGCCTCTTTCATTCTTGAGTGAGTATGGTTTTACGCCGCTTTTAGCAATATTCCAGCAATATCAAGGCAGGGGACACCAGAAATGGGCTTCACACATTGTACCCATGTCTGGAATCGAACCTGGGTCTTCGGCGTGACGAGCGAACGCTTTAACCACTAGGCTACCCGACCGCCCCTCCACCTCTTTAGTCAAGCATGGGTAACTGGGAACCTGCTCTCACTCAGACCAGCCATCTGTATATGAAATATATCGCAGGAGGAAAAGTATGATGTGACACAAATTTAGTTTTACATGTTTATTATGTTATAAATACAAAATATTAAACACTTCCAAGGGAAAAGGACAAGAAAACATGCATCTTGAGGTGAAGCAAACATCATCAACATTATAAGGACTGCATTATGATGAAGTTAACACCATAGCGTGCACAATTTTGTTGCAAAGTTTTCATCTGACTGTACAGGTAAGTACCCAAACTGGACACTTTCAAAATCAAGACAGTGAATGTTTAGACAACATGAAAGGTGTAATGTATTCATACATAATTGTAAATCTCCAAAGGAACTTCATAATTCAACACCATTTCTTCCAAGCGTAGCAGCAATACAGTTTTAAGACATAAATGGCAGGCTTACACAGGTGTGCATCATGTTTAAGAGATCATATTTGACATGGAGTCAAAGACATTGGTTTTGTGGTCAGATGGGTTAGCACGAGCCTCGTATGTACAGATTGTAACCTCGTGGCGACGAGCCTGCAAGGGAAAATAAACACAATGAGCACTCAGTCATAAAACATGTACATAGACTTACTTAGAGAAGCACTCTAGTATAATACATAGACACCTTACTTAGAGAAGCACTCCAGTATAATACATAGACACCTTACTTAGAGAAGCACTCGAGTATAATACATAGACACCTTACTTAGAGAAGCACTCTAGTATAATACATATACACCTTACTTAGAGAAGCACTCGAGTATAATACATAGATACCTAACTTAGAGAAGCACTCTAGTATAATACATAGACACCTAACTTAGAGAAGCACTCTAGTATAATACATATACACCTTACTCAGAGAAGCACTCGAGTATAATACATAGATACCTTACTTAGAGAAGCACTCGAGTATAAAAAATAGATACATAGACACCTAACTTAGAGAAGCACTCAAGTATAATACATAGTCACCTTACTTAGAGAAGCACTCGAGTATAATACATAGACACCTTACTTAGAGAAGCATTCTAGTATAATACATAGACACCTTACTTAGAGAAGCACTCTAGTATAATACATAGACACCTTACTTAGAGAAGCACTCTAGTATAATACTTAGACACCTTACTTAGAGAAGCACTCTAGTATAATACATAGACACCTTACATAGAGAAGGACTCTAGTATAAAACATAGATACATAGACACCTTACTTAGAGAAGCACTCAAGTATAATACATAGACACCTTACTTAGAGAAGCACTCTAGTATAAAACATAGATACATAGACACCTTACTTAGAGAAGCACTCATGTATAATACATAGGCACCTTACTTAGAGAAGCACTCGAGTATAATACATAGACACCTTACATAGAGAAGGACTCTAGTATAAAACATAGATACATAGACACCTTACTTAGAGAAGAACTCGAGTATAATACATAGACACCTTATTTAGAGAAGCACTCTAGTATAATACATAGACACCTTACTTAGAGAAGCACTCAAGTATAATACATAGACACCTTACTTAGAGAAGCACTCAAGTATAATACATAGACACCAAACTTAGAGAAGCACTCGGTTACAATACATAGGACCCCATACTTACAGAAGCACTCGGTGGTAATACATAATACTAGCCTACTGTGATACCATGCCACAGTTATAACACAGATACCCCAGTCAGACACATACCAACTCTAAACCCGCTAGTCCTTGTTTTGTTCCCTTAATGCCAAGTGCCAGTCATGGTACCAAGAAACCTGTTTGATCCACTAACCTTCCGTTCTAAGAGCATATGTTCTATCCACTACACCACTGAGGCATATATAACGCCAGATTATCAATATTTAGTAGTACAAACACAGGTAAACATACAGGTGAGGTGAAATGGGGTTTAATGTTGTGTCCAAGATTATTGCACTTACCATATTCGACGTAATAAGCGTCCCGCACTTATAAGCGCCCACGGGAATATTTGCTAATATATTGGCTAGTGAACAATCCCAATTAGCACCCTTTCCAATTGATCAATGTATACAAGACTTATTTATTCACGTATAATACACACTCGTGTGTGATATGCACCCTCAATTATGGGGAATTTAATTCTGGAAAAATATATTTGTCGTAGATAAATATTTCAGGCTGCCAGTATAAACCACGAAATTTTGAGAGCGCCCTGGGAGCTTATTACGTCGAATACGGTATATAGCATTGTGCATGCATGTGTGTGTATGTGTGTGGCAGCTTGTACTAGTCCGGACTTGATGTCCGATTTTATAATGCTAGCACACTGAGATGTCATGCCGCAGTTTAACCCCACTCAGACACAGTAAATTGACTCCGAGCCGACCAGTCCTTGTTTTAGTCCCTTAATGCTGAGCGCCAGACAGGGTAACAACAAGTACCATCTTTTAACATCTTTTGGTATGACACGGCCAGGGATAGAACCCCAGACCTCAGCTCTACAGGCGGACGTTCTACCACTAGACCACAAAGGCGGTCAGGAAAACATTATTCATCATGCTTCCCAGATAATTGACATGTATATTTCATGTTCCCCAAAAATTAAAGTTGAAGAGGTTTCACTGTAGTTTATGTTGCAACAAACCGAAATGTTTCCATCTTTTTGGTATTACCTGTGTGAAATCTCCCCTGAGACCAATGTAATACACCAGAGTGGAGTCATTGCCAAAGTTTCCAGGGAAATGTATGGTTAAGTGTTCAACACTGTTGAATCTGGCAGCCCTGAAATGTATCATGAAAATAGTGAAGGTAAGCTATGAACATTTGAATAAAAAGGAAAATATATTATCGTACCATCCTACTGTATGTATACGGTTTCTATTTCTGCAGAGAGACACTCAATATTCTCAGCACACAAACATATTTAAAAAATCATTTGTACAAATGTTTGCTGATTCACAAAATACATCTACCTGTGTAAGATATTATACATGTCAGTAAACTGATAAATGATGTTATTCAAGTCAATCAGGTAATATTTCTCTCCCAATAAATATTTTTTGAGAACAAAGGAAGTTTCCCTGTCAGCTTAACAGTCACAAATGTTAACAAACATAGCCACTTCACAAAAGTTGCTTTTAGCATTGATATTTAAATATTTTCTATTAATATTGAGGACTAAAATCTGTGGATTTGAACAAAATATGATGTGATCATAAGGAGAAACATACATGCAAAGTTCAGCTCCTTAATTTTGGTTGGTTTGTTTGTTGTTTTACGCCGCACTCGGCAATATTACAGCTATATGACAGCGGTCTGTAAAATAATCGAGTCTTGACCAGACAATCCAGTGATTGAAATCATGAGCATCGATCCACACAATTGGGATCGATGACCTGCATCAACCAAGTCAGCGAGCCTTTTACGACAAGCATAGTCGCCTTTTATGGCAAGCATGGGTTGCTGAAGACCTATTCTATCCCGGATCTTCACGGGTTTTGGAGACATTTACAGAGCCTTATATGCATTTTGAGAGAATACATGATCATAGTTATAACAAGGTCAAAAACAAACAAAAAATGCATGAAATGGAAAATATGTGGGGTCCGACAATGAACTAAACAAAGACCAAACTTTGTTACATTCTGTCCAAAAAATGTCAGAGTAATGGCCAGAATGAGAATTTTCAATATGGATGCTGTGGCAGCCATATTGAAAATCGTATGAGAACTTTGATCAAATGCAGGTTTCATCATTGGTGGGAACAAGTATGTGAAGTTTCAGCTTTATTGCTCCTGTCTGAGGAGAAGATGTTTTTGATGCACGACTGACAACAGGTAAACATGTCCTGGCATAAGGGCTCTTGACTCTCAGTCAGGTGAGGTAACAATTCTGAGAGTGAGTGAGTGAGTATGGTTTTACGCCGCTTTTAACAATATTCCAGCAATATCACGGAGGGGTACACCAGAAATGGTCTTCACACACTGTACGCGAACGCTTTAACCACTAGGCTACCCGACCGCCCCAACAATACTCAAATCTAATCCCAACATTCCCAAAATGATCCCTATGAAAACAAAACATTTCAAACTTTATCTGTGTTATCTTACTTTGTTGCATATTCTAACATCCCCTCTGGGTCAGGGTGAAGTTCATACTCTTGCTCTGCTTCAATGTTCACGTCATCAAAGGTCATGCCTGGGCGATTCTTGAATCTACAATAATTCATTATATGTTATATGTCGACAGAATAATCTTCAAGGTAGCATATACTATATCTTCCACCATACATGAAAATTCACAGTGGTAGCAAATGGGTGTGCCTCATGAACAAAAACTATATTTTAATTCTTTTTACATTTCACATATTTTCATTTTGATTCTAAAAAGTTGGCATCTGCCACAATGGTATAAAAGTAATATTCCACAAGGAAATTTATCATCCAAAACTGGCTCCCACAGGAGATAACGCTTGGATGAGATCAAGCGATATCTACACTGTAGATATCGCTGCAATGAAATTACATCACAATGGTTTGCAGACCATTGTGACGTCACTGGTTACTATGACGTCACAATCAAATGACATCACTAATGGCTCTGCTATTGAAGCTGTTTTCAGTACTTTTTACACTGAAGACACTGCTAATTACTGTCTACAAATTTAAAAAGTTGAAAGAATGATGTTGGATGATAAATAAAATCTCACCCGAGTGTCTTTTGATATCAAATATATCAACACTCGTTGATAAAAGTGGCAAAAATCCTCGGCAAGCCTCAGGATTTTTCCACTTTTATCAACTCGTGTTGATATATTTGATATCAAAAGACACTCGGGTGAGATTCACTATATAACCAGTCCTTCCTGATTTTTACTCGTCTCAGACAAGCAGAATTGATGTTAATTTCAAATCAGTACTAAAAATAAAAACATGATTAGAGTTGATTGTGCTGATTGTGAATATAACTTTGACAAAGACAGAAAACTTTGATCATTGGGGTTGACACATTTAACCATTCTTTTAAGATGCATCAACTTACAGTCTCATTCTTGAAGGATGACTGTCATCTTGTCCACCAATGACAATAACTCCTTTCAATTTTACACTTCCAGTGAATCTGAATTAAAAAGAAAGAAAATGTTTGACAAGACCACCCTTAGAAGTCTTCATTTCCTTACAGCCGCTCACATTGAACCAATATTGGGCAAAGTTGGCGTAACCAGGTAACATATATTACCACGTAATGGCCATTATTTTCAACATGTTCAGATACTAATGGACTCAATGGACCATGAATTATGTAAGTCTTTGACTAAACTATACAAAATATTCAAAAATGTATCTATATAAGAAACCAAACATGGTAAATATAAATGTATATCAATTATGAAATATATATATTTATATATACAGAAAGCTCAAAATACATGATACAGGTGATCATCATAGTGACTATTTTTTGTCTTTTGCAATGGTTGAAATACCAGGATCCACTATGGTGCTTGGCCTTGTGATGAGTACGAAAGTGTTTACTAAAATGAAGAATTCTAATAGGTTTTCTTACGGTATGTTGAAAATCAATTCTTCATCAACATCACTTTCAACATACTGAAATAGAAAAACGAATCAGTTTACAAAATTTAATCAATATGAACAAACAACCGGTAACTACATTTTTTATCAAAGATAAAATCAGAATGTAAATAAATGTTATGATGAGGGCTTTATCAAGGAGATGCAGTGAATCCGTAGACACTAACTTGTAGACACAACATACAGTGAACACGTAGACAAATCAGGAGTGAAATCGTAGACACATTTTATTATATTGGAATTGAATTATAATAATTAATATTATCAAGGTTCTTTTGTGAATAAATTGTTAAAAAAAATTCCCGTTGCATGCATGCCTAAGTGCTGGAACATCGATAATTATCCATATAATTGCCACATAATAATTCAATATGCATATGTAATACATCAATATTTAAGTCTATTTCCCAATTCCCAAACCCACTGTGAATTTGCCTATGAGTCTATGAATTCTCCATGGCTATGAATTAGTTTGGTTACAAATTCACTTACTGGCTTTGTCAAGTTTATCTCTATCATCACTTTCCCACCATTGTTTGTTGTTTTGGTCAATCCCTGTATATGCAATTCTTAGCTATATAACCCTGTCCTATCAAGGTGTTTATTACTTGCTTAATAGGTACCAGTACCTTTTATACCAAATGTTGCATTCAAAGAACAAAGAAGTTGCAATCCATAAATCAACTCTGTCTTCACTGATGAGAAATAAAATGGCATTTACAAACTAAATAGTTTGTTTACCATAAAACATACAACAGCAATAAGTATCAGTCTTGAAATAACTGAAGCAATGTCAATTAAAATAACAAAGAAACAGATACCAGACAAATAATTTCATACATAGTTTTGGGGAAAACTATTGATCTTTAATAATTTCATTATGACATTGTTAAAGGGAGACCATCGTATGACAACCGCGCGATTATCGCCCCTTAATGTATCCTCAACTCGACCAGTCTAAAAGTAAAACCTTGTCTTTATCCAGTCTTTGATCCCATGGCTTGAATATTGTCCTGCCCGATCCATCAAGTGTTTCATTCAAACATTCCACACGTTCTGTGTCGATCTTCGTGTAAAGGCTGAACTGAGCTGCCATTTCTGATTCTGAAGGATGGTCATGTCCACCTCCGCAGTCGTGGCCGTGCCCATGTCCATGTCCGTGCCCTGACATTATGAACTATCAACTCTAAATAATTTCAGTTGCGATTTTCGATCGAAAACTAAAACTTGGATGTACTATAAGTGAGATAAACAGACAATATTGACAGAAATCACAGCAGCAAAATTATTGACATGCCTACCGGAAGAGTTTGATTTAAATCTTTCTTCTTGTCAGGAGAGTTCCAAATGTGATTAAACTAGTATCCTCTGGCAGTTGCGTGACGCATGCACATGTCAATGGCTTATGTTTATTACACTGGTTTATTTGCTGACTCAGTTAAGTGTAGAAAAATCACAAGGCTGTAGCCAGTCAGGTGAACTGGCTTTGTGTTCCATTTAGAATGAATGTAATACTTTAGGAAAATATTTTAGGTTTCAGGTAAGGGGCTGTAATTATTAAATTTAATATTTTAATGAATTTTATTATTATAAAATCTATATGATAAGCCAACAACAAAATAAAAAGAATAAATTTAGTTTGTTTATCAAGTCATGTTTTTTTAATTGTCACAAACAAAGACACTGGCCATGTACTTCAAGGAAGAGACAAGCAGTGTTAAAATTTTAAGCTGTAATCCTTAATATTGTCGGTTACCCAATGGCACTGGCGTATCCAGAGTGAGGTTGCACACACAGACACACTTTTTCCGACACATTAGAAGTTACCTGCACCCTCGGTCAATTCACTTTGTGACTTGAGTATTATGTACACCCCTCCTTTTTCAATATTCTGGATCCGCCTCTTCACCGCTATATACAATGAAAAAGGACTGGCATTCATACATCTAATTTAAATCAGTTAGTTTCAACCAGTTCAAGCTCACGAATAATCTTTTCTTAATAAAACAATAAAAGAGTGAAAATTCATTTCCATTTTGAAATACATAGCACTTAAAACATACAAAAATAAGAGCAAATTGTTTTGCATGCTTAACATTTGAAATCATCATGGTCGATGTCCGCTTTTCTAGCTATCTTTTGAGTTATGTGTAATCTTGTTTGTGATCTGGGTCTTAAAGCTGCTTTACACATTATTTTCTTTCTGTAACAGCATGTATTGACATGAAGGGAATATTGCTTTAAACGGAATCAACAATCTTGAAGTGATTGGCAACACTGACGTTGACATCGCATGTGCAATTACACGTTTTTCTAATAGATGCATGTATCCCATACATTATTTTTTAAATCTCTTTTTAAGTGTTAAAACACACTTCAAATTTGTTTCCAACTACCTGATGTGTTTGTTTTTCTATTCAATGAAGACAATTTTAACAATGTCAATACAGTTTATATTAGTTACCATTGTACAGATATGTACATGTTTAAGGTCTTGAATAATGGGAGTGATTGTGAGGGTTAAAGTTCTGTTGGTAGATTGTTACAAAGTGTTGAAGCACAGTATGCGAAAGATCTATGACCAAAAGTCTTCAAGTTGGTTTCAGGAACTTGCAGCAGGTGTCCACGGATAGATCTTGATGGCCTATATTTAGGCATTAGTTAAATCAGATACAGTGGGGCTGATTCATTGAAGCATTTGTAGGCTAATGTCAGTAGTTTAAAATCAGTTCTCGCTTCGAGAGGCAACCAATGCAGCAAAATCATGAAAGGAGTTATGGGTGTCCATTTTGGACCCGTGAATATTCCGGGGTAGAATAGGTCTTCAGCAACCCATGCTTGCTGTAAAAGGTGACTATGCTTGTCGTAAAAGGCGACTAATGGGATCGGGTGGTCAGGCTCGCTGACTTGGTTGATGCATGCCATCGATCCCAATTGCGTGGATCGATGCTCATGATATTAATAACTGGATTGTCTGGTCCAGACTTGATTATTTACAGACCACCGTCATATAGCTGGAATATTGCTGAGTGCGGCATTAAACAACAAACAAACCAACCATTTTGAAGTTCTCATAACAATACCTGCAGCTGTGTTTTGTATGCCTGAAGCCTCTTGAGCTGTTCATTTGTGATGTTAAACATGGTTACCCATCAGACTACAGTATTACACTAGTCAAGCCTTGACATGACTAAAGATCTGGCCATGAGATGTACAGCATCTTTTTTGAGCAGATGTCGAAATACTCTACCACACTGGCAATATGTCAGTTAACCCAACTCACACCTTCTCTTGGGCCGTTCTATTACAGCTGTGAGGCAGCCTAGTGATAAAAGCATTCATCGTCACACCAGAAGCCTTGGTTCGATTCCCAACATGGGTACAATGTGTGAAGCCTATTTATGGTGTCCCCCATCAAAATATTGCTAGAATATATTGCTAAAAATGGTGTAAACCCAACTCACTCACTATAACAGAATTAGGAACATCCATTTGTTGTTAATTACTGGTAAGTGTAGAAGTTTTGGGCGACAACCAGTTGTACACGTGATGTGTGTCTTTAAATAATGCATTCATATGCAACATACATGGGTTTGTGTAATTTTTGTAACAGAGATTTCAATAGTTACTTTGTTGTATATTTGACTTGAAGATGTAAATCGTAATATTGTTTATTTGTTTATTTGTTTATTGTTTAACGCCGCACTCAGCAATATTCCAGCTATATGACGGCGGTCTGTAAATAATCAAGTCTGGACCAGACAACCCAGTGATTAACATCATGAGCATTGATCCACGCAATTGGGATACAATGACCTGCATCAACCAAGTCAGCATGCCTGACCACCCGATCCTGTTAGTCGCCTCTTACGACATGCATAGTCACCATTTACGGCAAGCATCGGTTCCTGAAGACCTATTCTACCCAGGATCTTCACGGGTCTGTAAATCGTAATTTAAAAGGAAAAAGTGTGCTAACTGTACTAAGGTTTACCTCACAATAAGTAGCAGGGAAGTAGCCACAACTAAACAAAAAGATGACAACATTGTAAATATCTGAGATCATGTTTCTGAAACAAACATGTCAGGGAGAGTGGAGAAACACAGGAAAAGTCAGTGTTTCCTAGGTCCTTTGAAGATCCAGGGTAGAGTAGGTCTTCAGCAACCCATGCTTGCCGTAAAAGGCGACTATGCTTGTCGTAAAAGGCGACTAACGGGATCGGCTGGTCACGCTCGCTGACTTGGTTGATGCATGTCATCAATCCCAATTGCTCATGATATTAATCACTGGATTGTCTGGTCCAGACTCGATTATTTACAGACCGCCGTCATATAGCTGGTATATTGCTGAGTGCGGCGTAAAACAACAAACCAACCAATCGACCAGTGTTTCCTAGGGGTTGAGCATTGAGGCTGTATATTTCATATGGATGCAGCTTTTATAATGTCAATATTTCTCCGTCTCGAGTCCGTTAACACTTGTTATTATCACAATGTTACAAGGCGGCCCATATATATATAATCAAGTCTGGGCCTTTCATGCCAGTGGTCGATAGCATGAGCAAGGATCCATGTCGTTGGGGAGTGGTTGAGGGCTCCCAGTCAGACAGGTTGCACACTGTTACCAACTTGTTGGTTCTTACAACAAACATGAAATTGACGATTTATTCTGGAGTGACCACGGAGAAGGTCTTCAGATGGCTGACGTGATGATAAAACAATGGTGCTGGTAGGTTATTCACATTCAGTTCAATTCACGAGCTTGTGGTTTGGAATGCATGTTATCCGATATTTGAAATACCGATATTTTGTTTGTGCTATACACAAACGTTTTTTAAAATAACAAAAATACATTCACCCACAATCTTATTATTTCATTAAACTTTATTTGACCCATTCAAATCAGGGTCATCATCATTTTGAAAGGTGACAATTTGCATTTACAGAAAAACAACAAATGACAGGGAAGGGGTGTTGACTTATTTATTCACATCAATTCCCTTGAAGGTATCAGGCCAAACACAGTTGCTTTTGCCAGCGAAAGCTAATACAGAGAACATCACCACACCATCACACCAATACTCCACCTGTACATTGCTCAATGAAAGTACCCATCCTTGATGACAATAACCCACCTATCTGGAAGGATGCTGTGAAGCACACATATCCAGGGTGCCTTTCCAAGAACACTAAACATATATTTAGCTTCACACACTGAAGTCATAAGAACTCCACTGCTTTCAAAACCTGTACATCACACACTCATTTTCAAAATGGTGAACCCTTAAATGTAACGTGACAAGTGATTTCAAATTGAATTCCATAAAAAAGGACAATGATTAATTAGAAGTATGTGCAGTTGTTCATGTACATTTGTAATAAGTATACCTTCATCAGATGTCAGATAAGTTACGTCCTTGAAATTCATTAAGCAGATTCTAAGAATTTTATCATCTCTTGATATTCATTTATTACATCAAGATGGTTGAATTTGTTTGGCATATGGTTGAAGATGCGGACCAGATTGAACCTTTCACCAGAACTTCTACTGTAGTACATGGACATTTGTCGCACAAGATTCAATGCATCCTTTCTTTTCTGAAAAAAAGAAATGTTACTTTTTACACATGTTTTACCTCAAGAAACTAAATACCGTCAGATCACATTTCACTAAAGTAAAAAAAAAACCTGAATGAGTTTGCTTTGTCAGTGTAAAGGTGACTTGATGCTGGAGAAAATGTCCCACTGCTACTGAGAGTTCGTTAAAACATTTGTGTATGTTGTCAGCAATTCCACCAACATGACAGCAGCCTGTAAATAATCAAGTCTGGACCAGACAAAGCAATGGTTGACATTACGCAATCAACGATCCGTTTAGTCGCCTCATTTGAAAGCATAGTTCTAAGTTTAAACCCACCCCAAAAAACCATTTGTGATCATTTATTCATGTCACTGAAAAAAGAATATAGCCCCACATCTGATTTAGAAAAAGTAAGAGGTTTTGCCTCGGAATTGCTTGGGTACAACTATTATTGTATAGAGTCCATGGAGTGAACTGCTAAAATAATCCCCGGGAAATATATGCTCCAGAGGAACCGAGTTTACCGAGTGACAAGATTACAACTTACCAGTAATGAGTCGTCATACTGCCCAGTCATCAGCACAATACCTGCACAGAACAAAAACATTGAAAGAGAGTGGAACTTAAGACCTGAACATGTTCATCTGAATGTATAAAGATGATATAGATGACTGGATAAAGAAAAACTCCCTCAGGTTCTTTTGTAAAGTTCTGAACTTTATAGCCAGGTTTCTTAACGATAAAGAAGGTAAGGATCCCAAGCAGCTAATCACCAGTTGGGCATCTTCCCGAGGCAAGGGAGTTAACTGAGTATAAAAGTCCAGTTACCACTCTTGCCGAACTAGGCTGGATTAACAAGACTATGCATCAAAATTGCGTAACAAAAACAACATTGCAACTGCCGTGCAGGATTTGCAAAGCATGTGTATCATCAGCTGGCTGCAACAGATATTTTCCAAATCTTTTCATGTTCTTAATGAAGGTACTCAAGTGATTTAATGGATTTTACAACGTATGACCAGTTTTATTGCAATACAGATCTTAAGTATCGATCAGGCTGTTTTGACTTGGCGCCGCCAATTTGTTTGAAGCAAATGCAACTGACATGAGAGGTGGCATCTGATTGGTCAATAGCAGGGACATAACTCGTAATAGCCACTGGTGGCGTTATGATTGAGGCATGAAATTCCAGCCTAGTTCGAGAAGGGTGGAAACAGGACTCGTATAGTTTATTATCTCGCTTGCCTCGTGAAGATGCCAATTGGGAAAAACAAAAATCCTTTACTCAAAACCTGAATTCACATGTGGAAGCAACTACATAGGTTTTAGTAATACAAAAAGACCTTTGTTTACCCAGGGCAATTCAAAAAGTGAGTTTTCACACAAACAGAACTTTATCATTAATTCAGTAATTGCACATGTTTGATTAGAGAGAGCCCCAAGTCATGCAGTCTGTAGATATTGTAACAAGCATGGTTATGGTATGACAGAAACAGGATCCTCTATAGCCAAGGGATGCTACCTAGACATTTGTGGCACATTGGTCCACTGGGCAACCCATGCCCCCAAGTGGACCAGGAAAAGACTCACCCTTGTTCCTCTGGAGCTCTGTGAAGTGGACCAGGGAGAGACTCACCTTTGTCCTCCTGGAGCTCTGTGAAGTGGACCAGGGAGAGACTCACCCTTGTTCCTCTGGAGCTCTGTGAAGTGGACCAGGGAGAGACTCACCTTTGTCCTCCTGGAGCTCTGTGAAGTGGACCGGGAGAGACTCACCTTTGTCCTCCTGGAGCTCTGTGAAGTGGACCAGGGAGAGACTCACCTTTGTCCTCCTGGAGCTCTGTGAAGTGGACCAGGGAGAGACTCACCTTTGTCCTCCTGGAGCTCTGTGAAGTGGACCAGGGAGAGACTCACCTTGTTCCTCCTGGAGCTCTGTGAAGTGGACCAGGGAGAGACTCACCTTGTTCCTCTGGAGCTCTGTGAAGTGGACCAGGGAGAGACTCACCTTTGTCCTCCTGGAGCTCTGTGAAGTGGACCAGGGGAAGACTCACCTTTGTCCTCCTGGAGCTCTGTGAAGTGGACCAGGGAGAGACTCACCTTTTTCCTCTTGTCTCTCTGTGAAGTGGACCAGGGAGAGACTCACCTTTGTCCTCCTGGAGCTCTGTGAAGTGGACCAGGGAGAGACTCACCTTGTTCCTCTGGAGCTCTGTGAAGTGGACCAGGGAGAGACTCACCTTGTTCCTCTTGTCTCTCTGTGAAGTGGACCAGGGAGAGACTCACCTTTGTCCTCCTGGAGCTCTGTGAAGTGGACCAGGGAGAGACTCACCTTTGTTCTCCTGGAGCTCTGTGAAGTGGACCAGGGAGAGACTCACCTTTGTTCTCCTGGAGCTCTGTGAAGTGGACCAGGGGGAGACTCACCTTTGTCCTCTTGGAGCTCTGTGAAGTGGACCAGGGGGAGACTCACCTTTGTCCTCTTGGAGCTCTGTGAAGTGGACCAGGGAGAGACTCACCTTTGTTCCTCTGGAGCTCTGTGAAGTGGACCAGGGAGAGACTCACCTTTGTCCTCTTGGAGCTCTGTGAAGTGGACCAGGGAGAGACTCACCTTTGTCCTCTTGGAGCTCTGTGAAGTGGACCAGGGGGAGACTCACCCTTGTTCCTCTGGAGCTCTGTGAAGTGGACCAGGGAGAGACTCACCTTTGTTCTCCTGGAGCTCTGTGAAGTGGACCAGGGGGAGACTCACCTTTGTCCTCCTGGAGCTCTGTGAAGTGGACCAGGGAGAGATTCACCTTTGTCCTCCTGGAGCTCTGTGAAGTGGACCAGGGGAAGACTCACCTTTGTCCTCCTGGAGCTCTGTGAAGTGGACCAGGGAGAGACTCACCTTTGTCCTCCTGGAGCTCTGTGAAGTGGACCAGGGAGAGACTCACCTTTGTCCTCCTGGAGCTCTGTGAAGTGGACCAGGGGAGACTCACCTTTGTCCTCCTGGAGCTCTGTGAAGTGGACCATGGAGAGACTCACCTTTGTCCTCCTGGAGCTCTGTGAAGTGGACGAGGTGGAGACTCACCTTTGTCCCCCTGGAGCTCTGTGAAGTGGACCAGGGAGAGACTCACCTTTGTCCTCCTGGAGCTCTGTGAAGTGGACCAGGGGAAGACTCACTTTTGTCCTCCTGGAGCTCTGTGAAGTGGACCAGGGAGAGACTCACCTTTGTCCTCCTGGAGCTCTGTGAAGTGGACCAGGGAGAGACTCACCTTTGTCCTCCTGGAGCTCTGTGAAGTGGACCAGGGGAGACTCACCTTTGTCCTCCTGGAGCTCTGTGAAGTGGACCAGGGAGAGACTCACCTTTGTCCTCCTGGAGCTCTGTGAAGTGGACCAGGGGAAGACTCACCTTTGTCCTCCTGGAGCTCTGTGAAGTGGACCAGGGAGAGACTCACCTTTGTCCTCCTGGAGCTCTGTGAAGTGGACCAGGGAGAGACATGGTGGGGCGTTCTCCTTCATCTGCTGGTACATGATGAGAGGTGTGAAGTACACAGACTTCCCAGAGATCATGGAGAAGAAGAGTTCATATCCATCCTGGCGAGGCAGTGGGTACAGAAACTGCAACAACATTCACCATCAAATACTAACTAAACAAAACATGTAAGAAAACGTACAACTTTGGATAACCTATGGTTTATTGCATAAAGCGATGTTTCAATGTAGATTTTTACACCGTTATCAAGCTGGAGTAAGAATCTACATTGAAATGTCGCTATATGCAATAAACTAAAAGTTGTTATCCATAAACTTGTACAGTTTTTTATTTATTCACCAAATTCTAGAATGCCGATCAAATAGTTGAACATAACACAGTGTTTTAGATGGAGCAATCATGTAATTCTTTCTATTAATGACTTCATAATGAACAAGACTTATCTATCCATGCATATAAGTCAGGTACATTGCTTTCATTGAAATATCATCTAATTTCAAGAATAAATCCAAGTGACAATTTCAAGAACTTCAAGAAAATATTAGCAGAATATATAGAGTTCATTTTTCCGAATTCCACCAGAATGTACATTGCCATCTTTCTACATAATGCTCAGTCACTGGTTCCATTCATTATTTTAAAAGACCCGTGAAGATCCCACGAGCAGGGGTATGGTGCTGACAAACCGTGAAGATCCAGGGAAGAATATATCTTCAGCAACCCATGCTTGTTGTAAGAGGCGACTATGCTTGTCCTAAGAGATGACTAACGGGATCCAGTGGTCAGACTAGCTGACTTGGTTGATGCATGTCATCACATCCCAATTGCCCGGATCAATGCTCATGATGTCAATCACTGGATCTTTTGATCCAGACTATTACCAAATTATTTACAGACCACCGTCATACAGCTGGAATATTGCTGAGTACGGCATTAAACAACAAACAAACAAACATTATTTTAAAGATATATCAAATAGACTGACAAAAAATTAATCATCACAGACAGAATTTGTAATGGAACTCACAGATGGACATGTCTTAGCCTTTTCCATCAGATCATCATAATCGATAGACTGAAATATAACAAGTACAGCATGTTAAGATACATTTAAACTGACAGTGTTGAAGTCAGGAATTCTGCAAACATCTGCACTGCAGGGATTCAATCAAAAATCATCTTTAAACTGTAACCCTGAATGAGTCAGTGGTCAACCACTGGTCAAGCAAGCAGAACAAGCAACCAATGTCATAAGCTTGAAGAGTACCTTCTACAGAAAGAGCCAACCTATAGAGGTAAGTAAAACATTGATCAACATTCAGATTAACAGTCAGTATCAAATTCCTTTCAGTTCAGGGTTTGACAAATAAAGAGGAAAAATCAGTGAGTGAGTTGGGTTTAACGCTGCTTTTAACAGTATTCCAGTTATATCGCGGCATGTCAGCTTAATGTCGGAGGAAAGCACAAAGTGATGCAGGTCTCAGACGTTTACCACTTCCGTGAAACCCACGAGCTGACAAATCTAGAAACCTAATTGGGGCCAACCCACAATCATAGGTTTCTGGCGTGCCCAAGGGACGCAACTCTGCACAGTGAATCGCGGCGCTGTAGACGAGTGGGCCACCTGTGCCCCTGGAAAAATCAGTTCATTTGGTACTTAATATAGTTTGTCTCCTGGTGAGTGTGTTACCTTCATGACTGTGTATACACATTCCTTCTTACAGTGGAATTCTTTCCATATCTGAATGAAGGAAGAAAACAGGAGTGACTGTTATTAACAAGAACAAACATCAGCTGTGGAGTTATCTCCCTTAATGAAACAACAGCAGGTAATATATTCAGAAAAGCTTAAAAAGCACTGTATTAAGTTTTAAGCATTACTTTGTGTAATAAAATGAGATAATCAGTATTTTCAACTTACTTGAACTGATTGAGTGATACTCATACACTGTAACATGTTTTATATAAACGCATACTGTACAATGTCTGTATTGAAAACATGAACAAAAATATCAAACAGTACTAGAATTGAACAAATGGAAAATTATTACATCGTCAGTGTAACCCATTTTAAATGCCTAAACTGAGATCAAAGGCACCTGTGTTTGTTGATTCTTTTAGCTAATGAATGAAGATTAATATCACTACTTGATGAGTGTCCTTTGTTTGAATCAGTGATGGTACAACTGGCCACAGATAATCACAAACCTCCTCAATCTCCTCTGCCGTCTTATCTCTGATCAGTTCCATCTTCATGACACTGTCTAACCCCTGGAACAGACAACACCATGAATAGTACATTCACAACCTGTGGAGACCATACATTCATAATCCTCCACAAGGAGATTTGTCTGCTAAGATAAGGTCAAGAGTTTAAAGTGCAGGTATCATGAAAAATAGTGATAAATTTCTCTTACATCATTATGTAGCCAGTATGATGTACAATACGATGGCTGAGAAAAACTGTGAAAATGCAAATGTAGTGCTGTTGTATTTTTTAGGTCTATATTGGAAACAACCCAAGCAAATTTTAAAGGCGCTAATGAGGAACCGGGGGTTAATTAACATGGTCAACTAGGCCTGCAAGCTGATTAGGTAATACCAGCAGCCTGGTACAGAATATACGCGATCCTGATCGATCCAGAGAAAGTCAATCCCCATGAGGTTGATTGAGAGTGATAATCCCGAGAGCGGCGATCCCTAGATCCAGAACATCAGACCTCCAATGAGTGATCCCAAGAGCAGCGATCTCTCGATTGTCGATACCTGGACTGGCGACTCTGCGATGAAGCACAGCGATCCTTTTTGGAAGCGCAAGATTGATCTCATTCCCTGGTAGAAGTAGAGGACCAACTCGCATGATCGATCCAGGGACAATATCAAAGCCTGCGTTATCGACTTGGAAGCGACTGGTAAAGCGTGGGATGATAGGCGACTTGCAGCTGACGGTCGGGGAGCGCTAGAAGGTTCGACAGTCGAGGCTGTCGATGCTGGCTGGGACACACCCTCTTTAGAGAAAACCATACCGATGTCAGAGGCTGCTGGCTGCTCCAACGTAGGCTTGGACACGGGCACTTTGGGGACAGACAGTTGGTCCAATGTGGTGTGAACATATCAGTGAGGGAACTGTCGGAAACACCATCATCTTTGCCAGACAAGGAGGGGATGGTAGACGCCGGAGGAGGCTTCATGATGGAACTGGTGGAGGGAACAGCCAGCATGGTGTCTTATTTAGGCTTCTTTCAATGTTGAGGAAAGCCAATGTTCTGCGTCCCTGGACTTGGACCGGTGGTCAACATCCCGCTTGCAGCACTTGGGTAGGTATAGCGTAAAGGCTTCCTCTGTGAGGTGGGAACACTTAGATAGTCTTAGAACATCGCTTGTCTTGACTGCAACGACCACGGCAATCACAACGGTCGTGAGCATCAGCAGTGGAGTAAGTATGGCAGCAAACTTGGTGTTGATCGTCTCGTAAACAACAACAACAACAACAAATGTATTCTCTACAACTCAATACATGTCTCCACAGGATGGCAATGAGAATATGACTGATGTGGCAGGGGTAGTCAGGTGACCATGTAAGGTCACAACGCATGGGATAATATGGTAGTGCTTGACCTCTTTATTGGGCTGGAGGAGATCTTGGTGATGCTGTGGGATGTGTTCGGGTAAATTGTTTTTAGAAGCTGGAAACTTTGTTCAATCACGTTTTGGCATAAGGAAAAATTAGATTGTGTAAGATAGGACAAGTTTAAAAATTTGTCTTTTTCAATTTTAGGGGCACGGGTCAGACCCACCCCCTACCCCTTGATCTTTATAGCCAATTTAGTGCTAATTAACCAGAACAGTGTTTGTCTGGTTATATCCCATTAGTTAGACGTCCCATTAGTTAGACGTCCCAATTGTTAGACATGTTTATTCGGGCAAAGAGGGAATATACCTACAGGTGTAATGGATCGGTCCTAATTAGATTAAAGTACTGGGTAGGGATAGGGGACTCACAGTTTAGGGAGTATATATGTTATAATTTCGTTTAATTAACCTAAATTACCTTACTCTCAGCACAGGTTCAATAGGCATGAGATTTCCTATGTAAACTATGGAGTAGCTTAATTGTCTTACTGTATGATCAGTTGAAGGAGTTGAGTTTAGATTATCTACTCATCAAACAAAAAAATTGATCTTGGGGTACGTATTATTATCAGTATCGATATGGTTGGTTAAAGGTAAGTAGAGTACCTCACCTCTCGGCGTGGAAGTGAGCAGTTGATATTAGATGGATATATTTACAACAGAAACCGCGAGAGGCAAACCTGCACACATTGGAGATGTGTCGTCAAGACGAGCAATGGGAAATGTACGACTGTCGGTGACTTTCTTTGCAATCAGTCGGAACATAACCATCCGCCTGAAGATGAAACCAGAGTGAACTTTGTCTGCAATCTTCGTAAAAGAGCGCGAGAAGAAACCACACAGATGCAGGCATTGTACGAGGAGCAAGTCACTCAAGTAGATGAAGCCAACATGCCAGCGATGCCAACATTTCAGAGCGTGAAAGGTGCACTTTACAGGTAAATATCATCCCGTATTTTTGACTTGGTTAGAATTTACTCTCTTGTTTTAGGTCCCACATAACTTGTTTCGCTCTTAAACATTTCAAGTTAATGAAATCATTATCAATATTTCATGTAACATGTGTGTAACTGTTCCTTTGCTCTTGTTCAGGCGTTACATTCCAGCATTACCCAGGTCGAGGTCAGCAGTAGACATTGAAGACAAATGGTCAGAGACAACAGATGGACGTCCCTTACTACTGTTCAGCGACGGCGACGATGACAAGATCCTGGCGTTCTCTTCTGCAGAACAGATACAAGCACGCCAGGAAGCTGACACCCTTTACATGGATGGTACCTTCACAGCATGTCCAGGTTTATGGGATCAAGTATACATCATTCATGCCAGAGTTGGTCCCAACGCCTTCCCTCTAGTTTTCGCCCTTTTGCCAGATCGCCAAGCAACAACCTATGGCCGGCTTTTTCGACAACTGAAGACAGAAGTTCAAGAGCGATTCAACAGACCTCTGTCACATAGCACACTTGCTTCGTCTGGGATAAATAAACTGTAAAAGTTATTAAATGTAAAGTGTCATTAAATGTTAAGTATAATATTAAAGTATCTATTTAAAGCTGCTTTCCTTTGATTGTCAGATCTTATCTGGACTATTCCATTTTAAAGTCTGAGGTAACAAGCATAAGGATTAGTGTGCACCCAACCGTTTAAAGTGTTGTTATAAGCTGTCTAACTATTGGGACGTCTAACTAATGGGAGGACACCGTTTGTCTCACAGCCATGCACCTTATTGCATAACGTATGCCAGCAGTCAGTCCAGGTATCATTAAACACTATGTGTATAGTGTAGTGTAACACGTTTACAACTGACACTGAGTCTTTGACATGTCCATTCCTCTTTCTGGTGCTATTTCAAAACAAATTAACAAATCTGTTTTCTGCAATCACTTGCGATCCATGCTTCCAAGATGGGGATCATCCGGGTTATTTCCATCACTACTGTCGGTCACAGGTTCAAACATGTAGGTGTTCACGTGTACTTCTTCCCCAGAAATCACCAATTCATCTTCCAAGAAACATTCACATTCCATGACAACTCAAAAACTAGTGTCACTGTTAGAGTTCAATATATTGGCAAGTTACAAGCTCACGATACCGCACAAGGAACAAAGTAAGTATGATTGATGCTTCATCATTTTATACACAGATCAGTGAGTATGTTTAACAGAGAAATTCTCACAACAAAATAAATGAAAGTACCGAACCATGAACAAGAAACGCAATTGAAGAAACAGCATGTTTCACACATCGTTTTCTCACTGAATAGTGAACTCAATTTGTGAAATAATGGCCCTGTCACATTTCCGATGTTGAAAGAAAAAGGAGTATATTTTAATCCTTTCTTCTCACTCATACGAAGGAACATACAGTGAACATACGGGAATTGTTCATTTGTGGATAGGAGAATGTCCAAGGATTGAAAAGGGTGTAGAATAGGTTTCCTTTGCTGAGAACATGTGCAGCCGACCATTACCTTGAACAGAGGGGCAGGCTTGTTGAGTGATCAAGCATGTAATTTTTGAGGACATCACCTCTAACATGACCATATATGGAGCCTCTAAATCTGGTTCCGCTGCATTTTTGTTTGAGTCTTTGAATTGACAGACAGGACTAAAGTGCATATAAACCTTATTTATGCGCCACTTTTGATGTTTTGAATACAATATTTGCATTGACAATGTTACGATCTATCTAATTTTGCAAAGTTGTATATACCCATGAGACTTGCACTTTAAACAAATGGAGTGTAAATACTGTCAAACGCAATAGATTCAAATACATCTTCACTGGTTCCTCTGAACACTGATCTTACCTTAGGTGAGGCCTTCCCTTCAGCCTCAGCCTCTGCTTTAGCCTTCTCCTTCTCCGCCTTCTCCAGCTGCTCTTTGATGAAGGCTCGGTCCTTCCTCAGCTCCTCTTCAATCTGATTCATCTTTTCCTGGTAGGACTCTGGGGAGGATCTGTATAAAATATATGAGGGTTAATTTCCATTTTATTTATAACAAGGAACATTACAGTTTTAGGTAAAGAGTCTGTAAACATGGTAAACTAAGTTACAAAAATAACAAAATGAGTGAGTGAGTTTGGTTTTACGCGGCTTTTAGCAATATTCCAGCAATATCATGGTGGGGGACACCAGAAATGGGCTTCACACATTGTACCCATGTTGGGAAACCAACCCAGGTCTTTGGCGTGATGAGCGAATGGTTTAACCACCAGGCTACCTGACCGCCCCAAAAACAAAATGAGGCCTCACTAACTTGAACTGGTCATCATCAGTGTCCAGTGTCAAAAGGCTAAGGCTTCACATGTAGAAGCTTGCATTTATAGCAATGGTAGTTCACTGACTCAACAGAAAGTTCATCACATTGACTCAGCTTTAAAAGCGAAGTTGTTGTTTTTCCTAAAAATTAATACTGCATTTTGTATGTTTTTCTTAAATTTGACAAACCTTTGTAAATCCAGCAGTTTTTTCTTGTACTTGTCAAAGTAAGGATTTTCCTCTATGTTCACCTTCACATCATCTTCATTCTTGACTGATGATGTAGATGAATATCTCAAGTCAAGATACTTCCTTGTGTGCTGTCCTTTTAATAGACTGTTTGCATTTGTCATGGTTAATCCTCGAGCATCAGAGATGGTCGAAGGAACATTGTGTTGTTTCTTCACAGAGGAATATAGTCTCCAGCATTTCTGACAGAGTCGAACGCTTTGTCTTTGTAGTACAAACATATTATATTATGTTGGTCTTCACTTTATTCAGTCTGGAAAATAATTTGAGTGAATAAGAAATAGGTTGAATCTGGTTACAACTGTGGATGACCTCCCAATACAAGCAATGTAAGTATAACATTGGTTTTCTTTTAGAGTGAGTGAGTGTGGTTTTACACCGCTTTTAGCAATATTCCAGCAATATCACGGCGGGGGACACCAGAAATGGGCTTCACACATTGTACCCATGTCGGTAATCGAACCCAGGTCTTCAGCGTGACGAGCAAACGCTTTACCCACTAGGCTACCAGACCGCCCCGTTTCCTTTTAGAAGCAATGTAAAGACAAATTCCTTTTTGGAAACATTCTGGCTTATAATATTGTTCAAATGGGGGGGTTTACTGGTAGTAACTTGTATAGAGAGTGTGGTCTGTAATGCTACCACGTCAGTCTTGTGACCGACCCATTGGTTGATAGTGCGAACAATGTGCAGAGTCTTGATATAATGAGACCATTAGACAGGTCACAGCTGCTATCTCCTGATCACCAGTGCAAGTTTCATATGTGGTCCGACATTTTAGTACTTATTTGCTTATGATCAGCTGATGATGTGTGTGATGTTTAAATATTATTCTTGAAAATTCCTATAGATAGGCCAAAACATCATTCATTTAAATACTGATCATAATCTCAGATTTAGACATTTCCCACTTTACCAGCTGGACTAAGCTTTACAAAATGATAAGTGCCATTCAGTAGAACGATGAGAAAAGATGCATGTCTTGCACCAAAGACGTACAAACTGTCTTGAACTTTTCTCCACTCTTGCCGACGTTTGCCTGCAGAGTTATGGTAGATCTGACAACAGAATAAATTGGCAGTCCTCTTTATGACACAATGATTAAAGATTAACTCTTAAATCGATTCACTGACAACGTCGTAAAGCTGTTACACCTGTCATTACCGTTACATTACCCGAATACTGAACATGAGGAGTGTGTTAATTGCCGGACAGTACTGGTTAATTTAAAACATGGAACGGTCGACGAAAATAGATAAATATCTCAACATGAAGATATCGTTTTTATTTGGCGCAAGGTATATTGAAGATTCTGATTACAGGTATTTAAAACAATAGTAAAAGGAATAAAAATATAAAATGTTAATTAAAAAGCAACGAAAGTAAATAAAATACGCAAAATAATAGGGCCTCGTCCTAGATATTTTCCTCAGGAGAAAGAGTGAGAGTTGTTTATCGTACAATAAAACACTGCAGGGAGAATAAACCATGAGAGGCGCAGCATGATAAAATGTATAAGCTTGAAAAATATTTACCCAAATTAAAAAAATGATGACTCCCCAAATAGAATCCGACCTCGGAAATGTTGGACATGTCCATTTTATGAACAGTTGGATTAGGTTTGGTTCAAACATATTCTCACAATCCTCACATCGATTATCTGTACCTTTTCTTCTAATACTGATTTTCATATCTCTCCCACTTTTGGATGCGATCGTTCGGCCACTGCGTTGCCCAGCTACATCAGAGGGGACCAGGGAATATCTGGAGGAGAAGAGGTCTTCAGCAACCCATGCTTTCGCTCGTCAGATACAAGAACTATCCACTCGTTTAATAAAATTGGTATTCAACGGGAACGAGTTTAGTATTCTATGTATCTCGTATAAGCAATAAACGATACATAAATATTAAACACTGCGAGGAGAATAACCTCCCCCCCCCCCCCCCCCCATACATAATAAGGGTTTGATTTCGAACAAGCCGAGCCAGCCCGTTGGCGTTGGCTTTTTCATCTAAAGGACACAATATTTCGAAAACTGTTTGGTTGTCACACCTATATACTGCGGGTTCGCAATTCAGTAACTCACTAAAGATCATTGGCATTTGCTATTTCAGACAACGTCAGAACAAAATAACCGTATTTAATTTTCACACGCAGTCCGGTATCAGCATCCGGTTTTATGAAGAAAGACTTTTTTGAGCAGATTGTGCAATTTTCTGCATCTAATAACATATTTAAAAAAAACTATTTTGAAATGTCCTGTCGATTTGTTTAACTAAACGAACATGTCCATTTTTCGTCTAGTTCCGAAGTAGTTCGTTTTTATCTTATGCAGTGTTTTAGCTTTTCTGTTTTGATTTTTTGGTCCTCCTGTCAAGGAAGAGTTTGTATTCATAGAAGCAACAGGTGGCCGGCTATGTATGTGCACTCTTTCAATACACGCACTCAAAAGAGGAGGGGATCAATAGCGTTTCATGTCGGAATGAACCAGAAACAGTAATGGATACGTTCTACTGAAAATCTACACGTTGTCACAATCATTTAGATATTTTCTACAACGTTAGGTAAGATATCCTGTCAGTTATTGCTAATGTGTACATGGGGTAAAGCTCGCCAGAGTTCCCGTGAGTTTCATCTATTGTTATGGAAATACACCCAATGGATATGTTGTGGACGTTTGTCATGAATCACCGTACCTGACTGCTGGGTCACACTGGAAGAATTCTGCATGTAATCACTGCCGATGTGAGAACCAGCTCGCTTCATGCTCTTATTTAGTGACCATATTCAGTGGGGATAAGGGTTTGACCTGGTTTTACTGTTGTATAGGTATTATCTCTGCTGTATTAGATACTTTTAGAATTACACTTGGGAATTGCTATCAGTGTGCAACTCAAAATAGTCCTTGATATATTTCTGACTTGTAGGAGTTTGGGGTGGAGTCAACATGATCAACATGAAGACGATAGTGTACTTTATTGTTTAGTTTGACACAATGCAGATCTATTTTAAGTGATGTTTTTTTCTTAAAACTATTCATTGCTTTTTGGTTTGGTTTGTTGTTTTACGGCGCACTCAGCAATATTCCAGCTACATGACGGCGGTCTGTGAATAATCGAGTCTGGACTAGACAATCCAGTTATTTACATCATGAATATCGATCCACGCAATTGGGATCACCATGACACGCTTCAACCAAGTCAGAGAGCCTGACCACCCGATCATGTTAGTCGCCTTTTACAGCAAGCATGGGTCTTTACGGGCTATTCATTGCAGCACAGACCTGTACCACACTGTGTTCACACGTTTAAAACACGAAAAAGTCATTGTTAATTATGTACCAAGATCTACTGTGAATTAAGAATTAGATGGACAATATCGTGATAATAGTTTTAAGCATTTTTGGTAATTGTTAGGTTTACAGATTCAATGGTCACGAGCCACAAACCACAATGGCCCCCCCCCCCCCCCCCCCCCCAACTTTGACGGATGAAACATTTTAAAAAATATGACTACAGAAATAAAACAAGAAAGTAACTGTTCGTTTTTTAAACATGTCTCTCTGTAATATTTGTTCCAGCGATATGATGGGGGTCAGTATTTCCCCAAACAAGCGAACATTTTAAGATTAAAAAAAATTAAATAATGTTTTAGATGTTTAAACTGTTCTAAATATATAGGCTTGACTCAGAAAATAAATTAGCTCATAATTGTGTTTCGGAAATTAGCTCCTTTGAATGCATGCTAAAAAAGCTTCATTGGGTATTTACGCAAGCTGTTTTCATACGTTCAAGTTTTTCATTTAAGGCATGTGTTTCTGTATACAAGTCATCTGAAAGTAATTGGGTTTTGAATATTTTTTGGGATATTTTACACAAGTACGCTGCTTATCTGAAGCTCTGTGTATGGCATTATTTCTTCTTCACCTCTTGTTTTAAGCTCATGACCCTGTATGTATGTGGTCATGTGATATTGTTTGCAATGCTATGTTAAATCATTCAAATTGGATAAACGTTACAAGGGAGCATTCATTTGATGTCTAGGGATTGGAGGGGAGCGGGAATGGGGGAACGATCTCTACTGCTAAAGCCTCACCTCATACATTGCATATCTGAGTTTATAAAAAATATATTTGTTTTGTTTATATATTAACCAAATGTTTTGTGTTAATAGTGAAAATGAATAGACTGTTTCATGGTGCTCAGTAAATCTATAGTTTGTTGGACACAGCTGGGAAAAAAATATATTGTTCTCCAAATATTCCCACCACCACCCAGCTCCACCCCTCTACAAATCAAATAAATGCTGCTTGGTATAAGGTACAACAGGTGCTTTCGATCCAGACTCTTGAACTGTCGAAACAGTTTAGAATGAACAGTTTTCATTAAAGTATATGACAGTTGTCAGGTTTTCATGGTTATTTGTGACATTTTAATTTGGATCTTTCAATATGTGAAGGCAAAAGGGATCATGTTTTTGTAAATGTGATGCAAATTGAATATTTCAGATAAGATGTCAAAGATTGATGATACAGCGACTCAAGCTGGATGCTGCAAACCCCCGACACTAAAACCAACTTTCATCCACATGATCTAAGATGGGGAAGAGGAAGAAAGTGAATTTTGTCATCTTCATCCTCTTTCTCCTGTCAGTTTACTTTCAGGATGTCCAGTCACAGGATTCAAAACCAAAACGTGAGTTGACACTGGGACAAGCTGTGATGTTTGTGTAGCAGGGCGTGGAGTCGTCCCATAGATGACATCCTTACCTTGCTTGACAGGGTTAACCTCTTTGGTTATGTAGACAAGGCGTTCGACCTCTGCTCAGAAGGTTCGTGGATCGAATCCCATCACGGGACTTGGAGAATTTATGGCCGCTTTATATGTATGGGGAGATGGTGGATAACTACAACATGTTAAATTGAGACATGAACAATTAAATAATTTTTTAAGAGAACAAGGGGGGCATGGTGGCCCAGTTGTCTAAGGTGCCACGATTCGCTATGCAGAGTTGCGTCCCTTGGGCATGCCAGAAACCTATGATTGTGGGTTCGAATCCTGGTTCGCCCCGATTATGTTTCTAGGCTTGTCAGCACCATACCCGTGCTCGTGGGTTTCACCGAAGTGGTAAACGGCTGAGACCTGCATCTCTTCGGGCTTTCCTCCCACATTAAGCTGACACGCAGTGATATAACTGGAATACTGTTAAAAGCAGTGCTAAACCCAACTCACTCACTCACTCACTCAAGAGAACAAACCAAATTTGCCGCATATATATGTATATGTGACTTGGATGAATATTGTTTGATGTACCCTCTGTGTGGCTGTGTACCCTGTGTCTGTCGCAGCAATACAGAGAGCACATCAGACAGTATCCCACCTCATGAATTGCCGACAACTTATAATATGAATCTTATATCACAGGTTAATGGTGAATTGTGGTATGATATCAATTCATCATGAAGAAATGTTGCGCAACACTTGAAGGTGGTAGTAGTAGCCAACAGAATATGCTACAGACCAATCTCTACCAGTCTATGTTTCAGATTTTATTTCAGAAAAGAGCATTGTAGAAGGGGTATATAATTTGCCGAGTATCTATGACTGAACCGGTTTTAGTTTTCAGTGCTTCAATTAAGGTTTGTTTTCTACCACTCAATCTCCCTGCTTTCTTGTATGGTGTATAGCTTTTATATGCATTCGTGGCACATAGGGCTGGGACGAGTGCAAATTTACTACCCTGGTACCTAACTCGCTATTCCCCAACCCTACCCGGGTACCCACTAGAGGTGGGACAATTAATCGATCCCCGAATACATATTCAATATTTTTTTAATGCACCATTCTTTTATTCAAAGTTATTAATACTCAAATGTTGAAAAACCTTATTATAAAACAAGTGATACCAACTGAAGTAGTCAAATCCTGAATCAATCGAATCGAATTGAATCGGACATGTAATATCAATAATTGAATTGAATCGCATTGCATGTGAATCAGCTCACCTCTAGTACCCACTGTAGGTCTCAAGATGAGGGAACAAAATGGGAATTGTTTAACCGCAGCCCTGGCAAAAACTATTTAGATACATGTATCAAACGATCTGATCATACGTACACTGAAGTTGACTGAAGCTTTATCTTTACTCAAACATAAACAAGTCAAAAGGAATGTGTGCATCATCAGAAAGAAATGCGAACATCAGCAACTTGTAGTGTAACCACTGAGCTATAGTGAGTTTTGTCATTAAACAATATATCACGTGACTAACCATGGGTCCGGGTAGTCCTGTGGGTACCCGGGTCCTTCTCAGGATCCACCTGACCCGAGTACCCGAGTACCCATCCCAGCCCTCGTGGCACTTATCATGATGAATATGGTATCAATGCATCATCTTCATTTGTTTGAAAAACAGTAGGCCAATGATTTTGACATGTTTAGGAATGATAGATATATCAGTGACATCTGTGTCTAAACATGCTAAAAACATGCTGAAATAGAAGTTATGCTAGGATTATTTCTCTTGTAGCCTATGTAGAGAACTGTCCCGATCTGGTCCCCTATGTGTTCCTGATGTTCTGTGGGGACCCGGTGATGCCTAGCAGCTGTATCCTGGAAAAATGGGTGTGTGACGGAACACCGGAATGTCCCAATGGAGAAGATGAGACAAATGCAACTTGTCACAATGGTAGGTGTCGGAGACATTTTAACAATTTCAATATTGTGCTGTTCACTAATATCTGCTGGTTTAATGTTCATGTGTGTTATCATATCAATGTGGATGATGTCAGTGTTATGCCAGCACTCCTTGAACATGTCTTTGTGTATAGTCTGGAAGGTAATTTAAGGTACCGACACTACAATATCTGAGAAACTATTGGACCTACTCCAGTCAAAGTTGGTATGAGATTATTAAACAGTCATACATAACTGGATATTACATTTAAAGACAATCGGTGCATGAATAAAAAATCTGTCTATTTAGCTATCACGATATTTCATCAACAACCAGACCTGTTCGTCACGGGTGTGATGAGCATTCATTGTAAGAGCCATCTGCATAATGCTACCCCCGCGTCACAGGGCCATATGACACAGTTGAACCAATCAACTCAACTCGAAAGGTTGCACGGGAATCACGCACGTTGAGACGCCCAATGCTAACTCCATATTCGTGCGTGCGTGATTCCGGTGCAACCTTTCGAGTTGAGTTGATTGGTTCAACTGTGTCATACATTCACAGTTCAGAGCCTCAATGGTTGATTACTTCAATATAGTACTGAAGTCCCAAGGGGCGCTGGTTAAGGCATTCATTCGTCATGCCTTAGACCCGGGTTCAATTCCCCACATGGGTACAATCTTTGAAGCCAATTTCTGGTGTCCCTTGCCGTGATATTGCTGGAATATTGCTAAAATGTATAAAAACAGCTCGCATTGATCATGTGTTGATACCCAATGAAGCTTTTTCAGCATGCATACAAAGGAGCTAATTTCCGAAACTCAATTACGAGATAATTTACTTTCTGATTCTAGCCTATATACTTAAAACATCTATATATACATCTAAAACATTATTTCCTTTTTTTTAAATCTTAAAATGTTTACTAATTTAGGGAAAACCCAAAAGAGTGATGAATTGATGAGGGAAAAAATATTGGTTACCTGGTTACCAAATGAAAACAGTAATAACCCAATTAAAATAGAAACCCTAAAGTAAAAACTCCCAAGGGGCGCTGGTTAAGGCATTCATTCGTCATGCCTTAGACCCGGGTTCAATTCCCCACATGGGTACAATCTTTGAAGCCAATTTCTGGTGTCCCTTGCCGTGATATTGCTGGAATATTGCTAAAAGCCTCGTAAAACCATAGTCACTCCCTCACTATTGAAGTCCCAGTCTGTTATAGACTTATGGCTTCTAAGCACTTGCAATAATATGACATCAGTAAACTTTTGGAAAGCCTACCACATGTCCTCAGACTTGAACCCCTTAAAACTATTACTAAACATAACATACTTTGCAGAGCTACAGATAAGCAGTGTATTCACGTAAAATAATACCCTCCCCCCCTCTTCCCCCAATATTCAAAACTCAATTACTTTCAATTAACTTGCGGACAGAAACGCATGCATTAAATAAAAAAAACTCAAATGTATAAAAACAGCTCGCATTGATACCCAATGAAGCTTTTTCAGCATGCATACAAAGGAGCTAATTTCCGAAACTCAATTACGAGATAATTTACTTTCTGATTCTAGCCTATATACTTAAACCATCTATATAAACATCTAAAACATTATTTCCTTTTATTTTAAATCTTAAAATGTTTACTAATTTAGGGAAAACCCAAAAGAGTGATGAATTGATGAGGGAAAAAATATTGTTACCTGGTTACCAAATGAAAACAGTAATAACCCAATTAAAATAGAAACCCTAAAGTAAAAACTCAATTGCTCAAAGAGTTATCTGGAGCTCTGACTTTGTGATGAGAAAACCCCATGAATGTATCTGTTCCTGTAGGTGACCCATGTGAGGCACAGCCGTGTCAGAATGGAGGAAGCTGCTATGGATACCCGTTAAGTCCTAACATCAGTGTAGCCTACTACATATGTGTGTGTCCCCCGGGCTGGTATGGTGTGACCTGCAACACCACCACACGCCCGCCCGCCACCACCACACCTGCTCCGCCCCCCACCACACCCACACCTGTCCTGCCACCCATCAGCACCACAGTCACACCAGGTAAGTGTGGGTAATGCAAAACTAATCAGGTGTGCAAACGAGGGTGGATATTTCATATATTTCATGTTTGGTTCAGTACTATTGTTGATTTTTAAAGGAATTTTCATGATAAGAATGCACAGTTAACTAACTGTGTCAAGAAGTAATTATCCCCCGCCCCAACGAAGTTGGCGGGGGATATAGAAATGGGTTCTGTCCGTGTGTGTGTGCGTCCCGAAATCGTTTCTGGAGCATAAGTCAGAAACCGTTAAATATTTCTCTACGAAACTTTGCATGTCTATCAGACTCATGCTGAACTGGTGCCTTTTGCTATTTAGGAATTTTATTAATTTTATTTTTTACGGTTCCATGGCAACAAGTTGGACTTAGGTTCTGTAAGGGTGCTGTTCGTTTCCGGAGCGTAACTAAAAAAACGTTAAATAATTTCTTGCAAAACTTTGCATGTTTACCAGACACATACTGAACTGGTGCCTTTTGCTATTTAGGAGTTTTATAAATTTTTATGTTTTACGTTTCCATGGCAACAAGTTGGACTTAGGTTCTATGAGGGTGCTGTTCGTTTCCGGAGCGTAACTCAAAAAACGTGAAATAATTTCTTACAAAACTTTGCATGTTTACCAGACACATACTGAACTGGTGCCATTTGATATTAAGGAGTTTTATAAATGTTTATTTTAGAATTTCCATTGCAGCTATTTTGACATGGCCTAAGAGAAATGTTGGGTCAGTTACCTGGTTTGGGACCATAACGTGTTAAAATGGCGGGGGATATAGATGACTTCGTCGACTATACACTTGTTAATCTCTAAAAATAGTGATTTGCTTCAATTTATCAGTATAGATGGAACTTTAAGCAGGTAGTAGATCTGGTGGAACCTGGTATTACTGAATGGTTAAGTTGACAGGTATTAAAATTATGAGTGAGAGATAATATTTTGTTTTCAACCTAAAGAAACTTGGATATAGTAGAATGAGCACATGTAGAGGAACTCTTGTCTTTATGATCACAAACTTGCATTCTTAGAGTATTTAGTGTGATGTTGCTTTTTACACACTACCTGTTTTGCCTGTGTTTACAGTTGACCCTACCATCTGTAATATTAACCCATGCATGGCGGGTGTATGCACTGCACTGAGAGGGGGTCAGTACCACTGCAACTGCATTCCAGGTGGGTGTTTCTGCTGCTATTACTGTTAGTATGTTTGTCTCTGCCAATAATGCTCTCCTTGCAATTTTCTCAGTTACTTCAAACTCGTTAGGTGTCTACTAGTAACTACAGATATATAATACCTGCAGTCTGGTTATATAGAGGATATTTGTATTATCTTGTCAAATAACATGTTTATCTCAAAACCTCCCTGCCAGATAATTCAACATGATTATTCAAATATGTTCTAAGGAGCTGAAATGCAAGGTACCAAAAAATTTGTTTTTATTAAAATTTAAAGTACCGTATTCGACGTAATAAGTTCCCAGGGCGCTCTCAAAATTAGAAATAGGGGACTCTTATTAGAATATTATTTTGGTGAAAATAAACCAGGGTTGGAAGATAAATTTTGTGGTTTATGCTGACAGCCTTAAATGTTTATATGCGTATTTTAAATAAGTATTGTGTACATTGATCAATCGGAAGGGATGCTAATTGGGATAGTTCAGTAGCCAATACATTAGCAAATATCGCCATGGGCGCTTATTAGAGCGGGGCGCTTATTACGTCGAATTCCTCTATCTTGGCTTTTTCATTTCTCATTTTGATATGTGTCTGGGATTGCAAAGTTGCAAATATTTAAAGCTAATTTGATGGGCATTTCCTATTTGATATTTTGTTTCCCTCCAGGTTACAGTGGGCGGAACTGCAGTACTGCTGAGAACCCCTGTACGTCCTTCCCCTGCCTCAACAAGGGAGTGTGCCAGGTGTCGGGCAACAATTTCACGTGTGGGTGTGCGGCAGGCTACTCTGGCCGGCAGTGTGAGGAGGACATCGACGAGTGTGCAGCACGGCCATGTAGGAATGGAGGCTCTTGTACTGACAGGGTCAATGGCTATCTCTGTGCCTGTCCTGCTGGATACAATGGTGGGTTCTCCCACCTTGATAAAACTGTGTCCTCCTGCATATATAGGTGACCCATGTAAGCCTAGTCAGAATGAAGGGAGTTGCTATGGTTACCCTTTGCATCCATGAATGTGGCCTCCTACGTATGTATGCCGTGACACTCACCTCCGACATCACACCCGGCCCTACCAAACCCAAATCAGTCCTTCCACCCAGTAGACAGGAGGATACTGTTTTGTCTGGGATTGTTCCAGCAATTTTCTTGAAACATTGGGAATAAAGGCTAATAAAGTAGTTAGTAGAATTATTTATGTGTGTTCAACGCCTCTCTTTGAGGCAGAGTACTTGGACAGTATTGCAGCAGACATCTGTTGAATGTAGTGAAACTATTGTAATAATTACCCTCACAGGCTCAAACTATTGCAACAATTACCATCACTACTCACAGGCTCCAACTGTTGTAACAATTACCCTCACTACTATCAGGCTCCAACTTCTGTAATAATTACCATCACTACTCACAGGCTCCAGCTATTGTAATAATTACCCTCACTACTCACAGACTCCAACTTCTGTAATAATTACCATCACTACTCACAGGCTCCAGCTATTATAATAATTACCCTCACTACTCACAGGCTCCAACTTCTGTAATAATTACCATCACTACTCACAGGCTCCAGCTATTGTAATAATTACCCTCACTACTCACAGGCTCCAACTTCTGTAATAATTACCATCACTACTCACAGGCTCCAGCTATTGTAATAATTACCCTCACTACTCACAGGCTCCAACTTTTGTAATAATTACCCTGGCACGCCCCAAATTTTGTAATAATTACCCTCCCAGGCTCCAACTATTGTAATAATTACCCCCACAGGCTCCAACGTTTGTAATAATTACCCTCACATGCTCCAACTTTTGTAATAATTATCCTCACAGGCTCCAACTTTTGTAATAATTACCCTCACAGGCTCCAACTTTTGTAATGATTACCATCACAGGCTCCAACTTTTGTAATGATTACCCTCACAGGCTCAAACTTTTGTAATGATTACCCTCACAGGCTCAAACTTTTGTAATAACTACCATCACTACTCCCAGGCTCAAACTTTTGTAATATTTGCCATCACTACTCACAGGCTCCAACTATTGTAATAATTACCATCACTACTCACAGGCTCCAACTGTTGTAATAACTACCATCACAGGCCCCAAATTTTGTAATAATTACCCTCCCAGGCTCCAACTAGTGTAATAATTACCCCCACAGGCTCCAACGTTTGTAATAATTACCCTCACAGGCTCCAACTTTTGTAATGATAACCCTCACAGGCAACAACTTTTGTAATAATTACCCTCACAGGCTCAAACTTTTGTAATATTTACCATCACTACTCACAGGCTCCAACATTTGTAATAATTACCCTCACAGGCTCAAACTAGTGTAATAATTACCCCCACAGGCTCCAACGTTTGTAATAATTACCCTCACAGGCTCCAACTTTTGTAATGATAACCCTCACAGGCAACAACTTTTGTAATAATTACCCTCACAGGCTCAAACTTTTGTAATAATTACCATCACTACTCACAGGCTCCAACTGTTGTAATAACTACCATCACTACACACAGGCTCCAACTATTGTTACAATTACTATCAGTACTCACAGGCTCCAACTGTTGTAATAACTACCATCACTACACACAGGCTCCAACTATTGTTACAATTACTATCAGTACTCACAGGCTCCAACTGTTGTAATAATTACCATCACAGGCTCCAACATTTGTAATAATTACCCTCACAGGCTCCAACATTTGTAATAATTACCCTCACAGGCTCCAACTTTTGTAATGATTACCCTCACTACTCACAGGCTCCAACTATTGTAACAATTCCCATCACTACTCACAGGCTCCAACTATTGTAATAACTACCATCATTACACAAAGGCTCCAACTATTGTAATAACTACCATCACTACACACAGGCTCCAACTATTGTAACAATTACCATCACTACTCACAGGCTCCAACTATTGTAATAATTACCATCACTACTCACAGGCTCCAACTGTTGTAATAATTACCATCACTACTCACAGGCTCCAACTTTTGTAATAATTACCATCACTACTCACAGGCTCCAATTTTTGTAAAAATTACCATCACGACTCACAGGCTCCAACTGTTGTAATAATTACCATCACTACTCACAGGCTCCTACTATTGTAATAATTACCATCACTACTCACAGGCTCCAACTGTTGTAATAATTACCATCACTACTCACAGGCTCCAACTTTTGTAATAATTACCATCACTACTCACAGGCTCCAATTTTTGTAATAATTACCATCACGACTCACAGGCTCCAACTGTTGTAATAATTACCATCACTACTCACAGGCTCCAACTTTTGTAATAATTACCATCACTACTCACAGGCTCCAATTTTTGTAATAATTACCATCACTACTCACAGGCTCCAACTGTTGTAATAATTACCATCACTACTCACAGGCTCCAACTATTGTAATAATTACCATCACTACTCACAGGCTCCAACTATTGTAATAATTACCATTACTACTCACAGGCTCCAACTTTTGTAATAATTACCATCACTACTCACAGGCTCCAACTATTGTAATAATTGCCATCACCTCTCACAGGCACCAACTATTGTAATAATTACCATCACTACTCACAGGCTCCAACTGTTGTAATAATTACCATCACTACTCACAGGCTCCAACTATTGTAATAATTACCATCACTACTCACAGGCTCCAACTATTGTAATAATTACCATCACTACTCACAGGCTCCAACTTTTGTAATAATTACCATTACTACTCACAGGCTCCAACTTTTGTAATAATTACCATCACTACTCACATGCTCCAACTATTGTAATAATTGCCATCACCTCTCACAGGCACCAACTATTGTAATAATTACCATCACTACTCACAGGCTCCAACTGTTGTAATAATTACCATCACTACTCACAGGCTCCAACTATTGTAATAATTACCATCACTACTCACAGGCTCCAACTATTGTAATAATTACCATCACTACTCACAGGCTCCAACTTTTGTAATAATTACCATCACTACTCACAGGCTCCAACACTTGTAATAATTACCATCACTACTCACAGGCTCCAACTATTGTAATAATTACCATCACTACACACAGGCTCCAACTATTGTAATAATTACCATCACCACCCAAAGGCTCCAACTATTGTAATAATTACCATCACTACTCACAGGCTCCAACTGTGGTGTGAACATTGATGACTGTGCAGCCAAGCCATGTGGGTCGGGGACTTGTGTGGATGGTGTCGCCTCCTACACATGCCGGTGTCCACCAGACAAGGCTGGGCAGAACTGTGAACGTCCACAACTATGTCCTCAAGGTAATCTGTCACTATCATGTAACAGGCCATGGTTGATAAAACTGGCTGTCTTATTATTGATCAACTTTAAATGCCTGCCTTATTCTAACTTGTAAAAGGCTTTCTTGTTTTCGTTTCTATACAGTTCTTAATATGTAAACACAAGTTGAGTTTGATAGCCCAGCAGATCATTTGATATAACCATGGACCAACATAACGATAATATAGGTCCGTGATATACCAGAATATAAAATTAAGTACATATTTAGGTACTTGACATGAAGAGTTTGGTTTTTTTCGATTTGGACAGAGATTGCAGTCATGAAGAATTGGTCCACCTGCCCAAGTTTTGATGCCATTTTCTGAGAACTTGTAGCTGTAATGCTTTTGGCCAATGCAAATGAACAGTTTTAGAACTGTACAGTTGGTTTTCTTACACAGCTCAACATTCACCTCACATTGTAGTGGTTGTAGTTTTATTTTTTGTTTGTAGGTGACCCCTGTGAGAATTTTGGGATATGTTACCCTCTCCAAGTAGGCAGCCAGGTATGCGTGTGTTTCCCTGGGTTAAGTGGATCCCGATGTGAAAACAACATCAACGACTGTGACAACAACACTTGTGGACAGCATGGCAAGTCTCTGTATACATCTATAGAAGCTCTGGGATACTGTTGAATAATTCCTACACTAAGCCAAAATTTCTGAAAAATTTCTCTGTGTTTTTGTGTAAAGGACTTTTTGGCGTAGGAATTATGTACGGTATGTGTGATGTAAATTGTTTCGTTGATAAACGAAAGATAAAGAGCTCTATGGCCATTATCAGAACTCAAGGGAAGAAATCTGTAATTGTCAGAGAGCACCTTTATCCTATTGTCATTTAAATAATGGTAATTTTTCAATGTGAAGTTTACATGATATACAGTTTTTCGATTGGATGAGAGGCTGGTCACATGACCGCGAAACTGAAGTCCATAAGCGTGTGAATAAACACATTTTGAAGTTCAAACGTTATTCACAAGACTGTATTCTTGAAATGACGTAAACACTGACGGACTACTTCCACATTTCTTGGGAAATGCCAGGAAATACCCTAGCACAAATACATACAGAAGCGTTGTTTCTCATTATTTAGACCCTTAAATTTACTGCATTTGGACTAGTTAAACTGATTGACAGATTTGTTTCCTTCTAGAGGTTGTGTCAACAGGTACAAGCATAAAAGTGGAGTAGGTCTGGATACAAGGGAGATAACTGTGTGTGTTTATGTGATTGCATGCGGTATATTAACAGGTACATGTGGTATATTGACAGGTACATGTGGTATATTGACTGGTACATGTGGTATATTGACAGGTACATGTAGGGACGGTGTCAACGGGTACAAGTGTGAGTGTCAGACTGGGTACAAGGGAGGTAACTGTGAAACAATCATCGACCCCTGTGAACCTAACCTGTGTAAGAACAACGCGTACTGCTGCAGTAAGGGGAAACAGTCGTGTGGTGACAGGTTGCCCCTTGGCTCCTACCAGTGCTACTGCACTAATGGATTTACAGGTAATTTAGAGATTGCAGATTATGAGTGAGTGAGTTAAAATTTAACGTCGCATCGCCATTATTTCAGCCATATAGCTAGGAGATTTAAGAATATATGACACAGTATTGATCTGCAAGACGTTGGGTGATCTTAAGGCTTTTTTAAATGTTATTAAACTAACAGTTGAAGATTGTTCATCACAAGATGGGCCTTGTTTAGTTACCAGTAAAACAGTTCTTCAACTCTGTGGCTCTTTTAAGTTTCTCTTGAAATGTAAGTCTTATTCAACTCAAATAAGTGTTCCATTACAGATAAAAGCCTTACTTAAATCTGCAGTATGCTGATCATTTGGAATACAAATTGATCACAGAGGAATATGCACTTCATGTGATGCTGATGCATTTTGTATAGATTGTAATGCTCTTGAAGATGACAATCATGTCATATTCAACTGCCCTTTGGAGATAGGTTTAGTGATTTGTTAGTTAAATATATCCTACCTTACCACCTGCAGATGATTGTTTACCTTTGGTGTATGCTCAGTAGCCATTTTCTCCACGGATCCCAAATCTGTTTTACAGTTTTCATCAAATTATATTGGATTAGTTAGTTTAAAAGCACAGGTAACCCATACCCTACCTCACATCTATCCCTTAGAATCTTGAAAGGGAAAGGGGTAACTAAGCCTTATGATTGTAAAGCTAAAGGGGTGCTGGATCAGAAAGGGAATCCAAGGGCTAAGGATATAGTTTAACCTACCCCAACACAACTAACCTGAATGATCAAAGATGCACATGAGATCTGTGAAGCGAGAGCCGCTATTGGCAGCCTGAGCCAATTAGCACTGTATAAGCTGCACCAGGTAGACTCCATTGTTGCATTTGTATATTCCAAGTTAAATTGAGGTAACATGTAACCTTATGTATGTTACATTTATGTATTTACATGTAATATCGATCATATGGCCTTGAATACAATAAACGTCTTGAAATCTTGAAATCGGAATACACTGGTAATAAGTGTATGCTTGGGATTCAAAAGATTTGACATTTGTAACCAAATTTGGCTTTTAATGATGATGTCACATTTGCCTGTAGGTAGTTGCGATTGAAGAGTTATCTCCCTTTAGGTGCACTTGTCACCAACTTGATTTTAGTTTCTTATGTCTTTATTATTTTGATTATCGGTTCAAAGACTTAGAAACAGATTGCTTTTGGACTATATTGTTATAAATCAGGCCCAAATGAAAGAAATCTTTCACAATATAGCAGTGGTCCATATTTAAGGTCCATACTTGCCAAAACTGGCCTATTTGCTTCCCAATTATAGGTATAGTCGGTAATATTTCAGCTATATACAATGGTATGCAAACGTGTATTATCAGATTAATAACTGCAGACCAGAGATGAATTTACAAAAACTTGTTTTGTTCCTCCATATTTTGAGTTTGACTTTATATATTAAAAAAATAGAAAAAGCGACTTTTTAACTTGCCGTCTCCCACCTATGGTACTAGCTTCTGAAACTCATCCTTTTTCTTATACAGGTACTCAATGTGAAAGGCGTATGAATGAATGTGAGAACAAGCCCTGTCAGAATGGAGGTCTGTGCACTCTGATAGAAGAGAACTACGTCTGCACATGTCCTCTCGTCTTCACGGGACGCAACTGCGAGACACTGATACCCTGTGCTAGCCAGCCATGTCTCAACAACGGAAAATGTCAGACCACGGGGAACACCTATCAGTGCAATTGCTCGAATGGAATCTCGGGAGACAACTGTGAGAATACTGGAAACTGCATTACAAAATCATGCCAAAACAATGGCACATGTGTTGTAACCACACAGGGAGAAATTTGTCGATGTCCATCAGGTTATTCTGGTTTGAACTGTGAGAGTGCCCTCCCTTGTCTTGCAAATCCTTGCAGGAACAATGCCTCCTGCGAAGATGTTTCACTGACAGAATACAGGTGTGTCTGTCCGCCAGGGTTGACAGGACAGCAGTGTGATAGTGTATTACCCTGTGGGGGTACCCCATGCCAGAATGGTGGGACCTGTTCGAATCTTGCAGCAGGATTTGTCTGCACCTGCCCTGCTACATATACTGGTGTCAGGTGTGAAACTTACTTAAACTGCAACAGCTCGCCTTGTTTCAACAGTGGTACTTGCACAGAAGAGGGTTCCTCATTTCGCTGCCAGTGCCCTCCGACCCATACAGGTTCAAGATGTGAGAGTGGTCTCCCTTGTCTCAGCAATCCCTGCAGCGTTGGATCCACGTGTGTCAGTGTCAATATTTCTTCATATCGCTGTTTCTGTTCACCTGGGCTCACCGGCATCAACTGCGATACAACTCTAGCTTGTAACAACTCCCCATGCAGAAACTCTGGGCAGTGTGAAAACGTCAACAATTCTTACAGATGCACCTGTCTTCCTGGCTTCACCGGCCAGAATTGTGAAACACACGACCCCTGTTTGAGCACACCATGCCTCAATAATGGTGTGTGTACAAACTTTGGTTCTTCTTACTCCTGTGGATGCTCCAATGTCTACGGCGGACCGAGATGCGAGATAGCCAATCCATGTGGTTCGAGCCCCTGCATCAACAACAGCACATGTTCCAACAATGGAGACATCTACCGCTGTAACTGCTCATCCACCTTTACAGGCAGAAATTGTGAGACCAAACTAGAGCCGTGTGTACAGAACCCCTGCTTGAATGGCGGGACCTGTGAAATAGAAGGACTGGATTACACATGCCGCTGTTTGTCCTCACACGTAGGCAAGAACTGTGAGATTCCGGTTCCCTGCGCGAGCTCGCCCTGCATTAACTCCAGCATCTGCCTGAACCAAGGATCTCGCTACACATGTCAGTGTGGACCTGAGTATACAGGCTCTAGCTGTGAGAGCAGACTCCCCTGTGCAGACAAGCCATGTGCTAATGGTAACTGCGTGGACGGCAACCCTGACTACGTGTGTACCTGTAATCCGGGCTACACGGGGAGGAACTGTGATTCTCTTATACCTGTTTGTGATTCTACCACCTGTATCAATGGACAGTGCAGTATTGAGGGTCTCAGACTCAAGTGTAACTGTACTCGGGGATTTACAGGTAGGTTGAGTTCTATCTTTACCAATGTGCCTACAGGCTTGAAAAGGCTTGGAATTTTAAGGTCCCTCTTAAAAAGCCTTGATGTTTAGTTTCAACCTTGAAACTGCGGTAGAAACTAAAATTTTTTGTCCACTAGTCCTTATAATGATAACGTATAGCAAAATCCTTAAAAATGGAAAATTTCTACTGGTCCTTATGATACCTTGAGTATTTGGCAGTTTGGCAAGGACTACAGGACTAGTAGTGCCAATTTCTAATGCTGTGAAAAGCTTTGAAAATCACCAAAATGGCTTGAAAAGCTTTGTATATGTACAATATAACATATACTTGTTTATAAAAGAATTTCAATTAATGACAAACTTCATAGATTTTATTTGTTGGTTGTGAAAATAAATCTTGTTGGAAAATGTTCAAACTGCTTTTAGGTATGACAACTAATATATCAGATATATAGTATGCTGGATTTAATCAATATTGACAGACTAAGGCTAATAACCTAACTTTAAAAAGCCTTGAAAGGGCCTTGAAATTTAGTGTTCCGTATCTGCAGTAACCGTGTCTACATTGTTTTATTAAAACATGTTAAAATCTGTGCAACACTGCTGATAATGCCTCTTGTACAAAATTTTACAAGTTCATAATATATATAATAAAAATATTGTTTCGTAGAAATTACAGTCTTGTAATAGAAAATAATAAACTTCCCCTGACTTCACTTTTGCTGTTTGGAAGATCTAACAGTTTGTCAATCAGGTACTTCTTGCTAAGTGTATTGATCAAATGGAAACTTATTAAGAAGGGTCTATATGTTGAAAATGAAAAATATAATCTGAACATGTTAATTTCAAAATTGGCATCATTTCATTCAAATTTATATCACAAAGTTTGAGATAACATTAGTTTATTGTAATCATGGTAATTAGCAAATTCATGTTTTACCTTACCTGATGCTACTCAGTGCTATAGGTGTAGCGTCAGGTAAGTATGAAAACAATGTATTTAATCAGAAATGCTCATGTTTTACCTTACCTGATGCGACACAGTGCTATAGGTGTAGTGTCAGGTAAGTATGAAAACATTGCATTAAATCAGAAATGCTCATGTTTTACCTTACCTGATGCTACTACACCTATAGCACTGTGTAGCGTCAGGTAAGTATAAAAAAATTGCATTTAATCAGAAATGCTCATATTAGAAATATTGCAAAGATACCATAGATAAATTGGGCATGTTGACATAGAACAGTTAACAAACCACACATATTTGATATATGAATTGTTATTATTTTTAACATTGTCTGTGATGTGTGAATTACAAAAAATTAAAACAAGTTTGTGTATATGAGCTCTCCTTGTTCCTGTTGACACTGAGCACTTGTTGACTAGGTCCGAGATGTGACCTGGTGGATCCCTGCCTGACACCCCCCTGTCAGAATGGCGGCACCTGCCTGACTCGCGGAACCCAGTTCTTCTGTCAGTGTCCTGAAATCTATACTGGGGAGACCTGTGAATCCCTTCAGCCCTCATGCTTCTCACAGCCATGCAGGAACAACGCCACCTGCATTGACAATGGGTCGGACTTTGTGTGTTTCTGTACACCTGGGTTCACAGGTGAGCTGCTTACCAGGATTTAGATGATTACAGATTTGATTTATTTGTTTGTTTCTGTTTGACGCCATACTTAAAAAGTGAAGTTTCCCAGGTTGCAAGATACTATTACTTGCACAACTGATTATGGATAGTTCGCAGTAAGAGGACTTCTGTTGATTCATTTGTATATTTGCTATTTGATGCCACACTTAACATGCTTAAGAAGTGAAGTTTCCCAGGTTGCAAGATACTATTACTTGCACAACTGATTATGGATAGTTCACAGTATGAGGACTTCTGTTGATAATTTGAAGATTTTGATTAGGTAATGACAGACAAACTACCGGATTTGTGGCAATGATGTAGTTTTCTTAGAATTATTAACAATGATAACTATTGTTTGTTGTTTGTTGTTTGTTGTTTGTTGTCCAATACCACACTCAGCAATAATCCAGCTATATGATGGCAGTCTTTGTTTAATTGAGTCTGGGCCAGACAATCCAGTGAACTCATGAGCATCAATCTACGTAATTTGGATATGATGACATGATTCAACCAAGTCAACAATCCTGACCCGATCCCATTAGTCGGCTCTTACTACAAGCATGGGTTGCTGAGATGCAAGGGTTCAATTTGATGAATTCTGAATGTCTGTGAAGTGTACATGGTGTAAATTACAAATCATTAGAACAAGCAAGCCAGGTGGATATCAGAAATATTTTGTTGTCGGTTGGAACTACTTAATCAATCAAAGAAATAAGGAACCAACAAGGAAATACCGCTGACAATTAACTAAGAAATTGCTATTTGTGTGTGTTTTGTTATTATTGTATTTCATCAACTTCTACATTTCTACCAAGAGATTAAAAACTGTACACAAGATTCTGAATGGGAGCAGAGCCTTCATGCCTTACCGCTGTTATACAAGATACACCATTCAGTGACCCGTGAACATGGTAAAGAACTGGGGTAGAATAGGTCTTCAGCAACCCATGCTTACTGTAAGAGGCAACTATGCTTGTCGTAAGAGGTGACTAAAGGGATCGGGTGGTCAGGCTCACTGACTTGGGTGATGCATGTCATTTATCCCTTATGCGTAGATAAATGCTCATGATGTCATTCACTGGATTATCTGGTCCAGATTCGATTATTTACTTTGCTGAGTGCAGCGTTCAACAACAAACAAACAAGACAAACAAACACCATTCAGTTGGATTAAGTACTTCAACACAGCACTATGGCCCCTGACTGAGCATGCTGAGATTCAGTTACCATAGTTATTGTCACCAAGTGTGTGAATATATACAGAAAAAATGTGATTGGCAATTGAAAAGGAATTTGTGTATACTTTTATCCCAGGTATTCAAATAAGAATAATTTTATACAAAACTGACATATCATTTGGTATTTTTTCAAAAAGCAAGGGATATCAACTGTTGATTTTCATGTTTTAGTTTGTCATGATTTGTTCTCTATGTCTTCAGGGAAGGTGTGTGACACAGTTCTGCTGCCGTGCGATGTCCGTCCATGTAAGAACGGGGCAACATGTGTCAATGTAGGTGGCTCCACCTTCAGCTGTCAATGTCCACTGACACACACAGGTAATACAACTCATTATAGTATTCACGACCGTCCGTCCGTACGTCCCACCTGTTTGTTGCCGATATCTCAAGAACTAAACACTGGATTGTCTTCATATTTCAAACTATGGTGTATATACAAATTCCGCAGACACCAGTCTGTTTTGGTGACCTGGACCCCATTTTCAAGGTCACAGCAGGCAAATCTGCTTTTGGAGTTGGAAAACGATGTTGCCGCGATATCTCAAGAACTAAACACTGGATTGTCTTCATATTTCAAACTATGGTGTATATACAAATTCCGCAGACACCAGTCGGTTTTGGTGACCTTGACCCCATTTTCAAGGTCACAGCAGGCAAATCTGCTTTTGGAGTTGGAAAACGGTGTTGCTGCGATATCTCAAGAACTAAACACTGGATTGTCTTCATATTTGGAACTATGGTGTATATACAGACACCGCAGACACCAGTCGGTTTTGGTGACCTTGACCCCATTTTCAAGGTCACAGCAGGCAAATCTGCTTTTGGAGTTTGAAAACGGTGTTGCCGCGATATCTCAAGAACTAAACACTGGATTGTCTTCATATTTGGAACTATGGTGTATATACAAATTCCGCAGACACCAGTCGGTTTTGGTGACCTGGACCCCATTTTCAAGGTCACAGCAGGCAAATCTGCTTTTGGAGTTGGAAAACGATGTTGCCGCGATATCTCAAGAACTAAACACTGGATTGTCTTCATATTTGGAACTATGGTGTATATACAAATTCCGCAGACACCAGTCGGTTTTGGTGACCTTGACCCCATTTTCAAGGTCACAGCAGGCAAATCTGCTTTTGGAGTTGGAAAACGATGTTGCCGCGATATCTCAAGAACTAAACACTGGATTGTCTTCATATTTGGAACTATGGTGTATATACAAATTCCGCAGACACCAGTCGGTTTTGGTGACCTTGACCCCATTTTCAAGGTCACAGCAGGCAAATCTGTTTTTGGAGTTGGAAAACGGTGTTGCCGCGATATCTCAAGAACTAAACACTGGATTGTCTTCATATTTCAAACTATGGTGTATATACAGACTCCGCAGACACCAGTCGGTTTTGGTGACCTTGACCCCATTTTCAAGGTCACAGCAGGCAAATCTGCTTTTGGAGTTTGAAAACGGTGTTGCCGCGATATCTCAAGAACTAAACACTGGATTGTTTTCATATTTGGAACTATGGTGTATATACAGACTCCGCAGACACCAGTCGGTTTTGGTGACCTTGACCCCATTTTCAAGGTCACAGCAGGCAAATCTGCTTTTGGAGTTAGAAAACGGTGTTGCCGCGATATCTCAAGAACTAATCGCTGGATTGTCTTCATATTTGGAACTATGGTGTATATACAGACACCGCATACACCAGTCGGTTTAGGTGACCTTGACCCCATTGTCAAGGTCACAGCAGGCAAATCTGTTTTTGGAGTTGGAAAACGGTGTTGCCGCAATATCTCAAGAACTAATCGCTGGATTGTCTTCATATTTGGTACTATGGTGTATATACAGGCGGGGGACATTTCGTCACTTTGTGACAAATACTTGTATGTATATAGTTATGACGTAAAGATTACAAATGTTTAAGAAATTATCAAAAATGGTTAAAGCTTTTTTCATCATGAACATGAACCATACAATATTCAGTGAACACTTGTTTTTTGGTGGACATCACTGTTCATTTGCTCCTGGCTTCAGAGAACAATCAAATGAGTAATCCGAGTAAAAAATAATACATTAAACTACGGTTATAACGAACTCAAAGGGACCACTAATTTTAGTTCGTAATAATGAATTTCGTTATAAGCATATATGTAGCAAATATACAGCAAATGGCCAGGATTGAAAATCAGTTCGTTATATCGGTCATTTCGTTATGAGCGTGTTTGTTATAAACGTAGTTTACCGTATCTTTCTTTTTTACTTTGAGAGTTAGATGAATATGCTGAATGAATATGAAGATGTATTTATAAATTTCAAAAAGATTGTTATATCTCAGTGTCTACCTGACATTACATTTCATCATTATTGTACGCTTGTGGCTGCAGGCTCCACCTGTGAAACTCTCCTGAGTTTGTGTCTCAGTACACCATGTAAAAACAGTGGGGAGTGTACATCGTCTGGGAATGACAAGTTCAAGTGTACCTGCCGACCACCCTTCACAGGTAAGATCTGGGAGCTCCCTTGCTTGTTGCTGCACCTGGTAACAAGTTATATTTGTAGAGTGAGTGAGTGAGTTGGGTTTAACGCCGTTTTTAACAGTATTCCAGTGTGTCAGCTTAATGTGGGAGGAAAGCCTGAAGTGATACAGTTCTTAGTCGTTTACCACTTCAGTGAAACCCACAAGCACTGGTATGGTGCTGACAAACCTAGAAACATAATTGGGGTGAACTAGGTTTCGAACCCACAATCATAGATTTCTGGCGTGTCCGAGGGACGCAACTCTGCACCTTAGACGCCTTAGACGACTGAGCCACCTGTGCCCCCATATTTGTAGAGTGAGTGAGTGAGAATGGTTTTACGCCTCTTTTAGCAATATTCCAGCAAAGTCATGGTGGGGGACACCAGAAATGGGCTTCACACATTGTACCCATGACGGGAATCGAACCCGGTCTTCGGTGTGACGAGCGAACGGTTTAACCACTAGGCTACCCGACCAGCCCTATATTTGTAGAGACATGATGGAAACAACTTAAATGATCCAGCCAATTTCTGACACATCTCTGTGGTAAATTATTTGTTATTGTCAGTGATTCCAATTGAAATGACCCAGTGTGATGATTCCAGGGTAGAAAAATCCCTAGTGCCAAAGTTTGTTGTGAAAAGATCCACCAACACCTTCTGCTACTACTAGTCATACAAGGCAAATAATATATGGATTGTGGTCCAATTGCCACGGAGTATACACATGTTATAAAGAAAGGATCTTTCAGTTGTAATCTGGCTGATTGTGTGTGAGCGTAGCCTGGTATCTGATTTAGTGGGTCCCTGGCTTGTCCAGGCCCAGCAACTATACAAGTCGCCATGATACAGATTCAGAAGTGCTGACTATCACATATAGGGGTTACTATTAGGGCTATTTTTGATATTGCAATAGTACTGCAACAAGAATATGAATACTATTGCAATAGTAAAAATACAACTTTAAGGCTTGATGATCGATTTAATAGAAATGAATAAAGTATTGCCGACAATGTTAAAGTCGGCCATTTTCCTCCCTGTCACTACTTAAATCAAAGGGAAGTAACTCAAAATATTACCGTAAGTTGTCGTAATCCTTGTATTGCTATTCAAGACATGTCAGGTTTGAAATTTGTCACTTTTTTCACTCGTAATTAATTTGTTATTGGACCAGTGAGGCAATCAATTGTTATTCATACAACTGTAAATAATTTTTAGATTCCTGTTGATATAGTACAGTCGTACAGCAAACAATTGCAATACATCCATTGTTCAATATTTATATACTAATGGCATAAAATACCATTCACTCATAAGTGAATTTTAGTCACATGTTGGGAAATAGAAGCTATTGATAAGAATCCATTTTCTTAAAATGCCAATTTCTGTGGTGAAAACAAGTAAGTAATGTAAAACATATTCTTGTTGCTGATTTGTGAATACATGTATATCATTATTTTGTTTTCTTCTGACACCTGGCAGGTACAACATGTACGGAGAGAGTGGTGACCTGTGACCTGTCACCGTGTGGGAACGGAGGTTCCTGTAACACAGACGAGTATGGTGTGTTCTGTCAGTGTCCCACCAACAACGAGGGGCTCTTCTGTCAGCTGGCTGGTGAGGAGAAGAACGTCTCTGTTAACACCTTTTTTTTTATTTCTAATTATTTATTCCAAATTGAAGGCTTGGTGTTCTAAAGAGAAAAGATAATAAAAAGAAATGTAAGATATTTTTTTAAAGTGAGGAATGACGTGTCAGTGAATTACAGTGCTGTCCATTTTAATTACAAATTTGGCAAGAATAAAGCAGTTTGACATTTGGACAGTTGTGAGTCAATGGATTGGTCAACCATGTTAGTTTTGATAAAACCCATTATGGCCAAAGGGGACTGACATAGAGAATGTTTTTGACCTGCATTAATTGAAACTCTTGATAGTAGCTGAATACAATGGTTTAGTTCTCTCAAAATACTGCTGAATTAAAGTAGGGTTGTGTGGGCACTAAATTCTAAATTCACTTGCTCCAGCACCTTATACAAATGAAGAAATGGTTGAGTCTTGGTGATGTATTACACAAATAGGTCCCCAGTACCCATGCTGGTCATAACATGAAACAAAATAAGGGTCAGATAGCCAAGATGGCTGCCGACTATGGATTAATGGCCGACCAGTAACTAACCCAGTGTGTATTCTGCAGGTGACGTCTGCTATGGCTGAAGTGTCACAGATGTCCTCAGCTTGTCCCACTAACTAACCCAGTGTGTATTCTGCAGGTGACGTCTGCTATGGCTGAAGTGTCACAGATGTCCTCAGCTTGTCCCACTAACTAACCCAGTGTGTATTCTGCAGGTGATGTCTGCTATGGCTGAAGTGTCACAGATGTCCTCAGCTTGTCCCACTAACTAACCCAGTGTGTATTCTGCAGGTGACGTCTGCTATGGCTGAAGTGTCACAGATGTCCTCAGCTTGTCCCACTAACTAACCCAGTGTGTATTCTGCAGGTGACGTCTGCTATGGCTGAAGTGTCACAGATGTCCTCAGCTTGTCCCACTAACTAACCCAGTGTGTATTCTGCAGGTGACGTCTGCTATGGCTGTAGTGTCACAGATGTCCTCAGCTTGCCCCACGAACTAACCAAGTGTGTATTCTGCAGGTGACGTCTGCTATGGCTGAAGTGTCAGAGATGTCCTCAGCTTGTCCCACTAACTAACCCAGTGCGTATTCTGCAGGTGACGTCTGCTATGGCTGTAGTGTCACAGATGTCCTCAGCTTGCCCCACGAACTAACCAAGTGTGTATTCTGCAGGTGACGTCTGCTATGGCTGAAGTGTCACAGATGTCCTCAGCTTGTCCCACTAACTAACCCAGTGTGTATTCTGCAGGTGACGTCTGCTATGGCTGTAGTGTCACAGATGTCCTCAGCTTGTCCCACTAACTAACCCAGTGTGTATTCTGCAGGTGACGTCTGCTATGGCTGTAGTGTCACAGATGTCCTCAGCTTGTCCCACTAACTAACCCAGTGTGTATTCTGCAGGTGACGTCTGCTATGGCTGAAGTGTCACAGATGACCTCAGCTTGTCCCACTAACTAACCCAGTGTGTATTCTGCAGGTGACGTCTGCTCCCCCAACCCCTGTCTGAATAGCGGTGAGTGTTGGAAGAAGGGGACACAACCAATCTGTGAGTGCAAGAAGGGATACACTGTGAGTACGTCAGTGCAGCATTAGAACGCTGTTTTGTTTTCTTGTGTCTCATAACCAGACTTACCTTATATTTCTGTGTGACAGTGTCCAAATGTTTTGTTGTAAATTTACCTCATCACCTCAAACTTGAACCATGAAATTAAATGCAGAAGTCAGTCACAAAACAAAACTGTAAAGAGTTATGTCCCCTGAGTTTTCTGTTTTTAAAGTCATGCCCTGCCAAGGTTAAAGTCACATAACTTGCATTTCTTTCGATTGATTAGCCATCAAGCCAACTTTAATATTTATGGCTGATACTTTGCATTGTTGTCGTAATCTAGCAAGTTTAGACACAATACTGATTATCTAATTGTTTCACATGGACTTCACCACTTCCAGGGCACTCTCTGTGGGACGAAGGTGGAAGGTTGTGGCCCAACTACTTGCAATGGTGGTATGTGCCTTGAGAATACAGTCGGGGAGTTCAAGTGTGCCTGCAACCCCGGGACTACAGGCTACAGATGTGACAGACAGATGTGACTTATGGGTGTGAGTATTGATCCGCATCATCATAAAGTACGCCGCACATTTCGTTTTAATGCTACAATATTTAAAAACAGTTCTATCCAATGTAGGAAGGAATACATTTATGTATTGAGACCGTTTCCCAAGTTGATTGCACACAACTATTAATTTGGTTACATTCTAGTTTGAACACAGAAAACAAAATTAAAAAAATACCGCCCGCCTGCACTATTTTTTCAAAGCCATTGCCTGAGAACCAAGCCTAACTTAGTTCCTTGCTGTGTTCATTTCTAGTCACCTGAGAAATACACAAGTAGTAGCATTAAAATATTTTATTAAGGAATTAAATAGTTTGAGTTTATCTTTGTGAGATGACCCAAAATGCATTCTGTAACTTGTATGTTTATACGTAGGAGTAAACAACAGATCATTCGCTCCGAACAGATGTATTTTAGACTGTGAAGCCATTACTTGTTTGGCATATGTAAGTGATAACAGTGGTGTGTTTTTCCATCAAATGGACCTGTGAAATGTGTATGATGTTGTGACATTGTTTGAAGCTGAAATGCCAGAGGTGATTATCTATGTATGTTTCTTTTGTTTATTTGTTTCAGGTGACGCTGATGCCATGACTTTGACGTGTCTTACCGAAGAGAATGATCTGTCTAAAGGTGCCAATCAGCATGATATCAGTATGCTGGTTTTGCAAGACTTTTGGTTACAGTACATTACTGGATTAAAATGGGTTGTTGTTTTTTGGAGGGGGATGGGAGGGGGTGAGGGGGTGTTCTTTATTGTTTTGTTATGTCACAGCAGTGAAATGTCACAATAAATACACAATGGATGATACATGTACAGCTTGTGGACAAATAGAACAGATATTAAACTGACAATACACATTAAATTAGGCTTTGTGTAACACAAGATGTTTGATTACTTATTGCATAGCTCTGGATAAAAAATTTTTTCGAAACAATGGGATTAGGCAATAAGCATTTTTTTCCAAATCATGATGATGTCATGTCATGACACAAACTTGTAGGGAATGGAGTGAATTGATTTAACTGTTTTGTGGTTTATGAATAGATGTGTTTAGTTCAAAATGATTTCATCTGGATATGTGGTTGTTTTGAGGTTGTTAAAATTATCTCAAGATTATATGTTGCATACTAGGTAGGGCTGGGACGAGTCCAAATTTACTACCTTGGTACCCATGCACCCCCCTATTACCTGACCCTACCCGGGTACCCACTGTAGGTCCCAGGAGATATCTCAAAATGTCCTATTGGGGACATTTTTAGAATAGCCCTGGCCAAACATAATTAGATACATGTATTAAACAATCTGGTCATTCATATACTGAAGTTGAATTAAGTTATATCTCTATTCAACCATATGAAAAATCAGAAGGAATTGGTGCATGGTCAGAAAGAAATGCGAACATTAGTGACTTGAAGTGTAACCATAGAGTTCCAGATAATACTTGTCATTACACAACCCGTCCCAGCCTTAATACTAGGTTTACCTGGACAGATTATTTTTCTTGAATTCATATACTTTCATATTGGCAATAATCAGTTGAGACAGATACTATATTTTTTTGTTACTTTTACTATATGTTTATTATCCTGTCACTGTTTTATGATATTACAATTATTCTATTTTTATGTACTACATGTACTATCAGCATCCTCAGAGAAATATCATTATTTGTACTTATAAAGAAATCATATTCATATTTTATTATGATGTTTTGAAGTGTATGAGACGATAAACTCTGCAGTGCAGTTCTCTCAACTAAATGACATTCCATTAGAATATCTTATCTAAGCATTGAGATCTACATACAGTACTGGGTGCTGAGGGGAAGGGGCTGTCGTCTCGGCTATGCAGTTTTTGCCAAGCAGATTTGTGTTCCTTGGGCATGCCACAAACCTATGATAGTGGTGGGAACCTATGTTTCTTCGTTTCACAACCATACCCCGAAGACATGTGTAACTTCGGCCTTTCCTTCCACATTGTGCTGACATGCCATGATATAACTGGAATACTGTTCAAAGCGGTGTTAAAACCATCTCACTCACTCATCACTCCATGCAGTGCAGACAAAGGCCACAATCAGGCGAAGTTAAGGGTAGTTGATGGTTGAGTGTGTTCGGCAAGCATGCCTCCTGAAAGTTTCAAGGGATTGGTGCTGCCCCATACCTGGGACATGTTACATTTTGTCTGAAAGATGCGATTATTCACCCAGCAGTGGATGGGTACCCGGTAGGATGAGATGGTAATGTTGCTGTTAACCTTCGTGCACCTCAGAGACAGCTTGTATACTCTCCAGGGAGCTGAGAATGAAATTTGAGAGCATGCTGATCTTTTGTTTGCCCTGGATAAAACCACCATGAACATTAACTTGGTGAATGGAATCTAAAGTATAATAAATGAGGTCGTTTATTATTATTATTATTATTATTATTATTATTATTACTATTACTATTATTAAAGTAAATTATTGATGATATTACAAGTATACAAGTATTGATGATACAATAATGTATTTGCTTCATAGCTGTTTTTGTTGTGATGAAACCTCAAGAGCCTCCGCCAGTTATTTTTTAGAGATGTTTGTCAGAACCTTTGCAACATTCCTCTTCAGATTGATCTATATGCATGTTGCTATACATATTTATTTGCCTGTATTATTTGTTTATTAATATATTCTAATAATAGCTACCATGTCTATGTTTGTTTATGATACTCACTGTAGATGGTTGTTGCATTAGATAGCTTTCTGAATTGGCTCAGCTGTATAGAAATTGAGGTGAAACGACACATCGGTGTTGCTGTGCATTGTGAGTTTTCATGCGACAATACAACACACAATGCATGTTTTAGTGTATCCATACAAGATGATACACTTAAAATAAAATAGTTACTCCTCAGTTCATGAACCCTCCCCCAATCCCCCATCCCCCAGCTCTTTTGTCAGTCAAATATTGCAAAATGTGTTGTAATAAACTTTTCAAGTTCACTACTAAATTAGCCACTATGACCCTGTCTACAACTAACTTTTCCTTTTGAACATGCTCTGAAATATTTATAGTCAAGAAGTTTCCACCAATTTGACGTAAATATGTGTATCATGATACATAAGGTATCAGGACCTATGTATTGTGACGTGTATCGTATCATGACCTTCCTGTATCGTTTCATCCCTAATAGAAATGACCCTTGTCCATCTGTCTCTCTTCTGACCATCTATTTAACCTTCAATATCGGCAGTGCCGCCAACCATGTTTTAGAGGTAGGTTGTTTTTGAAGTTTCAGAGATCCATGGGAGCATTTTATGGAATAGCTTCTGTTAGATGAAGAGTGAAGAATATTTTGTATTTACCACTGGTAAGTTGGCTTGTTATGTATTTTTGATAGATGTATCAGTTACATGTTCAAGCATATCCTCCATTCAAGTTGCAACATCATATTATCTTTATAGGCTTTTAGAAGTTTGTTATACAGTCGAACCTGGATGTGTCAAACTTGGATGTGTCAAATTCCCGGTTGTCTCGAATTCATTTGGGAGTCCCAAGTATCCAAATTAAGCATAAAATTCCCCTGGTGACGCAAATAGTTCAAAATATTAAAAAAATGTCCACACACTCACACTCGCCAAGCGTTCAGCTTACTTCAGACACAATTGACTGGCAATTACATCAAAGGCAGGATACGTTGTAACATCATGCCAGTATCCGATCAAGGCTTATTCAACAAGCACACCTTGCATCAATGGTGCAGAGCTGATTCCTGTACACACATTGGCAGCAAGTTGTCCTCGTTGACTGCTGATGACGCATGAAATTGACAAATCTGTAAAACGAATTTAGGTAATGTTAGTGAATCCATTATTCAAGATGTGACTGAAACAATGACGTCAGTCCAGATGGAGACAGTGAGATCGAAGATACGCCTGAGTTGCTGTACCCTTCACTACCAGCAGCCATGTCACTGAAATTTACATACGCCTTGAAATCAAGTGTTGAGTCCAGACCTGGTACTAATCTCTCATAACATCATGTTTGATCTTTGAAACATCACTTTGTTGGTTGTCAGAATGACAGGGTGGGAGAACATGACATATAGATGTATATACATACAAATAAAGCGTTTGGCGTGAAGATCCGGGGTATAATAGGCCTTCAGCAACCCATGCTTGTCGTAAGAGGTGACTAATGGGATCGGGTGGTCAGGCTCGCTGACCTTGTTGATGCAGGTCATTGTATTCAAATTGGGTTGATCGATGCTCATGATATCAATCACTGGATTGTCTGGTCCAGATTTGATTATTTACAGACAGCTGTCATAAAGCTGGAATATTGCTGAGTGTGGCCTTAAACAACAAACAAATAAACAAGTTAACTCAGTTTTCTGTTACTGGACCAGTGTCAGCTATCAGTGATTAACTAACCTGCCCTCCCTGTAACTTCTACTGTGCACAGGTGTTGGGCAGTCATGACTTTAGTCACTCAAGTTTCGTGGATCTATAACAACAGCAATATTTGCCATGGTTTAATCATATTGATAGATATATTTACCTCATTGAAATGAGAACCTGTATATGTTAATCTCATGGTGCATGGTATTGCAGGATCACACATGTTCGGATGCAGTTATTGTTTGTTAATGCTGTATTGTGACATCCTATATTAGGGACTGAGCATTGTCCTTTATTGTTTAATGCATTCTGTTTGAGGATCTTGATTTCCAATATGCCTATCTACATATACATAGGTGGGCAAGAGGGGAACATTTATATTTTGATGATCTGATATTTTTATGAATTCTGAAATTGTGAAAATATATGTTTTTTTGTACAGATGGTGCATTTTGTTACCTAAATCATCCATGACATTGATCATGCTTATGTCATAGCTCAATATGTTTAACTAGGGCGAGTTATCTACTTACTTTTAGGCTAAAAAGATAATAGTCTTGGTTCTCAGGCACCGCCTGCATCATCATAAAGTCTGCCACACGTTTTGTGATATTTCCATTTAAAAATAATAATAATCATCTTCAAATATTCTGCATCTCGAACAAGCAATCTGGCAGTTAAATGCTACAATACTTAAGAACAACATGATTTCCCCGAAATTATTGTCAACAAAATTTGGTTACATACAACCAAAAAAAACAAACCACCGCCCGCCCATGCAATAATTTCAAAAGCCATTGCCTGAGAACAGTTCTATTATTTTTTAAGCCTTATACACATTTGTGTTGTATGTATGTAAAGGTGCCATTGAATGCATAGCTTCATCAAATGGACCAGGCTTGGGAATAGATAATCTCTTATTGGTAAAAGATCAAAGTTTCAGTTTATTCATTTGATTACCTTGTTGTAAATGAACAACAGGGCATTCTCAACATATGTATTTGCTTAAAATAGATTCATGGGAATAGATTGATTCGGTGCTTCATAAAGCTGTTGCAGCACAAAGAAATGTTGGAACCAGTCTTTACTGGAATGACAAGCAGAAACAGACGTACTGACTATGCTCTGAAAATGCATTTGTACTGGTTTTCTTTGTGTGCGGAGATTTGCATAAATCAGATGCTTCATCAAACGTTCCACCAATGGTTGACAGTTCTCTCAATGGTGAACAGTGTATGTAAGATAAGAAAAAAACAGATGACCCAACTGCCAACACTGTCAAAACAAAGTTGCTCCAAATTATGATAATCCCAT